GGAAGTATACCTTGGCTGGGTTGAAGTGCGCACAAAGGGTGAAAAAGTGCGTGGGAGTCATTAATTAAAAAAAAAGTAAATCGCCTTCAGTTGTTGGCGTAGAGTAGGTGAGATAGTCACCTAAATTGGGGAGCGGCGGTATCGCATACGTCTGTAATAAAATAAAGCGAACTCATTATGAAGGTCTTGTCGTCTTATTGCCAACCATTAATTTTGATCCAGGTCGTCGTATCGGTTTCTTCACGGCTTCACGTCCAATATAAATTAAAATTAGAAAATAGGACTGAAGTGAAAAGGACTCTTTCTTCTATCTTTTCCTCTTTTTTTGCCCACACCTTTCACTTTGTAGCATACAAAAAGCTAATGGATCTACCCCGTGGCCATACCATAAATAACTCCAATGTAATTCGTACCTGCTGTTTATCAATTAATAATCACCGTGGAGAAATTAATTATCAACTAAACACTCTACTTGACATACTGTAAGCTTATTTTCAACATAAATTTGCTCGACGGATTACGTGACGGGAGCAGAGAGGCACATGAAATTGACAATGCAGTTGTGAAATTTCTCCAACTGCTATGGTGGTCGGTCAAACAATCTGATAATCGACTTTAATGTTCACTCGTACTCCTCTGTTTTAATCTGTGGGAGTGACTTTTTCAATATTTCTCCCAAAGCCCCACATGTTGGCCGTGTGCTTTCGATTCACCCCCATCCACTCCGTGTCTTCTTGTGAACACTGAGCACGCACAAGGGGTAGCCATATAGTAAAATAGTATTAAGGGGTCGTAACACCCATTATGATTATGCAAAAGGAAATTCAAAGAGAGAATATATTGTGTTACGTAACCGATCACTTATCCACTTTCAACTTATTTGTACGTACATGACTTGTGTAAGATAATGCACACCGCACCGTGATGGGGAAGAGAATGGATTGACAGACAAACAACCTTGTTTTCCATTAGAAAGCATTTTGCAATGGCACCATTTCTTATTATATCAATTTTGCTTTACTGTCTGATTTGTGTCATTTGTCTTGGACACTCTTGAGCTCTGCAATTAATCGATCGAGAATTAGTTCGGATAGTGCATTTTAATTGAAAATGTCAGTGTAATTGGAAGAGGTGGATGGATGTTAAGAGGAGATTCCAAGACTGATCGTGACTGTTAACTTCGTGCATTATTAATGTCCTTTCGCAAAATAGCTGCATTTTCAACAATGACAATTTAATGGAATACTCTCGACATTTTCAGTATATTTTCCCACTAATAGCTTGTATACATGAAAATGCACTCGCATCCTTTTGGCGCCAGGATTCTCAATGCGCGGTTGTTCGGTATAAATTGCACAATTTTATTGTATTTACTAATTCAACGGCATTATTGTGTTGTTCTTCTATCTTAGCAATGATTAACTCTATATATTTTTTGTGTATACTGTAAAATAGAAATTTGAAGAATAGTGCTGAAATTACAAAAAATTTCATGACAATTCGCTCACTCCTTTCTCTCTTTGGCGAAGAAAGCAATTTAATTCCAGAACTCAGTTGATTTTTTTACATTGTTTGGCGTGTCGCCAATGCAGTTGATGATGATATTGAGAAGACATGGCAAAAAATCTGTGAACACTGCAATCTGAAATGCAAACTCTGGGGGGAAAAAATGGCGATGAAGTTCACACGAAATATTGCCAATTTTGAACTTCATTATGAAATCCCTTAACGTTCTTTCTGAATGAAATATTATACTTAAAAACGTGGCCGTGGAGAAATCATTTCGAGAAATTATGTTGTAGTGTTGGTGGAATGTTTGAAGTCAGATTTGTGTGATTTATCTAAGATTTCTGGCAAACATGGAATTGTTGTTTGTGCAATCGCCACGACATTAATTATCTGAGAGATTAAGCATGTAGTGTTGTGTTTGTATACACGAAATACATACAATTATTTTTTTCCACCAAATTCCTGCCACTGAAAGCAACTTCAGACTTCGCTCTAGTCTACACAATTTAGCGAAATAGTTTGTGTCTGTTTCAGGAACTGTATGGAATTTGAAATTAAATACGTTATCGCTTGAATGCTGGGGACAATGAGAGAGATTCAAGTTGTCTTGCGATGTCACAGAATGTTGTGGATGCTGAAAGGCAAGGAATCTTATCTCTTTTGATACTCTCATGTCTCGCTGTCTTGTTTAGCATTGTATTTTCTCATAGGAATGGATCTTGAACATTTTTCGGTGGATCATGTGGGTTTTCACACGACCCAAATCATATTTGGACATGTTCTCAAATTGATTTCTGACTTTAGGATTTCTCCTTCAGCCGCTTCTCTCGTGAAATATTCATCACACTTCTGGCAAATTGTGAGGAATCTCACAATCTCTTGAGATTTGAAATGAATATGTAATTATGAGATTTTCCCTAGTGTTTAACTCCTTTTTTTCTTTGTGTGAGAAACTTCTCACTGACAATTTTGAGAATAATATTGTGCAAAAAAAGGGGTGAAGAAGTTTCGTAACTTTTAATACTCATTATAGCCTAATGAGTTCTCTTTTGTTTCTTCCTGTCCACTTAATTATTCAATGAGAATTTTAGCACAGAAACATCATGAAAAGTGAAGTTTTTATTCTCCTCATAATAACCATCCTTGTTGAGTCCATTACAGAATGCAGAGAATTTTCTTCACAATCTGCAGACATGCTTGAATTGATTTATTTAGCATCACCGCGCATACAAATTTACTGAAAGCGCAAATTATGTACAACCTTCAAGGATATTAAATTCAATAAGCAGCACCTTCATTTCACAACATGACAGATAACTGAAACGCTATGAATCTCCTCATGTCATACTTATGTATTGAAAAGAGAGAATCTTGAGAACTTATGTGCGATATTTTCACGTTCACTTGAACCAGAATCATCAACTATTCTATTTACCAAGTATATGTGTTGTAACTTGATTTGATTAGAAGAAGATTGAATGCGAGGAGCTTTCAAGTGTGGAACTATGCATTTAGTGCTTAATTTGCTTGAGGAAATATACATATTTGAAGATAGATGGACGTCTTTACCGCATAGTTCCAGTTGCAAACCGCATGAGAAGAGTGACGCTGAGATAAAATATTGCAGCACTCTTTCACTTTGTTATCTCTTAGCGATTTAAGTGCTTTATTTCTGCCACTCACTGACGTAGATAAACTTAACTTAATGAGAAATGCTGGACATAAAATAAATGAAATTCGCGTTATTAATCTTTTCTTAAACATGGAAAAGTCTATCCCAATAAAGGATTCATTAGATATGCTTCAAAGTTCGACAAAATGGATGCACATGGATTGTTGGTGACGCATTAAATTGTGTTATTCACACTGTCACTTGGTAGTGAAGTTGGGTTGCTAATTAGTCAAAATGATATGAAAGCAATCCTGAATCTATTTTCCTTCTCATCAAGTTTTATGTCCATGGCGAAGAAATAGTATGAATAAGTTGATTTATAGGTTTGTTTTTCCCACTTTCACCCCTGAATAGTCAATTATACTGCATTGTAGACTTGTATCGAATTTAGATGTTACAGAAGAGCGCCAAGTGAGATGTGGATAAAGTCTGTCTGGAGGCAAAATAAGCTGCAAATTCAATGTATAGAAGCCGTCTTTGCTCATCAGTGTAACTCACCCTCTAGCCAAGAACTCCTATTCTTATTCCAATAATGATAAATAAACTTCCCTCTCTTATATCACGCCATTGACAGTGCAAATGTGTCCGAATTTGTACCGTCTTCTAGTCGAAGGCCTAACAAAGTTGTGAGTCATGAAAAGAATCATATAAATTTTATTCCATTTGCGCGTGGATGAGTGTGTCCTAAAGTGCTCTCTCTCTATATATATACAAAGAAGACTTTCATATCGCGCCTCTTGTATTTATTTCTTTTTATTTTCATCCTATCCTGGGGTATATTTTCTCCCGCAGTCAATTGAATATTTAATTTGGTGGCTGTGAATCCCTAAATATATCCCTTTGAGCGCTCTTTTCTTTCCCACATTCACCAAGGCGAATACCATTGTGAAAATGATCTCGAGGGAATATTAACACAAAAGCTCTCCTTGGGCGTATTCCACCCCACCGTGTACATATATGCTGATAAAATTCACCCATTTCAGGCCGACAAACAAGCCCGAAAATTCCATCACGATGATGGAATTATTCGGGAGTTATTAGACATCTGTCTCTCCATCATCCTAATCGCTCGATTGGAATTTCTATGTTGCCTTCTGTGACAAGTAATGAAGTATAGATCAGCATATTCGTATACTTGTTATTAAATATGTAGAGATGCTGTCATTACAGTATTTTCACTCTCTCTCTCTCTCTCTCTCTGTCACCCGCAATGACAGTATTGTATAAATTTTCATGCACAGAGTCAAAATCACGATCGACAGCGTCACAGTTTCTGTCTTGGGATAGATTCTGAAATTTCGTACAATCTCATATTCTGTATTTTATTCATATTTTTGACGTGTGTTTCGTATGGATGGAAAAAGGGAATTATCCATCTCTTCGAAAATCAATGTTTGGGCGGACAGAAAGAGGAGGAAATAAGTGAAATCTACATTCGAAGCAAATTTCTCCGTCAATTTCCTATCATTTTGTAACTGTGCTATTTTTGCTGAAAATTCACCTTGACGAATATAATTGGTATATAAGGGAGAAAGGTGAGCGGTTGGGAAAAAAAGAGAGAGATACAACACCAGATAATACAAAATTGATGTGAGATAGAACGTGAAATATTTTTAAGCGGCAACCGCTAATTAAATTCACGGCTGCTCTGTTCATTTTTTTCAAACATATTTTTTATGTCGACATATATATGACAAAAATCAACATAAAATTATTCATGGAGAATGTATAAAATGTGTCCATATTGCATGAGATGAATTAAAAAACTTTTTCCACCACTGATTTCAATTTTAGATTCAAATTTATATTCTATACTTACACTTTGGGTCTTGAGTTATGTGCAAATTTATTTTCGCTATCAGCTGTCCAATTTGTGGGGAGTTTTTCTCTCTGCTGTTGATTACTTTTATTCACCCTTGATTTTCTCTGCCACCCCAATAAATTTGTTATTAGATGGTGGTTTTTTTTTCTTTCTCTCTCCTTTACAGTTTTCCACTATTATTGACTGTCAGTGAAATCACTTCTCGATATAATTGTTAATTATATACGCCACAATTGTGTGTGTAACAACGGCAATAATCAATTTTGTCATATATAACCTATGGGGAGTATTTATCTTCGTATTATCTCACTTGAACTTTCGCCCAATGAAAGCAAACACGATGAAATTCACTTACACAACACTAATTAAATTATTAATCATTGAAAGAGAGAGAGAGAGAGAGGGAGAGAGAGAGAGAGAGTTGATATTAATTAATACACCGTTTAATAGTCTGATTAGATGATTTCGTGTAGATTTTACTTTATGGCAAGGAACACTATATATGCGCGGTGGAGAAAGAAAGAATAAATAATAAATCAATACATGTAACGAGTCATGATTGCTTGATAAATAAGGTGAATTATAATGGTACACAGGATTTAAGTGCTTAACTACCAGAAAGCGAACAACTCCGAGGGCGAGAATTTTACTATAATCGTTGGTTATTGTGTTTGTTAAGGTGAGGGAAAGTCACTTAATTATATCCATATGGTGATTTTGACTGGTGATTTGGGCTTTAAGCTCAACACTTGTCACACATCAAAGTCAGAATTAACGCAAAAAGGGCTTGACTTTCTGATTTTTAAAGATATACAGAAAAATTAAGTCTTTGCTAATATTAGCCTTCGCAACTGTGCACAGACACACAGACAATTTAGGCAGTGCGATTTCAATAATAATGAGACATTGAAGGAAGTTTGGCACTCCTTTTCCTCCGGCTGAGGAGGCGCAGAAAAAAAGTCTTCCATCAGATATGATAGATTGTGTCCTTCTTGGCTTCTTTGTTTCGACTTGGTGTCCTTGCACAGTGTTCAGTGCGGAGGAAACGATTGTGAAGCGATAAATCAAATTACTGAATAAATATCTTGGACAAGTGGATCCCGGGGACGAGGAAGTTGTCGCTAAAGTAGCAAACAATGTCTGACATGGAAATAAATCGATATGGCAAAAAATTGATGTCTCAAGCGAAAACATGAAATTTTCTCATATTTGACATAGATTTGGGATTGTCAGCTCAACATGGGAGGGCAAAATGGCAGTGATGACTGTGTGTGTGTGTGTGTGTGTGTGTGTGTGTCTGGCCAACTTCCGGAATTGGCGATTGAGGCAGACTTTCCTCGACAGCGGCACTCTTATGTAAGATAGCCGGCGGATGGAGGTGGGCGAAGAGGAGGAAATCATGGATGTACACATATTTGAGTAGATTGATTTTTACACGCGAAGTCAAGTGGAAACGAGGAAAATGTTCAATTTGATATCGCAATTGGATAAGACTTGTCGGATCCAGAGATTCAAAAATTTCATTTCGTGAAGCACCCAAAATTTGCATGCCTATGAAATGAATGTGTTCCGCCTTTTTTCGCCCTCAACTTCCTCACATATATTTTCTAATTTGAATTCTTGAAAATGTTTTGGAGTACAATTTTCATTCATTTCCTCTGGCTCAGAAGTAAGAACTTCGAAAGCACCATTTTTACGGTTAATCTGTGAATATGGATATTATGAATAGTGACTTCAATATAGTTCTGACACAGGATAAAGCGAGAGGGTTTTTTTTCCCTTTTTCTCGGAACAAGAAATAAATGCACTTCAGCCCCGCTCGCTATGTTGTCAAGCATTTTTCCAGGATTTTCTTCTCATCTCTGACGATAGGAATTTGTGTTTGTCATTCATATTGTAGGAAATTTGAAATGAAATTTTTCATATCATTGCCATATGTGCGGGGGAAATTGAATGAATCGATTTAGATCAATATTGAATATAGTGTATGCATGCTCCAGCTTTTATATTGAGATGAACATATGAAATTCCTAAAACGGATATACAGACATGGATTTTTGTGGTATTCATAATTTATCTCAAATGGATGCAAAACAAAAGTATTGCAAATTAACTATATTCTTACGGGAAATAAACTGTTTTATTAGAGCAGAATTAAAAAAAAGTGGTATTGCTGAAAATTTAGTGAGTGAAATTGAAACGCAGAGTATTTTTTATGCAGTTGAGGAAATACTTGGATATAAATCGAAATTGTTGATTGGCAATTGAATTGAATTTAATTATATTCATTGAATAATGTTGTCATTTAATTAATCATAGAATGCTCTCTGCGATTTCTAATATGAGCTGAAATTTATGTGATACTTCCGCACTTCACCACAAGAATCCGGACATGGAATTTAAAGTAGTATAACACAGTGACTTGAGGATATGTGAAAGAGGAAATTTATTAATATTTACATAGAAGTATGCACGATACTGGATTCGTTTTATTGCACTTCTTCATGACAACATGCGAATGGGGTCTTTTTTTTGTAGGACTCTTAACTTTGCTTGAAAGTGCAGAAAAATTTTATATACTCTGAGATTTATGAGACTTATGTGATGGAGAAGATGGGGTATATTTGGACATACGACTGAAGGAAAAACTCGACAGTTGAAAATAGTTTTGAACTATATATTGGCTGTAAATAAACAGTCTGTAAATTCAATGTTCCTCTTTCATCACTTAATAATTTCTACGGAATCCTGAAGAGGCAAAGAGATGGTCTTTTCGGTAAAGTGACTTAATTGAATCTTCAGATCAGTGTTCGAGACTGCCTGTGTCTCCTCTATCAATCTAACTCGATTTTCTCTTATTACACAGCGTTACACAGTCGTTTATTTTCAAGTGTCATCATGCTTGGCAATATCTGGCATTTGCAAAATTCTCTCTCACTCTCTAATGCTCTCCACTGGCACAAACGGCAAAGATATTCAATTTGAATGCAGTGATAGTAAAATATGTGTTCCGCAAAGAACGCCTTATTTTCCATCTCACTTAATCTCCACTTGAGAAGGGCGAATGGAAAAATTTCCACCGTACGGATGATTCATCGGGATTTTCTCGTGTGTTGTTTGTGTGGAAAATCCAGTGTGAAATTGCGAAAGAAAGAGAATATTTTCTGGAATGGCGCGTGAAACAAACCCTAAATGGCAGGTGGACTCCAATGCTAAAAGGGTGTATTGATTAATTAATTAAATTTTAACATCTGTCTGGTAACCAGAACCGAAGTAAATTGGCACAGAAAATTGATCCTGAGTGAGTGTGTGCCTTGTAATTAGCACACGGTGATCGCATATGCTCTTAATTGCTACGCAACAGATCACTTTGGCCCACAGCGAAGGTATAGTTTCAAATGTGTGTTTATTGGCATTTTAGACGTCTGTGTTTACGCTGTTTTAAAATTAAATATCTCTCTTGTAACAATAATGAAATTGGGTGTAATTTGGTCTCTCGGGCTTCTCTGAATTGTGAAAATATATATGAAGAAAAAATGGGAGCAAAGGGAGAAGTATATCTTTGTCGTTTCGGTGTAAAGTCGCACAATTTAATATATGAAGTTATATAGTGTGAGAAAAAAACATTCATGCTTCGAGAAGTACTTTTCCCTTCTTGCTTAATTTTTTTTTCTCTTCTCCTTGGAAAAGGACAGAGAGGACTAAAAAATATATGTCTTTTCTGCACTCGGAATTTTTCACTTTCTCCCTTCTGTGCTTTCTGTATGAATATTTATGAAATGTGAATTTGTATATGAGTGCCGCACCTCGGGCGCCAACTTATTCACCTTTTCCTCAATTTCTCTCTACAATTTCCCTACACATCATCACCATACGGCAGGAGATATTAAATATATGGTTCTGCACAAGTAAACACTCTTTCACTCTGGAAAACACCTAATGTTTCGTCTAAAGTTCCAACTCTTCTCGGCTGACAAATTATGGGGAAAACCGCGAATGTTGGGTGATTTCACGCCTTGTGAAATACACTCTATGTTGTTGGGTATTTGAAATATTTTGGCAAAAGCACGATTCACAGATCCATTCTGTGCCGCTTCTAAAATCCAACTGACTGTAACCGGTGTGAAATGCTCTGTAAATTCCCCGATGCCTGTGAGGAAGGGAGACAGAGTCTGGGAAAGTGGAATCCGTGGACTGTATTGGTGGCAGGAAAAGGAGAAGGACGAGTATAGTGTGCCGGGGAGGGTTGAAAAGCGCCACGAGAAGAGTCAAGTGGTATTTAATTACATTGAGACATTTTGTATTGATGATGCGCGCTATTGGTGCTGGCATTAATTATCCTAATGGATCTCACGATGGTCTAATTAATGCTGAAATCTTGGAAAAATAACTCACCTGACAGTGCTGGTTGTGGCGCGATAAAGGATAAACGCGAGAAGGACGACTATATGTGATGGGAGAGCGTGACTGACAGAGAGAGAGAAAGAGTGTGCGAAGAAGGCCCACAGAGGAGCTTTTTCTTACACAACTCACTCTGGCGGGGACGAAACGTGCATTTCACTTTTTCTACTGTCCCACCCCTGCCCGCTTCCTTGTGCCAGGCCGTATACGTCTTGTAAAGGGGTTTCGTGTCCTAGGCTAATGGAACTCGTGTTGATCGATGACGGCGATGAGTTGTGTGCAAGCACCATCAGTAGTCTCACTATAAATTAAATATTCTCTGCAGAGGCGACATTTTCCGGCATATGGCCTGGCGCTTTCTCACTTAAAATGAGAAGGAGAGCAAAAAGAAAAACACCTCACCGTTGATGCCGTCGTTAGTGTACAGAGATGACACTTCATAATCGCCATAACAAGGCGCGCTTCTCATCTTAATTTTGATAAATTACAGTGGTCGTCGTGAAACTTTTTCACCCAAGCACATCACTCTCTGTTCCCTGTATTGACTCCTAATCAATATTAATTATTTTTAATTGCTGCCCGTGCGAATTTCTTTTTCCCTCTTTTTGCACCACGACCGAAAAGTCATTGCCGGATTTCGCGCGCGAGAGTAATTGCTAAACTACCCGGCAACTCTACTGGCTAATTGAGAGTTCGTTCTAATCTCCAATTTGCAGCACAATCTTCTCCCCAACGTTAAACTCTGACTCGGTGAAATTGGAGATTCAGACGAGGAGTTTAAAGTTTTAAACTCGCCATCGTGCTCGGTGACGATGACGAGGACAAGATGCGAATAAAATTACATTTTAGAGAAGCAAACCATCTTTTTTCCACGAGTGCTGCGATGTGATTATATCGAGTGAAGCACTTTCTTTCTATTTAATCATACTTCTTTCTGAAGATGTGTCACCACAATTTACAAACGTTTATTTTACATTGGAATACACAATTTAATTAAAAGTTTATTAATATCTGGTCACTCAATTTATGCATAATTCATCTCATTTTGTCTGACCTCTAGAGTTGTAATTTGTTTACAAAGTAAAATCCCATCTGAAAAGTTTGCAGCGAAGTGAATTGTGTGGACAGAAAGCAAGGCAGAAATATGATCTTATTGCGGGGAGAGAAGTGGAAAGAAAGTTTCAGTTTCATCACCCATAAATTCGTGTCATTGGGTTGACACAGTTGAGCGTTCAACTCAAGTTGATTAGAATTGTGAGCTTGGCTGGTCTGAATGATCCGAAGAAATGGGGAAGGGAGAGGAATATCACTTCCTCTTTTGCCTGTCCGCCAGTAATCCTATTTAGTTTGGAAATATGGATTATTTTGGTATCATTGAATGCCTAAAACGACAATAAATAACGTGTTTTTCCATTTCATGGGCTCGGCATTAAATGTAAAAGACAGTTATTTAAATGGGTATGTTCGTTTTTATATGAAAAATTCCTTCTTTTGCCTTTATAGGTCAATAAAAATAATGGAATTTTCTTTTATACGTGGGGGTGCAGACTTGATGGAGAATGAATTTTTAGCATGCCATTTCTTTGATCTCAATTGTGAATTTTTTTTCGCTGAATACACGAATGCGAGGGAAGGGGGTTTATTTACGCAAGACATGTTACGCTGAGCACGATGAAGTAAGTCAGAAATGAAATGCTATGTATTGCATTGATTTGTGTAGTATTTGTGGCATTTTTTGTGGACGTACAGTGGGGACGCCGGGTTGTCATTTGTGAGTAGATTAAAAGAGGGAGTGGAAGTGAATGAAAAACACTTTTATTGCTACATAGATTTGTGTATTCAGAGCATGAATGACATGGTCTGTATAGCAATGATTAGCATTTTCCTTTTTACTCACGCTTTTCCAATGAATTTTCACTCATGTGGCCCAAGGGAATTATCAGTGTTTCCACCACAAATTGTACCCTAGAGGACTTGTGGGTGAAAAGACCAAATGATAAAAATCCGTGGACGTGAATTTCTTGTTATGTGTGAATGTTGCGGGTGTCCTTGCTTACGGAACACAACAGCTGCTGTGATAGAGTTGAGAAGAGGATGCTTGGGAAAATGGTAAACATCATCCTTGTTATGTTGTTTAGCATGCTTTTTTCTGCGGAAGAAAGTTTTGCAATCTTAACGAGTTTTATAAAACATCATGATAGTTGTTGAATTTTTTCACATTTGTTGTACTCTCATAAATATGCACATCCACGTGAAAGTTGTGCAGTTGCGGTAAAAAGGCATAAATCATAAAATTGATAGGGTAAAGTTTTCAGTCTGTGAATCACTGATGTCACAAGTGCTGTGCGCTTATCGTGACATACCTTCCCCTCATGCACACCGCAATATTCTCATGTCACGTTCATCGGACTATTCTGGCAGCGCCTCAGCATTGACTACATTGGGCTTAAATTATATTTATTCAGCAGTACATTATCCCTAACCTGTCCCACTAGAGAATGTTCGTGCCGATGGATATCGTGTCTTATTTGCCATCATTCTCTACGATGAAATTTCTATGGAACAATACATATAACGGAAAATGTGTAATTCATGGGAAAAGGTGAGTTTCCTTGTGACATTCTTCGCTATGTTAGTCACAGACATGTTCTCTCTATCTCGCTCAACTCTCTGCTACCTTTCACCGCACTTTTCATGTTGCAACACAAGTGAAAACCACAGAGATTTAGTAGGAGGGAAAAAAATCACTAAAAGCTCTCTTGGATGTGGACATTTCTCTATTAGCAGAGCACTTTTCCCTCTTGTCTCAGTCGCATGCGACAACATCATCAATAGGGTTCTGCTCATGAGTAATCTGACAACGACGGGTGGATAGACTGTGTGGCTTTCCTTGCCTCGTGCTTCAAACATTGGCAACATAATGCCAGAGAAATGTGAATAGATGGATGTGAGGGGCTTCGTTTCCATAGAGATCTATCCCATCCCTCTGACGTCACACGACCCCGCATAATTATTATTACAACAAGTTAATACCCAGCGAAAATGTATTCACACTTTTTCCATCCGGCCGTCATCCTATGGAGACTGTGCGGGGCACGAGATGGGGCTCATCGAGATAAATGGTGTTCAGTTATGTGTCTTTTATTTTAGTTAGTGCCCACTTGAATGATATTTACTTCGATATTAATGATGAGAAACCTTCCACTGGGTGGAAAAGCTCTCCTTTTCGCTTTTGGCCTCATGAGCGACGAATACGGACACACCCCCGCTTCGAGTGAGCAAATTTCATGGTGTTTTTGTCTCGCCCACAAGTCACGAGGCCTCGGCAGGAAAGGCATATCGACGATGGAGGGAAGAAAAAAGCACCAACAATGCCACGATGAATGGCAATGGAGAATCAAACGGGAGGAAAAAATGTGTGGAGGGTGAAAAGTGTTTGGCGCCACTTTTGCTCCACACAAGACAACGACGCACAAGACGAGAGAACTCGAGAACAATCATATTTCATTTTGCAATCGTGCCCGTAACCACCCAGAACACGCATATCTTGTCACACCAGAAACTGATACTATCTCGCCCCCTTTCGCCCGCGACAATACAGGGGCTCAAGCGGGGCGGAAAAAAGCATGGGCCCCAGCTGATAGAGGGCATGTTGGGATGTAGAGTTGGAAATTTTCACGAAATTTATAACACTGCGACGAGCGAAAGAATGCATTTGCAAGAGGAGAAGCATGATTTTGCTTTTTAATATGAAGCTGAATATGTTGTTTACATGGATGATATAAACTTTAAGACATATTTTCATTGGGAGAAAACACGATGTCAAAAGTTTACGATTGACTATCGCTGTGATGTACAAGTCATAACTTTTGAGCACTTTAATGGTAAACACAACCACTTATTTTTCACAAAAATCCCATCAGTTTGGAATAATAGTAGTGAATTAAATCAAAGAGCAAAGTTATATTCTTCCGTGGTAAACTTAGTATGTGAACTTTCTCTGTTTTTCTGACATGTCCTTAAAGGCTAAAAGTGTGATAAATTTGGCTTGATGAGGAAGGTACTTGGAAACAGCGCAATTATTATTTTCTTGCTAGAGGGCAAGAAAAACCTAAATATTGTATTGTGAAAAAAAATTTCTTGGAAGGATGCTTCCTAAAGTATGGAATTGGATACTTTTCTTGGCTGTTTTGAAACAAATTTTTTTTCTCAATGAGAGCTCACAAAATTAGAACATCCAATACATCTCATAGAAACTCATTTTTCAGGTTATTTTCTGCAAGAAATAAATTTCATGCTAATTAGAATTTTAATTCTGCACTATACTTTTCAATGAATAGCAAATCTTCAGCATTTGTGAAAATGCGCTAACGTTATCTCATCAATTATGCATTCTTCTTGATATTATAATTTCTCATCTTCATGTAGATTTCACGTGAAATTCTTCATTATTCTAACTTACAACTTTCCTATGAAATTATTCTGTCTCCGCATTATTGATGGCAAATGAAGAATTTCAATATTTCCCTCCAAAGTTGAAATATTCACTGACTTTATTTTCAAGTTCTTCTGCTGCCAGACAGAAAAAAAATGTTCAGCTCCAGAGGTTGGTGTGTGAAAATGCTTCTGAGTGAGAATATCGAAATTCCAGCAAATGTCACTCATCCGGAAATCACATGGAACACAATCCCTTCGCATTGTTACTCTCCTGCGATTTTTCTTTCATTTCAATTTATTTTGTTTGCGTGATTTCAATCTTGACATATGAGCTCCAGTTATTTTTTTTGCTCGCCACCTTCTCAACCCCAACTAATAAAATCATCCTCAATTGTTCACACGGAACAGAGAGCGAGCGGGAGAGTGAGAGAGAAGAGAGTTTTGGGTGGATTTGCTTCGCACACTCTGCAACCCCTCGTGGCAGTGCCTTATGATACTCTCTTGAGGGATACTTAATCAATATCTCGACTTTTGAGAGTTTCTCCATGGCTGCGCTACCCTTTCTCGATGCCACGTTTTTCACCATCATCCCAATCTGCAACCTTTCCACCTTCTTCACTGAATCACACACATGGCAGATGGTGCTTGAAATGTGGCGCGGCGTGGGCGGTACAATGAGAGATGAAGTGATAAGACTTTTTGTAGCACTCAATTTCAGAGGGAATAAATTAGTTATACTTCTGTTCTGGATTCTCAGAGGAATTCTACTCGAGAGCGAGAGAGCAGCAAACGATTTATTTCCACTATATTTGCCACGCTGGATTTTCACATCTTATCTCTCATCCTCAGATTTAATTAGACGGTAAACTTTGCTTCTTGTCGAGCAAAGTTTGTTTATGCAAAATGTATGGAATAATTGAAGGCACCTACATATTCTGCTATTGGGAAAGGAGGAAAAAGGTTCAGTGCGACTCCCAGAGTGAGTTCATCACCTCCACAGTGATTCGCACAATCACTAGGCGATATTCTGTCCTCAATTGCAGATGGGACAGAAGAGGGTCTCGCATGTGTATTTAATAAAGTACGCAGACACAATTTAATTTACCCTCTATGGGCGCTTTGCGTGCGAAAGAGCATCAGCCTCAACCCCTTTAATCTGCAGGAGGATGTGTCAAGCCACGACATAAGGAGTATGTGTTGAGCTTTAACCGCGGCTCTAGTTATTTGCGAAAGCTCCAACTCTATTTACAAAAGCTCACATAGTGTATACATTATAAGCAGTTGTCTCAACTGTTTGTCTTCCTTTTTTGCTCTTCTACGCACGCCAAAAGATGCATGATATTTCGATGAGAGAGAGACGAAAACACGAGTGAGAATAGCGAAAAGCACACAAAGCTTGTGACTTTTTTTCCCCACTATAATAGCTAGAATACAAAGTTCCTGTGTCACATTGTGAACTGTGAAAAAAAAACCTTGAAGAGGTTTTAAAAGTTTGCGAAAAATATTGAAAAATAAATAGCCAAGAGCAGAGCTGAAGAAGCTTGCAAGTTGTTAGCCAACGATTACATGCTTTACGCCTTTTCGCTAGTTTCACTAAATACAAGAGTTGCCGAAGTTTGCTGGCGAAACTTCACAACTAAAATAGATACATGTATATATACGACACAATGGAAGTCCTCAACTAGTAATACATAATAAATTTGCCTTGCTCGAGCATAAATAAGAAGGCAAAAAAATCATAACTGCGAAGTGTACAATGGCATGAAAGAGTGTGGATGAAACAACAATGCGAAATTGGTATTCGAGTATTATATATAATTCTTCTCACTATATAACACTAGAGAGAGAGAGAATAATAAAGTTTTCTCCTTGTATTCAACTTTCAGAATAATTGCTGAAACTTCAAAAACAATCTTTGTGTTTTTTTATTCACTCTTTTTGCTCTTCAATCTCGTTCTTGTGCTTTCGAAGAAGTTGTTTTTGAATGATAAAATTGCTCCTAAATCCTTACTGGTTTAGTGAGTTCAAACTTGATGAAATTGTGACTATTTATCGATTTTCACTATGATTCAATTTCCTCACAAAATATATGAAATGGAAAGTCCAGAAATGAGAAAAGCATTGGAAAAACTTTTATTGCTCCAAATTGAATTGCTGCGAGGATGAAATGTTCAATTTTGTGACGAACAATTCAAACCTGACACATTTCATAGTTTTATGGACAAATCTTAAATTTGTTACCAAGGGTGGATTTGAGGAGTTAAAAATAGAATTCACTGTCAGAAGAGAGAAAACCAAAAGTTTTCCGATGGATTTAGAGAGATATTCTTTCGTCAGCATCAAAGCTCTTTTTTGTTTGCAAGCAATCGAGCATGTTGCAAAGGCTCTCAAGGTTTAACGTATACTTTTTTTTTGCTTTAGCCATTCTTTCCTACAGTCGTACTTTATGCGTGCAGAACACTTAAAAGTTTTCCGCACAAGCAACCCAAGAGAAATTACGATTATGTCGAGAGACACAGCAGGACCTTTTCTCTTCTTTCCTTCTCCCTTTTTGTTGTTGTACACCTCCATCATTTTTCTCTGTGTGGATATTTTAACACATTCGCCGGTAGTTTTCCTTCAGGGCAGAAATTGTGTTTTTGTCTGTTTTGTGTGTGTGTACGCGCAAATTTATGCTGGAGAGTGTCCCGAATTCCGTCTGAGGGCACTTTTGCTCTCACAGTAAAATGTGCACTTGGCATTACCTCACGTTTGCAAAGGTATACTATTTGTTTCACAGTACTTTCCACGATGCCCAGTCAAGTTGCTATGTGTCTAATAATAAATTTTCAGGTAGCACAGTATTTACCGTCAATTCCACATTGCCTCTCTGTGTACATCTGGATGGGGCATAATGTTTTCCCTGGCTGTTTGTAAATGTAGAAATTTTATTCGTGTGTTTGGCATGAAAGCCGCCTCGCACAGCCCAAGATGTGGGCCACTTCAAAGGCAGATTGTGGGGAATCGAGGTGTTACTGAGGGCTTCATTTGCTACACTATAAAGTGGAATTAGTCCAAATTTAATTATATATGACACACACACACACACATACTGTGTAATTCATCCCCACTGCCGGGGATTTCCCTTTATATTGCTCAAGGCTTCACAGCGCCCCTCACATTGGGTGTTTTGGCATCAGCTCAACCACACAAGTCCAGCAAAAGATTTGTAATGTTCCATATTTTTTCTGGCAGATTCATTGTGCATGCATGAGAGGCGATAAGATTGGAAAAGCTAAGTATCCTTGATCCATCTGAATTGCAGATGAATGGTGCCACATACAGAGCGGAGACGAAAATATCAGCTGGTGGCGTTGGGCGAAACTTGGCGGAGGCCATCAGTAAGCTCCATGGGACAGCGCGCTTCATTTCGGCCGTGGGCGCGGATCAAAATGGTGCATTTATCCGCAGTCTTATGCCGAAAATATGCACAACAGACGCTCTAATTGCCGATCGCGCTCATCCCACGGCCACTTGTGCCGTTGTCCTGGATTCGGCTGGCGATTGCAAAATCGTGGTGGGCGATATGCAAATTCACTCCTCCATCACGCCGGATTTGGTGAGTGATACACTTTCGACAGAGGGAACATCCCCTGTCGAGGTGCAGACAAAAGGGGTTCACTTTTATAGGCAATGCTCGCTGAAGCAGTCATTTCATTTGATGCCTCTCTCTCCTTTGTATAAGCAAATTTACTCTACTTAACACCAAGCATTTTGGCTTATTGGTACTCACTCTCGCTCTTTAAAACGCAAAAAGAATAGTCATGGCGAAAGATAAATTGTCTATGCTATTAAGAGAACATTGATTTGAGCACCTGAAATTAGAGTTTCTGGGAATTATGTTTAGGAAATTGATGAATTTTTTTGCCACATTTCACTATAAAGTCAATTATCATCAAACCGTAATTACATTGCTGAGTGGAAAAGTGGGGAAAAACGATGAGCAGCAATTATACAATCTCATTTTCCACAAAAAGCTCTGGTGTTGAAGTGAGAAAAAAAAGTGAGCATAAATGGCGGAGGATAACGAATCCAAGCTCCTAATAATCCGAATGAATATCAAATCAAGCGTAGTGGAGAAATTCCATTGTTGCTGATGCCACAGAGGAACTCTTCTAAAACAGAAGAGCTTTTGCACAAAGAATTTCTTAGCTGCCACTGAACTCCCAATGCTGATTGCATTGGACGGAAATTGATTGCTAAAATCTCCATGGGAAAGAGTCCGTTTAAAAAATTCTGTTGGAAATTGAATTTTCAGGGAATGAGTTTCCATGGCCAAATCAAATTCTGCATAGTGTCCGCTTGGGATTATCCTCGCCTTCAGGATCTCGTTTTATTTGCACTAAATCCAGTTGAGTGAGAGAGAGAGAGAGCGATTCGAGAGTGGAAGGATTTTTGGGGTGGAAATATCAATTAAAATGTCCATGAGCAGCCAGACAAACGAAAGGACACAAAATGGAAATTTAATATTCATTCAATCAAGCTTTTTTTGCCACCATCACTCATTTGCTTTCCGCTCCAGTTGTGGAAGAAATCTTACAATTACACTTCCTTCTCTCTCTCCCATCGTCCGGCAGATTAAGAGGAATGAGCAGAACATTGTGGACAGTCCAATTATAGTAATTGATGCAAATCTCACCCACGAAACCATGGTGATGTTGCTGAAGTTGTGTCAAAAGCATAAGAAGCCCGGTAAGTGTAGATATTATACCATTTATTAACTCGTTTTTTGTAACCATACAAAATTGTGTTACACTCGAAAATCTAAAACTAAATACAATTGTCGTATAAAAACGATTATATTCTCCACAATTGAAGATTCACACATTTTGTGAATTTCTGGACGGAAATGTCTGAAGATACGCAAGAGTCTTTAGTGGCTTTTCATGAAGACAAGTCGAACTATAGGCAAAAAACTTTTAGTTTCAGCCACAAATGGTTTTAGGGGCTTTAAGAGATTCGTACAAGACATTAGTAACACTGCAAGTGTTGAGATTCATTAGAACTTTCAGCTCACAAAGTGTCACGAGATGTATAATTATATGTTTTTTTTAAGCTTCTCTATGAGATTATTTCCTATTCATCGTTCCTTGTGTACAAAAAAGGCACGCAAAGTGGTTTGAATTTCCTGACTTATGCAATCGATTTTTATGTTAAATTTCGTATAAACTTAAATAATTGCAGTTGGCTTGAGACCAGGAATTGGATTATTTTGAATTAATTTAAATGCTCTTCAAAACTTTCCTGTGAAAATGCTCAATTTCCGCTGAAAATTGTGCAACTCAATAAACTCACCTCCGGGTTTGTGTTGAGACTCTTTTTGGGGAATTTGGGATGAAGAGAGATAATGAGAATTTGTGTGTGTGTGGCTTCTAAATATATCCCTGAAGACTTCTGCTGTGGCTGTGATGGTGATGAGGATGGAAACTGGGATCCTGCATTTGCATCTGCATCACCAAATTCTTCGCCTCGCGTCGCAATTCGTAGGATCGTCGGGATTCGCCGAAGAGGACCAGCGCGGCCACGCCGAGGATCATGAAGGCCACCACGGCGAAGGCGTACGACCAGGAGAGGACGTTGAACTTGGGATACATGAGCCAGTCGCGGCGGTAGGCGTTGCCGCCGAACACGGCCGCGGCCAGGAAGAGGCTCACGGACGAGATGCCGATGCAGATGAAGGAGATACGAGTGAGGAGCCACTCGTAGCGCAGGACGAACTTCAGGGGCCAGCGCACGAGCTCCAGAGCCATGATGGCGAGGGCGCCGAATGTGAGCAGGAAGGCAATGGTGACGAAGAATTGCACAACCATGAGCCAGCCGGGCAGCAGCCACTCGCGGATGACGTAGTACTCGTGGCTGAAGATGTGGTGGCAGCCGTCGAAGAGGCGCGGGAACTGGTAGTACGGATAGCTGAAGTCTTTGAAGCAGTACTCCCAGAGGCCCATGTTCTTGAAGTTGCTGAAGGACTCCTCGTAGGACTCAATCCAGTATGGCGAGCAGAAGGACATCATGAGGAAGACGCTCGCCACGTACGACAGCAGAGCGCCCAGGACGAGGGTGTCTGAAAGTGGGCAGAAGAGATGAGTCTCAGATTGATGACAACAATTAGCCATCAGAAATGGGCGTGACATCTGAGAAACTCAAGCACACATCTTCCGTGCTGATTTCTTGCAGAAGTCTTGCGATGCTGAACGGGAAACTTACTCGATGCCCTGGGATATTCATTCTTCTCCGAAGTGCTGCTCATTTTGAGGGGCGCAGAGACGTGGAAACAGGACTTTTAATGCACACAAGTGGAACAACACAAAACACAACACACAAAACCCCAATGGACGGAATGACAAGTGCCAAAGAGATCCAAAAACATCTCCAAAGAGAAACACGCCCAAAGCGCGGCGCTGCCAACATTCCGGCTGATTTTGAACACTAACCGACTCGCAGGGTTATCCATACAATTTTCAAAGGTCTCTTTATTCGTCTCAATTTACTTACAAAATTGTCTTTATATAAAATTTTTCATGCTTTGTCTTACAATCTTACACAAGGCAGCTTCTTAGACCCAAAACATTTGGGAATAGTTACAATTAATTTGTTTTTTTACGCTATATGTCAGTGGTCTGTTCTTATCCTTATACATATTTACAACTATATTTCTCAATATAATCTATTGTATAAAATAGAATAGCCCTTATAAAATAGTTTTAGATAAAATGGACGGATTCGTTTCTCTCTCTCGCAAAATAGGGTCAAAGATTTGGAAGCGTCACGTTGATTTGTGGTTTGTCATAGAGTGATTAATATGGAAAGAAAATGAAATACGCGCGTGAATGGGAAAAATCAATTTTGAGAAGAATTGTGCATTCAGAATGTGGGTCAATTGCAAGATGATTGTCTCACAATTCTCACTAACGAGAACATAAACATTGTGAATTGATGTCTTGTGGCACAAATCTGTCTAAACTCATGGTAATTCGTCGTTCATTTTGTGAGATTCTTGAGGTTTTCTCCTTCCTCTTCTTTGTCTATTCCCTGGAAAAATCATTGGTCACCTACTAAAATGAAATGTATCTAAAGTTTGAATTGTAAAGAGAGGAAAATACACTCTACGCCTTTGTCTCGTGCTCCAATTCAAATCTTGCTTGAGATTCCTTCAACTGTTTCCTCTTTTTTGCCTGAATTGTGGCCTCTGTGAAGAAGAGGGATGCGGCAATCAGGACTGTGACTGATCCAGCTACAGCTAAGCCAAATGACCATCCTGAAAAGATACGAAATACATTTCGTAGAGAATGGTTGAGGATTTCTGCTGTGTTGAAGCAAAAATCTACTCACCAAAGAAGTTATTTGCATGCTCTGGCATCCACCTGTCCCTGTTCCCGAAGCAGGCAAACGTGATGACGGCGATGCAGCCACAAATGCCAGTTCCCAGAAGCAACCAGCTGATAATCTGTGAATACAGTGAAGGATTTAGTGCTCTATTCCATCCAGAATGTCTTGAGCACACTCACCTTTATCAGCAAGACGAAGCGTCGCTGATCTGGTCCGGCGCACAAGAAGAAGAGCAGCACCAAGACTAGTCCCACAAGGACGCCAATCATGCAGAGTGTGAAGAAGAACTGTGTGATGATCATGAAGGCTGCAAAGACAAACAAATTAGTGCAAAGATTCTCGCATAAAAGCCTCTCTCTTCAGCAGCTCACCTGGCAGGAGGAATCCGCGGATCTCGTCGTAGCCCGTGGTAAAGGGATCGTAGACCCAGCGGCAGCCCACGAAGAATCTCCTCTGGTAGTCATCATTGACGTCCGGGAGGGATCTGAAGCAGTGCACCCACAATCCCAGGCGATCCAACTTCGCGCCCGTGATCCTGTAGTCACTGACAATCCAGCTGGGCGTCGAGAAGGCGATCACGACCGCCACAAGGCCAACGACAAAAACACCCACACCACAACTTCCCGCCAACGTGCGTCGCTTCATATTTAAGCTGTTGACGGAATCGATATAATCAGTTTTGCGCATTGTGACTGATCTTCCAGGACTGCGGCGGCTGTGTTAGGATAAGCAAGAGACATTCATCGTTAATTCCACATCACCCGAGCTAGAGGCGTTAGCATTTTCGCAGCACCGCACAAGCAAAAGAGCAAAATTATAAGTGGAAGCATTTATAGAGCAGCAATTACAGCACATTCAAAACATATACAGATAACAATCGCCGAGTTAAAACTATTCGAGTATTCTAACACTCATTGCCAAGAATTTTCCAAGCGAGGGAAAGTGAAATTATTTCTCCGATGCATTCAGTGCTTGAAAGAGCGCAGAAAAGGGTTGAATAGAAGAGAAGGAGAATTCTAAATTGGTTGAAAACAACGGTGAGGAATTGCAATAAGACGAGTTGAATGGAATTGCGGTATTTTGAGATTTGTTGAATTGTCTGATAAGATTCTGAATGCTTTTATGATATTCTCTTGTACGATTACAATCAATAACTTGAAGATTTTACATTGTCTATTGAAAAATAGACTCAATAGACTACTGAATTTATGAAACAGAACATGTTTTGTTATTCTTGCCAATTGTAATATTCCTTTTCTTTACTCTTGCGTGTAATCTCGAGTTTTCAACTCATTCTATTCTATTCTAATTTAGGTTAATCTGTTTCATAACTTCTTAGTGCAGAGTGAGAAAATAGAATATTTTCCAATCATAGCATTCTAAATAACCCCGCTTTTCTCTACAAATCTTCCCGTTATTAGAACTTTAATTACGATTTCTTTATTGTATTGAAATTTTCTTCATTCATATCGTGAGCTGTCTTTAAAGCACTCCTTTTTGCCTTCCGTGAGATTTCACAGCAATCAAGACTATCGAGGATTCGAGGCTCTTAAACTTGAGGATATTCGTGTGATATAAATCACAGTTGAGATAACAGAAAGTAATTTATAGGGAAATTCCTCTTCAGACATGCGAAGATTTATAGAAATTTCTCATGTAGAGAAAGGAAGAGACATGGCAATAAAATTCATGAGAATACGTGTGAAAGGATGAATGAGGAAAAACATATTTGTAACAATTCGTCAATCGTGTCACGCTATTGCACGAAATTCCTCTTTGTCACTGACTCTTGTGAGACTCTCTCGTGAAGTTTTTTTTCACACAGAGTGGCGACATGAAAATGATAACAATAATAAGAGAGATTGAATGGCAGAAAAATATTGTGGGGGATTTATTGAGCAATGGGGCAAAATTGCAGTGAATTCATGTACTTTTTTTCTGCACGGCCCCAGAATTGTGGGAACACTTGTGCGGGGCGCACGAACAATTAATTGGCTCGTCGCTGGAGAAACCATAAATTTGCCACTCTCTTTCGGAAGCACTCTCTGCAGAGGATATTTTTCATGTGGTTTCGCTCTCTGGGTAAAGGATCGCCTTTGTGGTGCAGCAGGCGGCGAGTATATGTAGGTCGTGTCCTGTGAGCATGGAAAATTGTGGGGTTTTACGATGGGGCGCACACTTTGAGGGTGGTTTTCTTTGTTGTTTGTTTTGAATTTCTCTGCCTTCGCCGTTGCCAAGGCATTTTCCTTCCTCCACAACAACAATTCTCTCTCTGGCCAATTCGAGTCGGTGGTAAACAGAGGAAAAATTCTGCAGAACACCAACTGCCAAGTGAATAATTTACATGGGAATTAAACATTCTCACGCACATTTTTCCCTCTCTTTCCATCATGATTGTTTGTTGGGCGTATATTGGACGGATATTGCGATCCTGGAAATGATGGAATTTTTGCTTGTACAAAATCGAGAGATATTTTTGAATTATTTTTAAGAATTTTCCTAAGATGTCTTCTTTGGTAATTTTGGTAGTTGAAACCGATGGTTTAAGCCCTATCGCGTGGAAATGTTTTTGTCACTGTATTTCGTGTGTTTGTACACAAGAATCGCCGTCACTGATGACTTTCTTAAGCTCTACAACTGGTTTTTCTTCACTACTTGCCATGAAGAAACACATCACAGTTGAATGTTTGATGAGTTTTCCTCACAATCGCGGGTGACTTTTCCTCCACTTTTTCGGGCAAATTGGGTGAAGAGAAAACCCGTGAAGCGACGAAATTGATGGCGAGGCAAAGGCAAATTGTCACCTTTAATTGCCTTTTGGAGCGCAGAAACTCGTTCTAATTTCCATTGTAGATTTCTATCATTTGCAATTCCTCACTTTTGTGAAAAGGTAAAAAATTATTCGCGGAAAATGGATTCTTGGCGGATTCGCCACGACGGGGCCCCGCGAAGCCTTCGTGCACCACAGGTGTGTGTTTATCACAGTGAGTCACGGGGAAAATGGCGTACTGTGGACTGGGGCGAAGCACTTTGCGGGCGTACAGCGCACTACGAAAGTCAATTTACTCACAAATTCCACGTGAAATCAGTCACCAATTAGTCACAGAATCAATTGATACACAAAACACGGGTGGCTGGATGAATTTTTAAAGGGAAAAACTTACGGTGCGTTGGACTTCTTGGCACGCCCTGATATGAGCTCCGAATTTTGTTGCATAGCCAACACAATTGGAGAAGTGTATTTTTACCAGCCACCTCACACACTCATCGCTGCTCTTTTTTCCCCATCGCCGCCGCCGCTGGAGTGGGCATGTGTGCGATGTCGTGGCGACACTCGCACCGAACCTCACACACACACACGCGCGCGGACGCGCCAAATTAATATCCACCAACACACCTTGCCACCGATGCGTCTCCGCTGGGGCGAGTGTTGGGACAGTGGAGACACTCTGGGACAGTCCGCAGGTGCCCAAAGATTCCCATGAAAACAAGTTTCTTTTTCTTACTAAAAGGGTACAAATTGTTTATTAAACAATACTTGATGAGATATATTGTAAAATTTCGCGAAAGAGGCAATAAGCAGACTCTTCCCTGTCGTCGGATTCACGATAAATGGACGGAATCTTCTGTGTTTCTTAAAACTACTCAAGACGAGACTCAATAGTTACTCGAGTATGGACGGATGTGGTGCAAAGGGAGGATCCTGAGCATCCTCTCTAGATGTCCGTGTGGCCACTGGCTCCTGCGCGCAGCTTCCTGTCGTCCATGCTGTAGGCGCTGGCCTCTCGCGTGCCGATCTCATTGAGTCGCTTGTACTTGATCTTGCGCGCCTCGATCAGGAAGAGGATCCCAGCGGGGAAGAGGCTCATGGTGCCGAGGACGGCGAGCGCAAACGCCCATCCCATGTTGTTGTGCTCCCAGTTTGGCATCCAGTCGCGTCCGTCGCCTCGGGCGCCGAACGTGATGACGGCAATGAGACCGCAAGTGGCGCCAATCACCTGAACCGCTCCGTTGGTCAGCAGAAGCATTATGTAGCGATCGTCGTCCTTCGAGGCGAGCAGGAAGAGGATGGTGAGGAAGAGCGACAGCAGCAGGAGCGTGAAGCAGATGGTGAAGAAGAACTGCGTGGCCACGAAGAAGGTCGGCAGCAGGAAGTCATGGATGATGTAGTATTCCTCCTCAAACACCCACATGCATCCGTTGAAGCGCACGTCGTACCAGCGATTGATGTCCTGGAATTTGGTGAAGCACACCTCCCAGAGTCCTGTGGAAATTAAGACGTGTTTTCACATTGTTGACGTCCGGAGGCCACACCCCACCCTCCGAGGCGCATTGGGACACTTTCCCGGCCAACGGAGCACTCACCCAAGTGCAGGAACTTCGGCGCCCTGTTCAGCCCATCGTGCTGCAGCCAGTAAGGCGACACAAAGGCTATCAGGACGAACAGGAAGGCCACACCAGTGAAGACAAGAGCGAAGCGACTTGTTTTCGTGCTGGCTCCCATTTTTCCGCTTGACAACTAACGGCGAATTTCCCCTTCGCGCGTTGACTCATCTGACAGGGCGAAATTGAGTTAGGGGAAAGGTGGGGCTCTCCCGCCTTTTCAGCACTTTTCAAATCTTTAAAATTTCACACAGAAAATTCTCTTTCTCTCTTGCAGTTTTCTTCGAGCCCACGGATATGCTTATCGCCTCGAAGCCTTTTGAGCTTGATCAGGAACTCTATGGAGCGATAAAATTCATTTCTCCCAACATCCACGAATTGGGCGCCATTGGGAGATTCTTCGGAGCCACTGAAGTGTCTTTCACTGAGATTTCCCGCCTCCAGGAGCGAAAGGAAGTGCTGGAATTTACTGAGGAGATGAGCAAGGCCATCCTGCCACACGTGGACACAATTCTTCTCACTCTGGGACGTCATGGAGCCTTCGTGGCGACGAGAAACTCTCCTTCTTCAGGATTCTTCAGTGATGGTGTCTGTCCAACTTATGCTCCAAGCATGGGAAAAGCCACTGGGAGATTCTACGCGGCAGAGGAGATTCTCAACGTCGTGAGTGTCTGTGGAGCTGGAGACAACTTCGCCAGCGGATTTATCGCGGCAATGCTGAAGGGAGAGAAGGAAGGAGTGTGCGTTTCTGTGGGATTTGAAGCGGCCAAACTCACTCTGGGATCATCCAAGACAGTTCCGGACACTCTTTTTGACCACAATCACCAGTGCTGGAATCGCAGCATCGTCTCAGAGGAGATTTTCTGCCTGTAAACATTTTTTTATACTGTAAAATAGTATATTTTTCTAACGCCTCTATATTTTTGAATGAAAAGTGTGTGTTGACGTCATCATATTTGCAAGGTTGGCTGTGATTTCTAAGGGAAAGAGACGGCTATGGCGGAGTAGAGTGAGATAGAGCGAGACGGGGAGAGTCACCTGTGTGTCTTCTTCTTGAATTCATTTGTTTTTCACGGCACTTTCTAGTGTGAATGACTGTCAAGTTTTTGGCTTTTGCAAAGCAGGAGACTTTTCCGCCGTATTGTGGAGTCGAGTTGCGCCGCTAAGAAAGTTGAAGCTTCACGGAAATGAGTACAAAGTCCTCTAAGAGTGCCCCAGAGGGCAAAAAGTCGAAGGAAGTATCGGCGATTGCGAAACTGTACCTGATTCTCTACAATGCTGGCCAGGTTCTGGGGTGAGTAGTCTCCGGAGGAGGGCAGGCAGATCGTGGGCTAACCATGATGGTCTCTTAGGTGGAGTTACATGCTGTATCAGCTCGTGGCGTATTACACAATCGACAGTGGGTCCGGGAAGAGTCTCTGGGACTACTTGGCGCTGACTGTGATCGTGTTTCAGAATGCAGCAGTCCTGGAGGTGAATTGTGAGACTCAGATCCTTTCCGGGATGATTTTCTCATGGCAATTTCTCTCCATAGATTATACACGCCGCAATCGGAATTGTGCCCAGCAACGTCATCATCACCACCTTTCAAGTTCTCTCACGCGTGATGGTTGTCTGTGGCGTGGTGATGGCCACTCCCTCCGGGAAGGAGTCTCCGGGTCTGCCTCTCGCCCTGCTCGCCTGGTCAGTCACTGAGATCATCCGCTACGGCTACTACGCTCTCAATCTTGTGAACAATGTCCCGAAGCTGGTGACCTGGCTTCGCTACACAACCTTCATCGCTCTCTATCCCATCGGCGTGACGGGAGAGCTGCTGTGCTTCTTCTGGGCGCAGGACTACGCCAAGAAGCATGGCGTGTGGTCAGTGGAGATGCCGAACGCCTTCAATGGCACCTTCTCTTACTACTACTTCCTCTGGTTCGTGATGCTCCTCTACATTCCGCTCTTCCCGCAAATGTACCTGCACATGTTCGTCCAGCGAAAGAAGATCCTGGGCGGCGGCGCCGACAAGAGCAAGAAACACTGAACCCAGGAAGAGGAGAGGTTCTGCGAGTCATTTGGTGATGGAACTCCAATTTCCCAGCGTGTTTTCTCTTTTGTAATCTTTGTAATTAAAGGTAGGAGTAAAAGTGAAAAGCAGGATTGTTTTTCTCAGGTTTATTCACACTTCCAAGAGACACATTTTACTGCGTTTGGGTCTCCGGGAGGGTGCGAATGATGTCCGAGTCTCCAGCGTCAGTGATGGAGAGTGTGCAGACGCGATAGTAGCGACCACAGGCAGTTCCCAGTTCGATATTGTTGCCACTGTAGTGATGAACGCCCGTCTTGGCCAGCATGGCGTAGTATTCAATCTCGGATTTCCTGCAAACCAGAGAATATCTCAATCAGCAACTCCGTCCACTTTGATGCATAAGCAATCAAATCCAGTCTCCCAAATCGCCAGGAATTTACACCAAATACGTTGTTACTTACACAGAAAGAGAAAACAGCCCCATTTCATCCCGCTCCAAAATTCTCTTTCTCAACTTTCACACTGAAAATAAGGCAGAGAAACACAATCTCGAGGGTGCGCTTCTTTGTCCCCAGTGTGCAGTGGGTCTCCACGCAGCCTCGAGATTGACGCAAGTCTGTCCGGAAGGCGATTTCTGCGCCCCGGAAGAGCGTCTTACCTCAGAGGAGGAGTGTTGTTGGCGATGATGATCAACTTAGCCTTGCCCTGGCGCAGTGTCTTCAGTGTCTGCTTGTATCCCAGGCAGTACTTGCCGGACTTCATCACGAGGGCCAGACGAGCATTGATGCTCTCCAAAGCCTTTTTCTGGAAAAGTCAAACATAACCTCACATTAGCCACGCCATCACATTTTCCACCAAAGAATCTTGCATTTATCAGTGATTATGAACAGGAAATAGATCATTTGAGCAAGGGAGGGGGAAGTTTTAATACAATTATGATCAGGAAATGGGAAATTGTAGGGAAAATCAGGGATTACACGTGGCTTACCTGCTTCTTCTGTGTAACCATTTTTCAGCGTTTTTGCACTAAAAGCGGCTCTGAAATCAATGCCAAAGCAATTAGAAAAAACTCTTTCGTACAAAACAAACGAAAATATCAAGAGGAAAATTCTAGATAATAGAGAAAATTGGAGAAAATCTGAAACACACCTTCAGTCGACAAGATTTTAGAATAGAAAGACCGAAGCGCCCTCGCGGTGCTGAAACGAAAACTACAAACTTGCATGCAATTTATGTTTTCGAACTTCTGGTCGAAATTGTCATGTCATGATTTTCCAAAATAATAACACGAAAAGTCTCTGTTTACCTTCAGAAGAACAGGAAGAGAAGATCTGAAAATTAATTTTCGTACAATTTTCCAAAGTGCAGAGACTAGAGAAAAATGGTGTGCGTTCCTTGCTTCATAATTCCAGTGCTGCTCTACATCTGGCACAAATTCATCCAGCCGTACGTCCTTCGGTTCTGGAATCCGTGGGAGAAGAAGGATGAGCAAGGGAATGTCGTGAAGACGGAGAATTTCCCGTTCACATGCAAAGGAGGAGCTTGTCCATTCCCTGCAGCTAAAGCCAAACCACAAATTCCTGAGAAAACTGAAGGCGTCACAGAAGCTCAAAGCACAGAAGTCACAGCTGAAGATAAGAAAAACGACTAGTCAAGGCCTTTTAATGGAAATTCATTTATTTTAATTCCGTGGTTTTTTTCGTAAAGTAATTCAGGTAATTCGCATGTGTGAATGAGGTAGAAAAGGTATTAAATGAAGGTGAAAAAAACTGATGAGTTTTACTCTGACTCTGTGAGATTTTCCATGCTGTGCTTGCTCCACTTCATCTCAAGGTCAAGGAGGAAAATCTTGCGATCTGGACCTCCGCCGTAGTTGACTTTTCCTCCTTTGGAGATCACACGATGGCACGGGATGATGATGGAGACGTTGTTCACCTTGCAAATGTGTCCAGCGTAGCGGAAGGCTTTGGGCTTCTCGATGAACTCCGCCAGTTGCTGGTACGTCCAGACAACGCCATAGGGAATGCTAAGGAGCGGATGATCAGCATCCACGAGTGGCACGGAGAAGCACTGCCTCTGTCCAGCAAAGTATTCGTTCAGCTCCAGCTGAACTTGTCTGAGAATCGGATGATGCTTGGCGTTCCTGGACAACTTGGTGTGATCTAAGTCCGCTGCGGTCGCAACTTTGTCCATGAAATCCAGCTTCTCCAAGCGATTGTCCACACTCACGGTGGCCAGCATATCCCCTATGGGAGTCTTAATAGTTCCACTGATGTGAGAAACCATCGCTGTTTTGGCAAAATCAAAGAGAACTCGGAGAACTTGAATTTCACAATGTTTCGGTACTGTGATGGCCATGAAAAATGGCGGGAGGGTGATTTCGAAAAGCTTTCGAAGATGTTTCGAACGGTACGAGCGCCAGGGCGGCGATCAACGGCATAGTTAACTGGTGCAGTCATAATTTATTTGAGAAAGAATTTTCCTAAAAACCATGAAAAACAAGCAATAACATCTAATATTTTTAAATTTTTCTAGTCATTCTCGTCACAGTCGAGATATCCACGATTGAGAAATGTTGGAAAAACAGCAGCTAACTGCCTCTGACGAGAAGAATTCAATGCTTCAACATATCGCACTATAAATTGTCTTTTATCACCGGGATTTTCCGACAGCGCACCCATGGGATTGTAGATCGACCAGTAGACCACATCTGGAAGAAAGAACGAGGAATTAGTCAGGTAGGATTGGTAAATAATATCTTTAGATTACCCAAAATTCCGCATTTGAGAACTTCCACGTGAAGATCCAGTAAAGTTGGGATTCTGTGGGAGAATCCTAGCTTACGCAGGATAAACTTAAACTCCTTGTGGTAGGAGCTCAGGAGGATATCCCTAGAATTGATATTATCCTCTGGCTCACAGAAGATATTGAATGCCCCAATGATGTCATAGGCAGGACTTCTCCAGGCGCTTAACTGGTAATCAATCTAGAAATGAATAATTGTTTAAACCACAAAGAAATTGCTGAACACAATTTATGTGGCAATCAACTAACGACAACACAATCCTTCTTGTTGTTTCTGAATAGAAGATTATGCTTGTGGAAATCTGCATGGCTCAAGACGTTGAATCCGTCATCTTTTGGGTGCGAGGAATCAATTATAGCATCGCAATAGTGAGGCTGGAATTTCCGGAGTTTTTCAGCGAATTCTGAGCATCCTTCCCAACTACTAACGACCTCAATGAATTGCCCATAAGCCAGATTCACAATCGGCACATTCTTGGCCAAATCCTTCCAAATGAAATTGGTGAACTTGGACATGTCGATGTTCAATTCATGATGTAGAAAGTAAGAAAACGCATGGAATTTGGCCAAATGCTGAAAGACTTTTCGGCAGTCGTCAAGTGAATAGGGATCCGGGAATTTCTCGAAGCCTTCCTGGGATACATCTTCTATCACCACGACCAGGGGATTCTTGGAGAAGTGGTAGAGTTTTGGGAATCGCAATTCACATTCCTCAATCTTGGGCAGAATGTGAGGAAGTTTACTGATAAAATCCTCATAAACTTCTCCCTCTCTCTCAAACATGATCTCCTGAAGAGAGAACGTGAGCTGAAAATTATTCGGCGATGATTCACACAGAGTCTTAACAAAAGCACTGTAAACTTCTTTTGGATCCTTCTTATTTGTCACCTTCACTTTAAACAACTTTGTCGCTATATTCTCAATGTGTTTCTCGTAAAACTGCAAATCAACATCCCAATCAATTGGTTCTTTCAACTTTCTTTCTCTGTCGAAGAAATCATTGAAGATCTTCTTAATATAATCATCCGTAAGCCAGTTGGGAAATTCACTCATTTTCACCAGTAATATCACTTTGAAATTCACACCTGAACTGATACGAATTCCGCGAGATTCTCTCTTTTATAGAGGTTCTCATTATAGGAATCTTTATTGGCTTATTTATGATAGTGCTTCAAAGTCGATCTTTATCAAAAAAATTTTGAAGTTGATGTAAGACTCACTTTTTTTACATTTGCAACATTTGTAGATTAGAAGAAGTTTTATCTTGCTGGTTTTTATTTAGCGACAATTTTTTAATTAATTTTGTTAACAGGCGAATAATTTTCTTAGTCATGATTGTTCTCCTAGGTTATGAACGCTTTTTATGATTTTTTTTGTGAGAATAAAAAATTCCACCAACAACTCATGATAGAAACAAAACGAATTGAATCCCAATTTATTTATTTGCCATTAACCTCATCGTATTTTTATCGGTAATACTGTAATTTGATACTTTATCTTCTGCCATAAAATATCTTTTTTTTTATATTTCTAATTGGCCAGTGTGCAATAATTTGGGCAAGAGTGTCTCGATAACATTCTTCAGTTCTCCTTCCTCGCGATAGATTTTCATCTGAAATTCCAACATAAATTCAAACCCTTTCTCCTCCGAACCATTTTCCTGACTCTCCAATTCCGCCGCGAACTTGGTCAAGTCCATGTAGAATATTGGAAGGAAGCACGATGCCAAGAAGACTTCCATGAAGCCGTGGCGCAGCAGTTCAATGTGCAAATCCAACAAACTTGGTGGCTTCTTGAGATATCCGAGATCGGTGAGCAGGGAGCAGAATTTATCATGGTAGATCCTCAGGAGTTCCTCCTGTCTCTCCCTAGCCTTGCTCGAAGCCATTGCGTACAGAATGTAGTACAGATCGACGGCAGGAGTTCCCCAGAAGCAAATCTGGAAGTCAATCTGCAGAGAAATTAGATAAAATCTGTAAAGTCTATTTTCGAGAATCATGTGTTCAGCACAAAACTCACAAAAGACACATGTTCAATGCCCTCGTCATTGAATCTGAACATGAGGTTCCTGATGTGAAAGTCCCCATGATTCAGCACATTGAAACCAAAGTTATTTGGATTGGCTTTGTAAACGGCGCCCAATTTGTCGAAGAAGAACGGCTGCACGGCCTTCAATTTCTCCACAATCACATCGTACTTCCCATAGCTTTTAACACCTTCGATGAAAGTATTGAAGCTCTGAGGAATGAACTCCATCTTCTCCCCAATTCCATCAGTGATGAGACCTTTGTCGAATGTCGTCAAGTCCAGTATCGACTCGTTCTGAATATAGTATGATAGCGCGTGTAATTTCGCCAATTTCGTTATCACTTGAACAGTGCTGTCATAATTTAAAGCATCATGCTTGGCCACGTAACCATATTTAGCAATGTCCTCAAATATAACGAAATCTGGATTCAGACCGTGATAAATGATATTTGGCGCTATGATATCACTGTCTCCAGTCTGGGTCAAGAGTCGCTGCATTTCGGGCAGAACTTTTGTATACATTTCAATCTCCGTCTCGAAGAATGGCACTTCGCCCATCATTTCCTTCTTCAGTCCATCAACGAAGGGCTTCACTTTAATGATCACGGAGAGCTTTTCAGGCGACGAGTTCTTCTTTGAGGTGAACGCGAGATGAGCTCTATAGACGACACTGGCAAAGTTGTCTCCAGGTTTTGTCGCCGGAACAATGTTGCATTCCGTCACCTGAGAATTGAGGAATCAATGGTTTCGATTAATGCACAGGAAACTTTGTGAGAAACTCAGAAAATCAACAGTTTAATGAATTATTAGTTATTATTGATATTATTATGCAATAGTCCAATATTTGTGTGCCTTTCCAACACTTCTAATTAATCAAACACGGAACTCTTAGAATGCTTTAGTAAAAGAATCTCAAAGACGCAAATTATTCTATGGGTGTGAATTATAATAGAAGAAGTAAGAATGAACTTCTGATCTTGAGAAACACATAAGATTTCTATGGAAGCCTTGTGTCTGTCAAATTTGGAAAAAAATTACAAATCTTATCAAGTTCAGAAATATTATTGCACTCTCATGAATCTATATAATCCTCCTTCATTGTCACATAAAAATGACACGTTTAATGTAATATGTTTATCTTATGATTACCAAAAGTGTATTGTCACTCTCATAATTCCTCAGGGCTTTCTGCAGGAGATCCTGATTGAGCCAATCTGGCGGTGCAATGTTTGTATCGAACAAATCGTTCATCTTCTTCTGGCCATTCACAACAGTTGGTGGTTTTGCCTCAACTTCAGCTACACCCTCACTCATTTTATCTTCTTACTCCCGCGCACGTGATCTCAAACTTTTATGACTTACACTCTCCTCGGCGTCTTCACAGAAACTGATGAGCTTGTGGGATTCTTTTTGCCGCGAACGCGGGATCTTATTATTATCATATCGCACAGAGGCATTCAGATTGTCCGACTGATCGTGGCACATGTATTTTTTCAGACGAACCGGATACGAACATTTCACGAGTTCCCAATTACATATAATTCTATCGTTAGAAAAATAGCACAACACAATGGCAAAAGCACGGCAGAGTGTGTGTAATGATAAATTTGACCATGAAATTAGGCACTTTGGAATGTTGACGGATGCTTTTTATTTATACTCTCATTGCTTCCCTAACTCAATGTTATTGAGCGCCAACACCACGAGATTCTGTACAGCAATGTTACGAAATTTATTTTGACTGTCCATGGGGAAAGTTCATTCACTTTTTTCTTCGGCTACAGAATGTGTTTTATTGAACAGGGAGTTTTTGCACTACATTTTTTATATACTGTTCGGGGTTAGACTTCGAGATATCCTTTGTGCAGGAATTTAATCAGCAGTTTCTCAAGGACTGGTCTCATGCCGCTCTCGTTGTTGTACAGCATTCGAGACAATGCATCCATGTCGGACATGTCGACTCCCTTCAATTCCTCGAAATTCACGTAAAACATAGCCATGAATTGAATGGCGAGGAGAAGCTCTGCAAGCAGGAAAGTAATTTAATGTAACTTTTCATTGTTATTCTGCAGTTCTCGAGGAATCTTACCAACTACGCCATTCTTTAGCATCTCAATGTTCAACTCCAGCAGACTAGGTGGTCTCTTGAGACAGCCTAGCGCCTCGAGAATAGAGCAGAACTTCACGTGATAGATTCTGATGAGTTCCTCTCGATGATTATCCCTGGTTTCACTTGAGGCATTGCAGTACATAACGTAGTTAAGATCAACAGCCGGAGAAGACCAAATGGAAATTTGGAAATCAATCTGAAAAGGAATTTTGAAAATAGCAAACAAGCAAGTAAACTGGTTTTAAATTTGCTTACAAATGAAACTTCCTGTATCGCATCATCTTCATCATTGAGGAAGAGTAGGTTCTTAATGTGAAAGTCTCCATGGTTCAGAACATTGAAGCCTTCATTGGGCTTATTTGGACGGTAAGCCTTTCGTGCTGTTTGCAAGAGTTTCGGCGCAAGTTGCTCCATCTTCTCTGCGATTTCCTCATATCCTGGCCACTCCTTAATGCACCTTGTCGCTCTCATGAAGCCCTCCACAAAGAACTGCATCGACGCCATGCTGTGAGTGCCAAGGAGTCCATATTTGAACTCATCCACTTCTTTTTTCTCGTCGTGATACATGTAGTAAGACAGGGCATGGAATTTGGCCAGCTTCTCGATGACTTTCTTCGTGTTCTCAAAGTTCATTGGCTTGTGACGCATGACAAAGCCTTTCGGCGCGATGTCCTCAATGATGATAATCTCAGGATTGTTGCTGTAGTAAATCATGTTGGGCGCTATGATTTCAGGATCGCCCATCTGAGCCAGGAGTCTTTGCATTTCGGGTAAGATTTTCATGTACATGTCAGCTTCGACTTTGAACAGTGGCATGTCGATAAGGAGATCCTTCCAGATGCCATCCATGAAGGGTCGCACCTTGATAATTACCGACACGGAAACAGTCTTCTTCTTGGTGGTGTACTTCAGGTGGGCCCTGAATACGATACTTGCAAAATTATCACCTGGCTTGGTGGCAGGGACAATCTCGCACTCGAAGATCTATGGAGGAGGCCATAAAAGCATTGCATAATTGTATTGATAGGGGCTCTTGTCGAATTTATCGATAAATGAACCCTCGTGGCTAGTCATCTGAAATGTTTTTTTTCGGTTTCTCACATGTGATTCACCGCACAGGTCTGATAACGTGATAACAAAAGGAGTGGGCAGATGAGGGCTGAACTTACGTGGAGAGTCTTGTCATTCTCATACTCCCGGAAGGCTTTCTCCAAATACTCCCTGTTCAGCCACTCTGGTGGATCAGTGGCCACCTTAAAGAAATCCACCTTCATCTCTTTGGCATCGCCATTAACTTGGGCCGCGGCAGCGTCGGGCACAACGGTTTGATCGGTCTCAGCCATCGCGAAAAGCTTCAGAAAGTCACACGGTGTACAAGTTCACTCAAGCGCGATTGAATACTGACTGGTGATTCATTGGGTCTCTAACGAATGTGTGTAGATCAATTCAATGTCACACTTTTGCAGAATTCCAGTGCCTGATAGTGAACATTAACTGCGAGAGCTTTTTTTCCAGCTGATGCTTGAGATAATTTGTTCACACTCGTGCTAAGCCAATGACTGTGTTGTGTGTTTTCCATTACATATTTCAATTTACTCGCAAAACAGAATATTGCGCTGACCATGAAAATCACTCATTCTATTCTGGCAAGATTTCTTGTATATGGCAGATTTTTGTTATGATGTTATGAAATACCGTAGAGACTCATCTCTGGACATGTAAGACGAAATTGTTAGCGTCTTGTCGTAATCAGTGATAGATGACAGTGTTTTGTTTAATGCACGTCGGAGATTTACTATCTTTCAGTGATATTTGAATTGACGATACGCCTAAATTGTTTCAACAATTTATTTAACAATGATTAAGAAGACACTGTACAAGTTTAATCATTTTCTAAATTAATCTGTAACTACAATATGCCACGTTTGAAATAATATTGGTACATCAGTTGAATACAAATAATGATAACTATAACGCATGGCAATTTCAAAATTCTTAATACAATTGTGCCTTAATTTTCTCAATCCAGAAGACCTTTGTAGAGTAGCGATGGAAGAACTTCTTTCAGAATGGCAACAACGTCCGGATTCTTGTAAACCATCCTTTGCATTTGCGCCAACATTTCGGGTGTGGGATCCATTACCTGATCCATATCGACTTTCGTGAAGTCCAGACTGAAGAAGGGCAAGAAGCACAATCCGAGAAGAACCTCCAATTGTCCATGCTTCGTTATGTCAATATTCAATTCCAATAGAGAAGGTCCTTTGCGCAGGCATCCCAATCGCTCCAAATACTCATTGAACGTCTTATGATAGATCGATACAACTTCACCTTTTCGCGCTCTTGTCGCGGCATTGCCGATTGCGTAGAGTACATAAATCAGATCAACAGCTTGTGATCCCCAAAAGCACATTTGGAAGTCCAGAAACATTGTCTTATCAATGTCTTCGCCATTCTTGATAAACATCATATTTTTTATATGAAAATCGGCATGACAGAGCACATTGAATCCGGGTTCGGGATTAGGGTAGTACACGCTCAAGAGCTTTCTCAAGAAAGTTGTTCTGACCACCTCAATTTTCTCAGCAATCTTCTCGAATTCTGTCCAAGTTTCCACTTCTTCCTTCATTGCTGACAATCCATCAACGAACACTTGCATCTTGTCAATGGTGTTCTCTGTTATCATTATGCCTTTGTATTTGGTGAAATCGAATTTATGGGCATATTTCTGGAAGAAGAAAATATTGCGATCATTTTATGTGACTGAAACACACATAACACATTCTACTTTACATTGTCATTGATATAGAAAGACAGCGCGTGAAATTTGGCCAATTTCTTGACAATTTTAATGGCATTGTCAAAATCCAGGAAACCCTGATGCATCTCATAGCCAAATTTGCTGATATCCTCGAAGATGATAATCAGAGGATCTGTGCTATAATAGAGCATCCTGAAAAGTTAAAATTGTCAGTGATGTATGGAATATTTTCCTCTTTGTTGCGCGAATATGTCACCTGGGAGCAAGTTCTTCAAAATCACCAATAGATTCCATCAGTCTAACCATCTCGGGAAGGACTTTCGTGTACATTTCAATCTCCCTGTCGAAGATGGGCATTTCGGTCATCATTTCCTTCTTCATTCCCTCCTCGACGGGCATCGTCTTCACGACGAGTGACCTGGAGTTCACTTCCTTTCCCCTCGATGTGTAGGAAATGATGGCTTTGAACATAATACTGGCGAAATGATCTCCCGCCTTTGTACCCGGAATCATCTCGAACTTTGCTATCTACAACAAAATTTCACTTGCAATTCTCGAGCGAGCACTTGAAATTCTTATCACGTGCTACCTTGAGATCCCTGTCCTTCTCCACTTTCTGAAGAACGCCGAGAAAGAATGCCTCATTGAGGAAATCCGGTGGAGTGAGTTCATCTTTATTATACGGAGATGGTCCACTGCTTGGTGCTTTTTCTGCCATGATTCCCGCGCAAATTCTTGTTCTCTCACTCGAGTAAAATTCACTTGTGCCCGGAGCTTTTCTGGCCTTCTTCACCCACTGCTAAAGTTTAACTGATTGATCGCCGCGTCGCACATTGACTTATTTCACGTTGTGCGCCATTCTTGTCGCACGAGTGTTTATCTGAAAGACCTTGTGTCGGTGTTGTTGAGCATGTTGAGCATTTAAAATCACGAGTTCTTAACTTCATTAAAGGAGAAAAATTTAGAGTATGATCTTGCTTTCTCCTTTCATTATTTCGAGTGTGGCGCGTTGGATTTCTGGGTTTGAAACTTTCAAAGCCTTGACTAGCCTTATCACACACACATTCATTCATATAATGCGCTGGAGCTAGTGGCGCAATCTGGCGCCACTTTGCCTGACATCAGTCGGACGTAGCACGTGCTTCCGCTTCCATTCATCGTCACAGTGACAATCGGTCGGCAGATTTATTTTGGTTCTCGCTTTTTCGCACCGCAGTTTCAATTTGCGTGCCCACATTATAACATGTTTCGGCCGTGTTGCTATCACTAGTATATCGCCCATTTCAGTTGTGCTCCACTTTATTGCACTGCTCGCTGTTATCATTCGGAAGAGACCTGAGCACAGGGCAATTTCTTGCAAGTGGCTTCGAGTGGGCCATTTGCTGTGTGTTTCCTTTGTGGGTTAGTGGCAAATAGACTACCAAAAATCCATCTTGTCTCAATCAATGCGAGAGTGTGTTCGCAAAATGTTTCTTCCGGCTGATTTACTTTGACAGTGGCTTTAAAAAAATATGTGTACTCTGCATAAATGAACTATTTATAGCATCAAGTTATCCAACCGTGAAAATTATTTATTTTTGTGACCGATCACAGGAGATATATACTTTATATCTGTCGAGTGTGAACATATTAATTTTTCATTTTTCCTCCCGTATCAGCCAAAAAGGTGAATCAACTGCGCGAAGCGCTTTTTTCATCTAACTCAAAATTAAGAGGAATTCGACCTCAAAACTCTTGCATGTATATTTTCTCTTCGTCCAGACAATGACACTCCAGTCGATTCGGTATAATAAGGGGACTTTGGAAATCCTGGATCAGCTGCTGCTGCCCGTGCAGTCCAAGTACATTGCCGTGAAAGGAGTGGAGGATGGCTGGAGGGTGATCAACAAAATGCAGGTGATGCACATTTTCTGGAAGAGTGCCTTTGAACAGCTACATTGTATCAATTGGTACAATGTAACATGCCTTATCATTCACCAAAGCCGCACATCACCCTATTTGCCCATCAAACAACTCATGACGTTTCTTCATCTCCAGCAAATCCCTCTTACTAGGAATCAGTCTCTTTGATTTACAAGACAGTGCAAATACCCAGGCAATATATTATCAAGGCTGGAGTTGAATTTTCTCCCAGCCGTAAATTGCATTTTGCTGACGTCTGAATTTACATTTTTCAGATTAATATGCACTGAATGCTTTATTTATTTATTCTCGTGAGTAGCTGAAAAGGACATGAAGACATAACACTTTTGATTTGTCGCCAAATGAATTGACATCTCAGCATAAGACAATATTATAACACTTTTTGAAGCAATTAACCAAACTCGAAGATGTTAATAGAGCTTTCTGGGCATTTTGGCACAGATGCTCTGCAATAGTATTTAGATAAAATGCCAAGAAAGCTTTTAAGGGAAGTGATAGTTGATTTATTGAGAATAATATTTTGGTATGGTTAAGGACAATTAAACAAAGGATTAAAATACAATTATAAAATTTAATATCTTGGCATTTGACTGGCGAATTAAGTAAAAGATAGAACTTTGTTTAATATTTAATCGATCGTCGTGGTTTTTAAACCACAAGACATTTTATCGACAGCCGGAAGTTTTGGGTTTACGGAATATTCATTTGCTCTTTATGTGACCTGTTTTTTTATACGATGAATAGAACATTTCATTATCTCCGCAGGTTCGTGGGGCTCCTGCAATTGCCATTGTGGGGTGCCTGTCCTTGGCTGTGGAAATCTATCCAGAGGAATATGAGAGCAAGAAGACGCTGCGCCAAGAGATTGAGGGCAGGCTGAACTATTTAGTGTCCAGTCGACCGACGGCTGTGAATATGAAGGGCGCCGCCGAAGAGATGATCACCCTGGCTAATGATTTGGCCAAGGATGATTCAGTGTCTGTGTCAGACATGAAACAGAGGTAAATTGGGCGCACCGCACAAATTTTTCGGTGGGAAAAGAAGGACTGAAAATGTCGATTTGTCATTAATTTAGGTTTTTGGCGGCCACAGAAGCGATGCTTCAGAAAGATATTTCAGATAACATGGCGATTGGCACTCACGGTGCAGCTGCAATTTTATCTAATGTCTCTGGCGATGGACCAATCAGTGTCTTAACGCACTGCAATACGGGGTCATTAGCGACAGCCGGGTAATGAGCGATTTACAATAATTAATGTCAATTAAAAATTTACAATCTATTGATTTTTGCATGTCTTTCTCACATTTCAAATCTCAACATCTCGCATCTCCTTTGTGACCTCGGGCCTTAGGTACGGAACGGCGCTGGGCGTTGTGAGAAAATTGCACGAACTGAAGCGATTAGGTAAAGTATGTGTGAGGAAAGTGACTTGAGCATGGGAAGGTGATTGTCAGAGCACGAAAATGCATTAGGAGTGAGATATAGGAGGCAAGATGTGGGGTTGACAGCAGGATTGCACATGGCAAATGAATAAATTAGAGATTTTGGCACACAGTTCTCTCCTACCCAAGTCGCTTCAGACGCTAACAGTCATAACCAATAGGTGGGGAATTCATGCTCAGGAATTTCTCGGCTTGTCATCTTGATGATGGTCTGAGGATAGCTGAAAAATTCAATTCATGTAATTGAACTGTACGCGCGATGAGTGAGAATCCCCACTTTGTTTCTCAACGTTACGTATTGTTTACATACTTAATTTATACTTTTGGCATGTTTAACATAATCAATAGTTTGTTATAGATTAAATGCATAAGTATAAAGCTATGATTTCTATGTTGGGCAATCTTCCCACATCACTTTTCTCGATTTCAGCTGTTTCATGAATGCATTGCTAACCGAGAAATGATCTCTTTCTGGCATTTCAGAGCACGTTTACTGCACGGAAACGCGTCCGTACAACCAAGGCGCCCGACTCACGGCCTTCGAGTTGGTACACGACAAGCTTCCGGCAACGCTTGTCCTGGACAGCATGGTGGCTGCTCTGTTTCGCTGTCGCAACATTGGGGCTGTTGTGGTGGGCGCCGACCGGGTGGCCGCAAACGGTGACACGGCCAACAAGATTGGCACGTACCAGATCGCCGTGGTGGCGAAGCATCACGGCGTGCCTTTCTACGTCGCCGCTCCGCTCACGTCTATCGACCTGAAGATCTCGTGCGGCGACCACATAATCATTGAGGAGCGGCCAGATCGCGAGATGACGCACGTCGGGGAGCACCGGATCGCCGCGCCCGGCATCACATGCTGGAATCCAGCCTTCGATGTCACCCCAGCCGCTCTCATCTCTGGCATCATCACAGAGAAGGGCGTTTTCTCACCGGGAGAGCTTCAGGAGCAAGTGCTGCTGCACTCGCAGCCCACCAGTGATTCCTAACTCGCCGCACAATCCGTACCCCCGATGAAAGTGCCCCCAAAATCTCTGTCAGCCACAGAGAGATCCGTGTCATGTCACGTTAACGGTCTTTTCTTCCATAATGTATGAAATAATTCACTTTTTTGTAAAACACGCGAAATATTAAATAATTGACGGCGTCGGGCACAACGGTTTGATCGGTCTCAGCCATCGCGAAAAGCTTCAGAAAGTCACACGGTGTACAAGTTCACTCAAGCGCGATTGAATACTGACTGGTGATTCATTGGGTCTCTAACGAATGTGTGTAGATCAATTCAATGTCACACTTTTGCAGAATTCCAGTGCCTGATAGTGAACATTAACTGCGAGAGCTTTTTTTTCCAGCTGATGCCTGAGATAATTTGTTCACACTCGTGCTAAGCCAATGACTGTGTTGTGTGTTTTCAATTACATATTTCAATTTACTCACAAAACAGAATATTGCGCTGACCATGAAAATCACTCATTCTATTCTGGCAAGATTTCTTGTATATGGCAGATTTTTTGCCAAACATCATATCTAATATATTCAAACATGGATTTGTATTTTCTACAGGTGTTTTGAAATACCGTAGAGACTCATCTCTGGACATGTAAGACGAAATTGTTAGCGTCTTGTTGTAATCAGTGATAGATGACAGTGTTTTGTTTAATGCATGTCGGAAATGTGCTATCTTCTAGTGATATTTGAATTGACGATACGCCTAAATTGTTTCAACAATTTATTTAACAATGATTAAGAAGTCACTGTACAAGTTTAATCATTTTCTAAATTAATCTGTAACTACAATATGCCACGTTTGAAATAATATTGGAACATCAGTTGAATACAAATGCATGGCAATTTCAAAATTCTTAATACAATTGTGCCTTAATTTTCTCAATCCAGAAGACCTTTGTAGAGTAGCGATGGAAGAACTTCTTTCAGAATGTCAACAACGTCTGGATTCTTGTAAATCATCCTCTGCATTTGTGCCATCATTTCAGGTGTGGGATCCATTACCTGATCCATATCGACTTTCGTGAAGTCCAGACTGAAGAAGGGCAAGAAGCACAATCCCAGAAGTATCTCCAATTGTCCATGCTTCATTATGTCAATATTCAATTCCAATAGAGAAGGTCCTTTGCGCAGGCATCCCAATCGCTCCAAATACTCATTGAACGTCTTATGATAGATCGATACAACTTCACCTTTTCGCGCTCTTGTCGCGGCATTGCCGATTGCGTAGAGTACATAAATTAGATCAACAGCTTGTGATCCCCAAAAGCACATTTGGAAGTCCAATAAAAATATCTTATCAATGTCTTCGCCATTCTTGATAAACATCATGTTTTTGATGTGAAAATCGGCATGACAGAGCACATTGAATCCGGGTTCGGGATTAGGGTGGTACACGCTCAAGAGCTTTCTCAAGAAAGTTAGCCTGACTTCATCGATTTTCCCAGCGATTTTCTCAAATCCTGGCCATGTTTCCACTTCTTCCTTCATTGCTACCAATCCATCGGCAAGTATTTGCATCTTGTCAATGGTGTTCTCTGTTATCATTATGCCTTTGTATTTGGTGAAATCGAATTTATGGGCATATTTCTGGAAGAAGAAAATATTGCGATTATTTTATATGACTGAAACAAGATATTCTACCTTACATTGTCATTGATATAGAAGGACAGCGCGTGAAATTTGGCCAATTTCTTGACAATTTTAATGGCATTGTCGAAATCCAGGAAACCCTGATGCATCTCATAGCCAAATTTGCTGATATCCTCGAAGATGATAATCAGAGGATCTGTGCTATAATAGAGCATCCTAAAAAGTTAAAATTGTCAGTGATGTATGGAATATTTTCCTCTTTGTTACGTGAATATGTCACCTGGGAGCAAGTTCTTCAAAATCACCAATAGATTCCATCAGTCTGACCATCTCAGGAAGGACTTTCGTGTACATTTCAATTTCCCTGTCAAATATGGGCATTTCGGTGAACATTTCCTTTTTTACTCCCTCCTCGACGGGCATTGTCTTCACGACGAGTGATCTGGAGTTCACTTCCTTTCCCCTCGATGTGTATGAAATGATGGCTTTGAACATAATACTGGCGAAATGATCTCCCGCCTTTGTACCCGGAATCATCTCGAACTTCGCTATCTACAACAAAATTTCACTTGCAATTCTCGAGCGAACACTTGAAATTCTTATCACGTGCTACCTTGAGATCCCTGTCCTTCTCCACTTTCTGAAGAACGCCGAGAAAGAATGCCTCATTGAGGAAATCCGGTGGATTGAGTTCATCTTTATTATAAGGAGATGGTCCACTGCTTGGTGCTTTTTCTGCCATGATTCCCGCGCAAATTCTTGTTCTCTCACTCGAGTAAAATTCACTTGTGCCCGGAGCTTTTCTGGCCTTCTTCACCCACTGCTAAAGTTTAACTGATTGATCGCCGCGTCGCACATTGACTTATTTCACGTTGTGCGCCATTCTTGTCGCACGAGTGTTTATCTGAAAGACCTTGTGTCGGCAAAAATCAGTATTAGTTTGCGACAAAAAAATCATCTCTATGTAATAGTAACCGAAAATGTGCCCGATCATCATCACACTATAAAAAATTTTCTAACAATCATCAACAAAGACCTATTACGCCTATTACATAAACGAATATTTTTACAACCCCGTGCGGCCGAATTAATACACACAAAACATAAACAGCATTAAATTTTTAGATAACTTCTTTATTGATATTTTTCTACGGAACAGAATATTAAAGCAAAAATTTAATCTAATTTTATTAGCATAGAATTCCCTTGTACAACAAATCAGGAAGAATTTCTCGCAATACTTTAACCACATCTGCGTTGGCATATAACATCTTTCTCATATTAGCCATGACTTCAGGAGTGGGATCCACGACATCATTCAAGTCCACCTTACTGAAATCTAAAGCGAAGAATGGAAGAAAACACACTCCGAGCATAATTTCCATTGTTCCCTTCTTCAACATTTCAATGTTGAGATCCAACAGTGTTGGCGCTTTCTTGAAACATCCCAATCGGTTCAGATAATCACAGAAACATTCGTGGTAAATTGAAAGTATTTCTCCGCGACGTTTCCGACAATCGGCGTCTCCAATGGCGTAGAGAATGTAAATAAGATCAATCGCAGGTGATCCCCAGAAACTAATTTGGAAGTCCAGGAACATGGTCTTATCAATGTCTTCGCCATTCTTGATAAACATCATGTTCTTGATGTGGAAATCACCGTGACAAAGCACATTAAATCCCGGCTCAGGATTACTTTCATAGATTTTTAGCAGTTTCGGAGGAAATGTAGCATTTTGAGTGGCCAATTTTTCCGCGATGACTTCATATCCTGGCCAATTGTCCACTTCAGCTTTCAGATAATCGAAACCTTCAAATAAACCTTTAAATTTTGCTATCATTTCATCAGACATCATATTTTTCAACTTTGTAACGTCAACCGATGTGTTGTATTTCTGAAAAATAAGAATGATTTTTCTTTTCATTCATTAGATAAGATAATCTTAGTAATTAATACTCACGTTGTCATTCATGTAATAGGAAAGAGCGTGATATTTAGCCAACTTCTTCAACACTTTCACAGTATTGTCGAAGCCAAAGAGTCCATCGTGCATTTTGTATCCTTGCGGTGAGATGTCCTCGAAGATAATAATCGTCGGATCTTTGCTGTGATGAATCAACCTGAAATTCACTAAATTACTTGAATACTTGCTACAAGTTGCTCTAAAACTACTGCTTTTTACTTCGGAGCAATTATTTCGTTATCCCCAATCGATTCCATGATCCTCTTCATTTCGGGAAGGACTTCAGTGTACATCTCAATCTCTCTATCGAAAATGGGCGCATTCTCAAGCATGTCCTTCTTCAGTCCCTCCTCAACTGGCATCGTTTTCACTACGAGAGATCTCGAGTCGACTTGCTTTCCTCTCGAAGTGTAACTTACAATGGCTTTGAACATGACACTGGCGAAATGATCGCCAGGCCTTGTTCCTGGGATCAGTTTCAAGCTCGTAATCTAGAATAGTATTTAATTAACATTCTGAATACACAGTATTTATTTCGAAGTCTCACCGTGAGCGCTTTATCATTTTCCTCTTTCCTTAGGACTTTTTCGAATAATTCTTTATTGAGAAAATCGGGAGGATTTACTTCATCCTTATTGTATTGGATTGTTTCACCGTTTTCAACCATTTTCAAGCTTCTAGATCACGTAAAATTCGTTTAAAAATGACTTGTGGTCAGAGCCAGTGCTGAAGATCAACTAATCATTTGCGAATTTTTCACTCGAACTAAAGCCGATTTTATGTGATATGAACTACACTAATAAAGTGTGATAGTGTGCGTGCCAAATTCAGATATTTCACCATATGTTAAAGTTTGTGTGATACAATTTATACATAGAAAAATGAGTTTGACGAATGAAAAACTGAACGTAAAAAAATCATCTAATGATAACATACTGCTTTATTCCTGGCTTTCTGATATTGATCAGTCATTGTGAATCAAATTGACGTAATGATAAAGAATTTTAGGTTCATGAAATGTATTTCCATATTTTGTGTTTTAAAAGCATTTTGAGTTTTGCAGAAAAGTATTATTTTATTTCAAATCAAGATAAAATTCCCTTGTATAAAAATTCTGGAAGAACTTCTCGCAGAACTTTAACAACTCCTTCATTGGCATAAATAATTTTCTTCATATTAGCCATGACTTCAGGATTGGAATCCACCATTGCTTCGGGGTCAACTTTGGTGTAATCCATATGGAAGAATGGCATGAAGCACACTCCCATTAGTATTTCCATTGCTCCCTTCTTCAATATTTCAATATTGAGTTCCAGTAACGTCGGAGATTTCCTGAAGCATCCCAGTCGGTTTAAGTACTCACAGAAGGCTTCGTGGTAGATTGAAAGTAATTCTCCGCGACGTTTCCTGCAATCGGCGTCTCCAATGGCGTAAAGAATGTAAATAAGATCAATCGCAGGTGATCCCCAGAAACTAATTTGGAAGTCCAGGAACATGGTCTTATCAATGTCTTCGCCATTCTTGATAAACATCATGTTCTTGATGTGGAAATCACCGTGACAAAGCACATTAAATCCCGGTTCAGGATTCGCTGCATAGATGTCTTTAAGCTTCCCAGAAAATGTTGCATTTTGAGTGGCCAATTTTTCGGCAACCGTTTCATATCCTGGCCAATTGTCCACTTCAGTTTTCAGATAATCGAATCCTTCAATGAAAGGTTTGAATTTTTCAATCATTTCATCTGTCATCATGGTTGCATACTTTGCAAAATCTACAGTCGTGTTGTATTTCTGAAATAAAGGATTTCATTAAAAATTCTCGCAATCAAAAAGCAAAATATATTTGTAATTAGTTCTCACATTGTCATTCATGTAATAGGAAAGAGCGTGATATTTAGCCAACTTCTTCAACACCTTCACAGTATTGTCGAAGCCAAAGAGTCCATCGTGCATTTTGTATCCTTGCGGTGAGATGTCCTCGAAAATAATAATCGTCGGATCTTTGCTGTGATGAATCAATCTGAAATTCATTAAATTCCTTGAACATTGTCCACAAATTCTTGTCTAAATACTACTATTTACCTGGGAGCAATAATTTCATTGTCTCCAATCGATTCCATGATCCTCTTCATTTCGGGAAGGACTTCAGTGTACATCTCAATCTCTCTATCGAAGATGGGCGCATCCTCAAGTAGGTCTTTCTTTGCTCCCTCCTCAATTGGCATCGTTTTCACTACGAGAGATCTCGAGTTGACTTGCTTTCCTCTCGAAGTGTAACTTACAATGGCTTTGAACATGACGCTGGCGAAATGATCGCCAGGCCTTGTTCCTGGGATCAATTTCAGGCTTGTAATCTAGAATATTTCACTCATTTCACTAAAATATTTTCAGCACACTTTCATCTTAAATTCTCACCTTAAGCGCTTTATCATTTTCCTCCTTCCTTAGGACTTTTTCGAATAATTCTTTGTTGAGAAAATCGGGAGGATTAAGTTCATCCTTATTGTATTGGATTGTTTCACCGTTTTCAACCATTTTCAAGCTTCTAGATCACGTGTATTCAATGTCTAAATTAACTTTGTGGTGTTCTCAGAACTAATGGCAAAAATCGACTAATGATTTGCGATGTCGGTCTCGGTTTTTAGCTGACTTTGTGTGAGGTTTTTACTGAGCAATGCTTTATTAGTGAGGGTGCAAATAATTTTGATAAGTTTATTGTTGCTGATAGTATTGTACATAACATACATTCATATAGTTTCAATTCATCATGCCAATATTCCTTTGTACATCTGTTCTGGGAGAACTTCCTTTAATATTGTAACCATTTCCACATTGGTATACATCATCTTCCTCAACTTGCACATGTCCTCTGGAGAAGGATCTATGACGACTTTTTCATCTATTTCTGAGAAGTCCAAGTAGAAAAATGGCAGAAAACACACACACCACAATAGTTCCACGACTCCAACTCTCAATAGCTCTATATTGAGTTCCAGTAAAGTTGGCGGTTTTTGCAAACTTCCCAGTCGATTCAGATATTCAGTGAGAAATTGATGGTAAATCAGTACAATTTCTCCTCGACGTTGACGACACTCTGCATTGCCAAGGGCGTAAAGATTGAACAATAAATCAACAGCCGGACTTCCCCAAAAGCATAGTTGAAAATCCAAGAATATGGTCTTATCAATATCACCCGCATTCTTGATAAACATCATGTTTCTCACGTGAAAATCACCATGACAAAGCACATTGAAACGATCTTCGGGGTGCGGCTTAAATGCTTCCATCAATCCTTTGGTAAATGTTGCGCCTTGTGTTGATAGTTTTTCAGCAACCGCTTCAAATCCAATCCAATTTTTCACCTCATCTTTAAGGTGATCGAATCCATCGTAGAAAATTTTCATCTTTTTCATCAATGAATCCGTCATTACAGTTTTGTACTTTGCAAAATTCATATCATGATTGCACTTCTGAAACGATAAAAGTTAATTTAGCGTACTCACTCGAAATGATTAGATAATTTATTTAGGTCTTACATCATTGATGAAATATGAAAGAGCATGAAATTTCGCCAATTTTTTCACTACTTTTACCGTGTTGTCAAAATCGAAGAATCCGTCGTGAATTTCATAACCGTACTTCGTGAGGTCATCCAGAATGATAATTGCCGGATTCGTGCTGTGATAAATCAATCTGGAACATGTGAATTGTAATGTATTTATGTATAGTTTTAGCATAATTTTCACACTTCAAATGTACATACTTTGGAGCTAATTCTTCTTCATCTCCTATTGACTTCATCATCTTCATCATCTCGGGGAGAATTTCTGTGTAGAAAGCAATTTCTCTGTCAAAAACTGGCATTTCTTCAAGTATATCCTTTTGGAAGCCCTCTTCAATTGGCATTGTTTTAACTATGAAGGATCTCGAATCTACTGTTTCGCCTCTCGAGGTATAAGAAACAACAGCTTTAAACATTGAGCTTGAAAAGTTTTCCCCTGGTTTGGTTCCCGGAAATAATTCAAATGTTGTTATCTACAATGATTAGAATGAGACAAATAATATACAATTTCACTTATCATCACCAATACTAATACACATGCTACCGAGAGTGTGCGGTCGTTCTCTGCTTCACGTAGAATATCTTCAAACCATGGTTTATTAAGAAAATCCGGAAGGTTCAATACAATTGCGTTGTCGAGACTTGTTTCAATAATACTTGTCATTATTATTCTGAAGAGTCCTTTATTTGCACAAATCACAACAAAACACTTCAAATGAGATTCTTCAAAGTGCAAAAAATACTTCCGTATTGAGATAAATGTGCGCATCAACTAAGTTTATTGCAACATCTCACGATACACGCTCACTTAAATAGTACAATATTATTCTGGTTTATTTGCATAACTCAAAGATGTATGTGTGCGGGTGCGAATACTTTGTTAGGACGCACAGTTGTGTTGAATTAGTATTTACAATTTTTTTTTTACCTTTTTTTTACCGATAATTAGCTTTGTCCTGTTCAATTTGTGTGCTCACAAAGCATGACTATAATTATGGGATGTACACGAAAAAGGTGTTAATTTAAAATTCCTTTGTGCAAGAGTTCTGGCAAAACATCTTTTAGTATTTCAACCATATCTGCGGCTTTGTATGCTTTCCTTCGTAGATTTCCCATTAACTCAGTACTATCTACCACTTCTACAACGTCAACATTGCTGAAGTCCATATGCATGAATGGCAGAAAGCATACGCTCCAAAGGAGTTCCAGAGTTCCCTTCTGCAATACAGCGATATTGAGATCCAACAGTGTTGGCGCTTTCTTGAGACATCCCAATCGCTTCAGATAATCAGTGAAACATTCGTGGTAAGTCAAAAATATCTCTCCGCGCCGCTTACGGCACTCTTGATCACCAATGGCATAGAGAGTGTAAATAAGATCAATCGCAGGTGATGCCCAAGAAGTCACTTGGAAGTCCAGAAACATTGTCTTATCGATGACGTCACCATTCTTGATAAACATCATGTTCTTGATATGAAAATCACCGTGACAAAGCACATTCATTGGATGCTCTGGAATTGGTTCGAAGGCGTCCAAAAGCTTTTTAATAAATGTCTTATCTTGTGTTGCCAATTTTTCCGCAATGACCTCATATCCTGGCCAAGTGTCAACTTCTTCTTTAAGATAATCAAATCCTTCAAAGAAGACTTTCACTTTGTTAATCATGGTATCATTCCATAGAGTTAAATATTTTGTAAAATCAATTTGGTGCGCGTATTTCTGAAATAAAAGAAGAAGTATATTTAGAAAACTCTTTCATAATTACAAAATTGCACTTTTACAATCACTGCTTACGTTGTCGTTAATATAATAAGACACAGCGTGAAATTTTGCCAACTTCTTCGTTATTTTAATAGTATTGTCAAAATTACACGCACCATCGTGCATCTCATAGCCCAATTTTGAAATGTCCTCGAAGATTAATAGTAACGGATCTGTGCTGTGATAAATTAATCTAAATGGAAGAAATTTGATCATAAAAGGAAATTAAATTGCACGTAATATTTACGAACCTTGGGGAAAATTCTTCATTATCTCCAATTGATTTCATTACTTTGTGCATTTCCGGTAGAACTTTCGTGTACATCTCAATTTCCCTGTCGAAAATTGGCGACTCCGACAGCATATCTTTCTTTGCACTCTCTTCAAATGGCATTATCTTCACCACAAGCGATCTTGATTCGGTGCTTTTACCTCTTGAAGTGTAAGAAATAATAGCTTTGAACATTACACTGGCGAAATGATCTCCTGGTTTTGTTCCAGGTCTCATTTCAAGCTTCGTTATCTGGAAATATGAGCCTTTTTAGAATAATATTCCACAGAATGTTCACTTGAAATTCTCACTGATAAATCTGCGTCGCTCTCCGATTTTCGCAATACATTTTCAAAGAATTCCTTGTTCAGGAATTCTGGTGGATTTAATTCATCCTTATTGTACTGATTTGGTTTATCACTTTCGGGCATTATATTACGAAGTTGCGCAAATTTCGATTTAATAAAGAATATATCTGTTTCGAACCACAGTCGCGAGCCAACTAACCAATTTGCTTTGAACTGCTCACTTAAAATACATAGCCGTGTCCCTGACTTTGAGTGTGTTTATCTGTGTAGTGTATGAGATTAGAAACCAGACTCGCAAATTTCTGTCTGCGCGAGCATTGATTTTATTCTGCATCAAGCTAGTATGCCTTTATACAAAAGTTCTGGAAGCACTTCTTTCAGCATCTTAACGATTTCTTCATTTCTGTACATTATCCTTCTCATGTTAGCCATTGCTTCGGGTGAAGGATCGACAGCAGCTTCTGACTCAGCTTTCGTGAAGTCCATACAATAGAAAGGCAAATAACAGACGCTCCAAAGCAATTCTATGATACCCATTTTTAGCATTTCTATATTGAGATCTAGCAAAGAAGGAGGTTTCTTTAAGCATCCCAGACGATTTAGGTAATTGCAGAAGGACTCGTGGTAGATCAAGAGAATTTCAGCTCGGCGCTTTCGACATTCAGCATTGCCAAAGGCGTAAAGGAGATAAATCAAATCGTATGCTGGCGATGCCCAGAAGCTCAATTGGTAATCCAGGACCATTGTCTTATCGATTTCGTCTCCCGTTTTGATAAACATCATGTTTTTCACGTGATAATCTCCGTGACAGAGCACTTTGAATCCAGACTCAGGATTCGGTTCATAGACTTCCAGGAGTTTCTTGATGAAGGTTTGATTTTGAGTGGAGAGTTTCTCAGAAACTTCCTCATATCCAGGCCAATTTTCCATTTCTTCCTTGAGATAGTCAAAACCATCGAAGAAAACCTTCATTTTCTCTGTCACTGCACTAGTTATCATGGGAGTGAACTTTGTAAGGTTTATTTTGTGGCTGTATTTCTGTAAAAAATGTATTATCTTCAACACTAAGTTAGTAATATTAGATTAATTACTCACATTATCATTAATGTAGTAAGAAACTGCGTGAAATTTGGCCAATTTTTTCACAACTTTTACTGTGTTGTCAAAACCAAAAAATCCATTATTCATTTTATAACCGAGTTTTGTAATATCTTCAAAGATAAGAATTGGTGGGTCTGCACTGTGATAAATTAATCTGAAAAATTAATCAAATTATTAATTGAATTGCAATAAATTTTTAATAAATTTTCTCTACCTTGGAGCTATTTCTTCGTCATCGCCAATCGATTCCATGATTCTTTTCATTTCGGGTAAGAATTCTGTGTACATGCTAGTTTCTCTCTCAAAAACGGGCATTGTCTTAAGCATTTCCTTCTTCGTTCCTTCTTCCATGGGCATTGTCTTCACCACGAAAGACTTGCCCGTGACTTCTTTGCCTCTTGAAGAGTATGAAATGATGGCTTTGAACATGATGCTGAGGAAATGCTCTCCAGGCTTCGTGCCCGGAGTCATTTTGAGTGCTGTTATCTGTGAATTACATCCTGTCAGCTATTTCACAATGATATACAATAGTTAGGTTTTACCGAGAGATCTTTATCATTCTCCGTTTTCCGTAGCACACTTTCGAATAGTTGTTTGTTGAGATAATCGGGAGGAACAAGTTCGTCCTTACTGTACTGAACAGATTCGCTATTTTCTGCCATGTTTCTTGCAGACTTTTTAAATAGATTCACGAGCACGTTTTACTTTTGACAGAGTGGAATGTTTTACATCTGTTGCTTTCCGCGGAAGAAACCCAACTGCTAATCGATTTACAAGTCTCACATGCGCTGTATACATATGAAGCGATAATGTGTGTATCTCTGATAGTGGTGAATGAGTAAACTCATACTGACGTATTAAGAATCCATCTGTGTTTACGATAAATTTATTCACACATCCAAATCAAGTTACAGAGAATTCTAGGAATCCGTCTTGTTCATGGTTCTTGTATAATTTGGTGAATTTTAATCCAGTAATCCTTTATAATATAGAGTTTGAAGAATTTCTTTCATTATATCAGTAATTTTAGGGTTCTTATAAATAACGTCATAAAAATTTTTCTGATTATAATTCGTGAGATCAGCTGCTGCAACCACATCATTATTTGCGAAATCTAAGTAAAATATTGGCATAAAACCCACGCCAATGTGAACTTCAACTTTCCCATACTTCAGCATATCGATATTCAGATCTCGAAGAGAAGGACCTTTTCTTAGGCATCCCAAACGGCTCAAATAGTCCGTGAAAACTTCATGATATATCATGACTGCTTCTCCTCTTCTTCGTCTCACTTCTTGGTTCCCAATAACATTCATAACGTACAACAAATCGACGGCTGGTGATGTCCAGAAAGACATTTGGAAATCGATGAAGAGCATATTGTCAATATCCTTCCCGTTTTTCTTATACATTAAATTCTTGAGATTAAAATCTCCATGACAAAGTACATTGAACCCAGGTTCAGGGTTAGGTTTGTAAATGTCAAGCACTGCTTTTAGCAATGTTGGTATTACGCCTTCAAGTTTTCTGGCAATGTCTTCGAATCCTGGCCATGTGTCTATTTCTTCTACCAACGAAGACAAACCATTTACGAAAGTCTGCATCTGATCAATCGATTTTTCTGTTATCAGAATAGGTTTGTAGTTTTCAAAATCCATTTTATGGGCATATTTCTGTAAAGAGAAATATATTCATTTATTATTCTATTACTGAATTATGTTATTTTTGAAATAATTTACGTTATCGTTCATGTAGAATGAAAGTGCGTGGAATTTGGCGAGCTTTTTCAGAATCTTTATCGTGTTGTCAAAATCCCAGAATTCCTGATTCATCTCATAGCCTTGCTTTGTGATATCCTCGAAAATAATAATAGGGAGTTCTCTGCTATAGTAAAGTATTCTGAAATGATAATAGAAAATGATTTCTGTTCAATTGTGAGTCCTAAAAAAGTGTTATTGTTTTTACCTTGGTGACATCTGTTCATTATCACCAATTGAATCCATTATCTTCTTCATTTCCGGTAGAACTTTCGTGTACATGTCAATTTCCCTATCAAATATTGGCATGTCTTTCAGAATCTCCTTCTTCACACTGTCATCAGTTGGTAAGGTTTTCACCACAAGAGATCGCGAATCAATATCCTTTCCTTTCGTGGTGTATGAAACTATGGCCTTGTACATGACACTGGCAAAGTGATCTCCTGGTTTTGTTCCGGGGATTATATTTAGTTTTGTTATCTGCAAATGACGTGCACTGATAATAAGTTACATAAGTGATAAGCAATATTAAATTGACTTCGTTACCTTTAGAGCTTTATCATTTTCCGCATCTTGAAGAACAGTTTGAAAGAACTCCTGATTCAAGAAGTCAGGTGGATTGAGTTCATCCTTGCTGTATTGTGCAACTGATTCACTTGCTTCTGCCATTCTGACTTAATAAGCACTGAATGTTTATTTAATTGCACGTTCACGGTTGTGAGGAGATCGGAATGGTGGGAAATTTTCAGTGTTGCGACTACGACAGCTAACGAGAAACTGGGAGTTCTCCCACGAGACTTTTATTTATTTATTTCACATGTGTTTGAGCTGTTTGAGAGATGTGTGAGAGTGTAAGAGGCAAAGTTCTGTTACGATTTGTTGTGAAATACTATTTTCTAAAATGTTGTCTCTGTTCAATATTGGTATAGAAATACACTTGAAAATTTTATTTGCGATACGACAAAGAGTAAACATAATTTTGTCTTCAAATTAATTAATTAATTTATACTTTTGCGTTTGTCTTACATAGAGAGTGTACAATACCAGCTTATTATTATAATATTCCTTTGTAGACCATGTAAGGAAGGACTTCTTTCACGACTGCTAGATACTCTTTGTTTTTGTACATCAATTCCTTCATATTCTCCTTGTTTTGTTCGTCTGGATTGACAACGGTGTCCATATCAACTTTTGTGAAATCCAAGCAGAAGAATGGATAAAAGCAAATTCCCCACAAGACTTCCATTGTGCCCTTCTTCAGCATTTCAATATTTAGCTGCAACAGCGTCGGTGGCTTCCTCAGGCATCCCAGTTGCTTCAAGTAGTCAGAAAAGAAATTGTGGTAGATGGTGAGCACTTCTTCGCGGCGGTTTCGGCACTCAGTGCTGCCAATCGAGTATAGAACGTAGAACAAGTCAATTAATGGTGATCCCCAGAAACATATTTGGAAGTCCAGGAACATTGTCTTATCGATGTTTGCGTCCTTCTCGATAAACATCATGTTCCTGATGTGGAAATCTCCATGGCAAAGGACATTAAGTTCGGGCTCATCGTTGGGTTCGTAGACTTTCAGGAGAGTGTGGAAGAAGTTTTTACTCTGACCTGAAAGCTTTTCGGCAAATGATTCGTATCCTGGCCAACTTGCCACTTCATCTTTAATGTATTCGAATCCTTCGAAGAAGATTTTGAACTTTTCAAACATCTGTTCCGTCATTATCGTCTTGAATTGTGTGAAGTCAAATTTATAGCTGTATTTCTGGAAAATAAAAATATATTTAAGTGTTTAAATAATTCAATTACTTAGCTTTCATCTGATTCTTACATTGTCATTCATATAATATGAAAGTGCGTGAAATTTGGCCAATTTTTTCACGACTTTCATTGCATTCTCAAAATCATAAAATCCATTGTGCATTGCATAACCGTGTTTTGTGATATCTTCAAAGATGAGAGTCGGTGGTTCAGTTCCACAGTAAACTAATCTGAAAGTGAAATTAAAATCAGGTTATTCGCAATCAATATTATTTGAGACATCACTATATATCTTACTTTGGAAACATTTCTTCATAATCTCCAATGGACTCCATAATCCTCTTCATTTCAGGCAGAATTTCTGTGTACATGCTAATTTCGGTTTTGAAGAAGGGCATTTCTTGCAGCATTGTCATCTTAATTCCATCCTCAATTGGCATTGTCTTCACAATGAGTGATCTGGAGTTCACTTCCTTTCCCTTCGAGGTGTAGGAAATGATGGCTTTGAACATAATACTGGCAAAATGATCTCCAGGTTTCGTGCCAGGAAGCAATTGAAGATTCGTTATCTATGAGACATAAACTTTAGAGACACATATAAATGACGAGTGCAAAATTGTAAAAACTCACCTTGAGAGCTTTGTCGTTTTCTGCTTTGCGTAGAGCATTTTCAAAATACTGTTCATTGAGAAATTCTGGTGGATTCACTTCATCCTTGTTGTACTGCATAGTTCCATTTTCCTCCGCCATCTTTCACTTATTTATAAATATTTCACTGTGATTCTGTGTTTTGAGAGATGTGTTCAAAGCGTGACTCCTCACTGGCAACTGATCGAAAAAATTTTCGACAGTGAGCGAATGGCTAAATTTTGCCGCCGAGGAAAAATTTGCAAAGTAATCATGACGAGATAACATTTGTCTAGCATATTGGAGGGGGAAATACATAATATGTGGTGAAGCAACTTCCCATATAATTTTCCTATTAATACAAATCATGTAATAATAGATAATGGGACTATTACATTTATACAGAGGGACTGCATTTAATTATAAATCAAGAAATCCTTTGAGAATGAAGGTTTTGAACAGCTTCTTCATGAATCTCTGATATTCAGGTATTGTGTAAAGGAGTGCTCTTGCATTGGCTGCGTCTTGTTGTGCAATTCTCTCCTGAAGTCGCTGACTGGCGAAAGATAGGAACTGATAAGGAAGGAAAGTGATCGATACAAAGACCTCAATGAATCCATTTCGCAGGAGTTCCACATTGAGATCAAGCAGAGTCGGTGTTTGCCCCATGAAGCCCATATTCTTAAGGGTGGTTACGAATGTCTTGTGATAGGAATTGAGCATTTTTATGCGACAAGTGTCAAGTGTTTCGGTGTTCACTATCAGATAAAAGGTGTAAATTAAATCCAGCGCTGGCGAGCACCACACGTTTGTTTGAAAGTCATGCTATTTGGAGAGATAAGAACAATTAAGATAAATGCATCATTCGAAATGACCAAATATCTCACCATTATCACATGCTGAATCGCCTTATCAGTGACTTTAAACATGATGTTCCGCATGTGAAAGTCACCATGATTCAGGACATTGAAATCCGAGTCGGATCTGTAGAGGTAATTTCTGGCGTCCATAAATCGCTCCTCTAAGCCTTTGATTTTAGCGTGATAAGGCTTAAATTCTGTCCATTTGAGGGCTTCTTTTGTGAAATACTTCAAACCTTCCAAAAAGAATTTCACTCCTTGGGTGCCAAAATTGAAGACTCCATTGCGAAATTTGGAAAAATTCTTCTTCTCCTGTGAAGAGAATTATTTTTGAATAATAATCTTATTGGAATATATATGAAATTATACCTCAACAGCCATATAATACGATGTAGCGTGAAATTGGGCCAATTGAGTGAGAATGATTTCTGTGTTGTTGAAATCAAAGCGATCCGATATGATTTCATATCCACTCTCCAACATATCCTCCAGTATCAACACCTCAGGAGATGTGAAACTCATGTAAAGCTGTGGACCCAATCTTGTCTTCACACCTGACATTTCCAAGAGACGATGCATGACTGGAAGTATGTTGATGTGCATGTCCACTTCAACGGACATTGATTTCGAATGTCTGACCAGAAGATTGCTTTTAAGCGGTTCAACTTTCTCTGGCGTTAATCGCTTAATTATGATCGAAATGGTTTTTTCGTCATTTTTACCACTCGTATAAACAATGCGCGACCGAAAAACACCTTCAGCACTGGATTCTCCATCAGGAATTGAAACTATCACTTCTTTCGCCTACAAGGAAAAGCATTTTTTGTGTTCTGTCTTCTAGTCAATATTTGCAAATTCTTACTTGAATATTCTTCTCCTCCTTGAAAACTTTTGATAGGATTTCTTCAAAGAAGTTGGAATCCATCCAGTCAGGAATTGAAACCATTGTTCTGCTGAGCTTCCGACTATTTTGGTGAGAACTTTCAGTATGAGCGACCAAATTTTTCTTCAGCATTATCATACCATATTTTCGTCCACTTTCCCATTAATTGTCACATCTTAATTGCAATCAAATGCTTATTTGTTATCAAGAAATCTTTAGTAAAAGCCATTGTCAAATGCTTTTGTTCGATGGTGAAGATATTGTTCTGAAATTAATGATATAATTGCGGGTAATTAGCTTGCTAGTTGAGTTGCATTTATTGGTCACATAGTTTCAGCTCTTATTAGTGACGATAATATAATGAAAGAAGGGAAATCTCTGTCTTCTGTGTCGTAGTGTCACGTCTTGGTAATAGCTCTCGTCATTCTGGGAGACTTTTTAATTAGTACCATTCTCTTGAGAGACTAGAAAACTGTCTGCACGAGATGTTGGAGTCTGTTTCAGCGTTTCATTCACATTTGAGAGAGTTTCGGAGCTTTACGATCTTATTTTCAAAACTGTTTTGACTGAAAAAATATATTTGTTTGCAAACATAATTCATTTATACATTATATTTTTATGTAAAAAGACAAAGCGAACGTGAAAAACACCTCATTTGTAATCTTATCTTTGAATTTAGGGTGCGTGCACATAAGTATACTGGACGATAGCGTGTGATTATGTGAAAAGAACTACAAAATTTCATTCTCCACGAACTTCGGAAGCAGTTTAGCCAAATTTTCAATGTGTTGCTGATTGTCGAAGATTAAATCTCTGGCTTTTAGTGTCTCTTCAGTGTCCTCGAAGAAATACGACGCCTCGGAATACTCAGTGTGCGGTGTTATCATGACCGGGACCATTCCCAAGAGAGTCATAAGGCCTGCAAAGTGTTCGGGAAAAACCATGTCAGTTGAATATCATGAATCTTCTAATGGCTATCAATTGACTCACCGTGATCCCCCTTGTTTATGACTTCATTAGTGATGTCTTGCAAAGTGGGAAACTTTCCGCTGTAGCCCAAAAGCTGCAGTGTCTTCTCCAATTCGCTGTGGTAGAAAGCAAGAAGGTCATCGTAATTATTCAGCAGCAAGTCAATTTCCACTGAAGTGTAGAGGAAGAAATTCAAATCGATTCCCGGTGAACCATAGAAACCTTCTTGAAAGTCCACGAAGAGCACGTCATCTGACCGATTTTCCTTCTCACTGTGTCTAAAGAGCATGTTATTGCTCCACATATCGCCATGATTGAGCACGCAGAATCTGTTGTCGTCTCGTACAAAAACTTTCATCATTTTCGGTACAATTTCACCCGTGAAAGCGGCCAGTTTGTTGGAGAAGTTCTTCAGTTCAGGTGCACCGCGATTGCGCTTGTGTGCCGCAACCAGGAGATTTGTGTAGATCAGGTGCAAATGTTCGGTTTCCTCGGAGAAATTTGGCACGTGGTGATGTTCAAATAATTCGGGTTGTTTTTCGTACAAAACCGCCGTTGTTGCGTGCCATTGAGCCATTTTGGTCAACGCCAAATTACACTGATGACGATTCAATTTCTTGGCTTTTCCCAGGAGATTGTAGTTCTTGGCATTCAAATCCTCCATTGCCAGCAATTTCTCCTCTATGTATATTGTTCTTGAGAATTGAGAAAGTGTTTTAATTGCCAAGCTGCACAAAGAATTAATTGTGATGAACTTACTTGGGACCGAAGACTGTGTTGACACCCTTTGAATTCAGCATTTCGTAGCATTTATCCATAATTGTTCCATACACGGTAAATTCTCGCTTAAAAATATTAAATTCCGCTGATACAGCATCAATGACACTTGCTTGAATGGGTGTCTTGAGAATGAATCGCAACTCTTGCTCGTGAGAATTGTCTTCCTCGTTGTATTTGGCCACAATGCGAAAGAGAGCACTAGTGAAATTGTCACCCTTCTTCGTTAGATATTTCACTTCGAAGTCGTTAATTTTACAGGATTTCCCTGAATATTTATTCACAATTTTCGTGCACAAATCTTTACTGATCCACTCGTAAATTGGATATTCCGGATCCATCTTTTCTCACAATATGCGCGATCTTTTGCAGAAAGAATCACACTCAAATGCTAATTTCCTGCAGAGAAGTGGCGAAAAGTCGTGGGGCGACAGTGTTTTTGTGCGAAGACTGAGCGAGACTGATTAAATGATTTTCCTAGTTTGTAGATTTATGTCGTGCCCGACTATTGAATGAAGACTGTTATATGAGGCACGAGACAGAGATACCGAACCTTTGGTGTGTGAGCCAGTTGGCGGTACTTCACTGAAACAAGTGCAATCTACTTTTGAAAGCGAGAAAGTGAAATCCACCTCTGAATGTGACGAAATTGACTCATAACTGATAATTGTTTGATAATGAAAGTAAAGCCGCGATATGACTGCACAGGGGTGTGAATAAAATTTGCAATTAAATTCGATCAGATACAAAAGTTCCATTAACAACAAATTTATTTCGTCACCTTGTACAATGACAAATATAACCACCATTTACCTCGGTGACAATCCACAGAGCAAATATCTCATTTGGGGGGATTTATTTAGCGGAATTCTCCTGAAGTGAATGCCAAAACCAACGAAAAGTTTGTGATAATGCCAAAATCAGTATAGATATGATATGAATTTCATGTTATAATTGAATTCAATTGAACCTTATGAACTCTGCCATAGAGTCGAAATTGAATTGACGATAATTGCTGATGTTTGTCTAGCAATCGAGGAGACCTCTTCGATCCAAGCGCGGGAGTAGGTGTCGAATGGCACAGTGAACCTTTTCGTTCTTGTACACATTCTCTTTGAACTGGAGTGATCTGTTGTCCAGGCCGATAATTGCATTGAAGTCCGCATCAGCTTCTGCTGCTCCGTCCACAATCATCACAGGTTGACTCAACATGCCGTACATTAGGGCTCCGAATTCACTCTTCAGCATGGATATTTGGAAGTTGTGCAGTGTTGGAATTTTGTGTGATAAACCGAATTTCTTCAGAGTGTCACTGAGATGAAAATGATAGAATTGCACCAATTCGTCAATGGCTGTTTGTCGGAGGTCTTCAATGAGGGAAGTGTTGAAGAAATAGTGCAGATCAACAGTGGCTGGAGCCCAACACATGAACTGATAGTCAACAATTTGCACATCAATGGGCTGTTGTTGATTGTTGTACTTGAACATCACATTGTTTGTCCACAGATCGCCGTGTATCAAGACGTTCAGCTCATCCTCCTTGGGATCATACAATTGCTTGGCTTTCTCATCAAGATGTGGCCGGAGATTTTTCAACTTGTTCACGTAGTACTCGTAACCCTTCCACTTGGCGATGCAGTTGATGAGAGCGTCGAGATTCGTGAGAAAGTACGAGGAAACTCCAGAGGTTTTCCTGTTAAACATACCTGTCTGATACTTCCTCAAATTATGGGTGGAATTGGTGTCCACCGCAATTGATGCTGCGTGAAGTCGAGCCAGTTTCATCAGCACCAATTCGGCATGCTCGCGATCCAATCTTGCTTTGCGATCAGCCATCTGGAAGCCCTTCGCACTGAGATCTTCAAACACAATCACACTGTTTTCGAAGTCACAGAAGAAGGATTTCGGGGAAATTTGCGAGTGATCATCTGAAGTGCGCAATAATCTGTGGTATTCAGGCAGAATTTGATCGTACATCTCCATTTCTTGCCTGAAGACGTTGTACTCACTCAGGATATCATTGGCCAATTGATTGTCTTCGTAGGTCGTCTTGATGATGAGAGAGTGTTTTCTTTGGCTTCTGTTCAGCGTTGAGTTGAATTGACCGCGATAGAGCGTGCTGGCGTAGTTTTCACCTTTTCCACCCACAAACTCCAACTGGAGCGAATCCACAGAAATACCATCGTCCTTTTTGCACTTCCGCAGGATGCCCTCGAAGAAGGGTTGATTGAGCCAAATGGGAATATCACTATCTTCGCAAGCCACCGTCTTAATGTCCACAGGCATGACTCTAAACCGCTTATTCTGCTTGGGTTTGTGCTGGAGCAAGTGACAAAGTGATATGAAGAGAAAGGCTAAGGAAGTCATCTCTATTTATAGGTGTCAACTCCGCAGAAGTGGGTGATCTCAAAATGGTGATAAGTCAAAAAATGAACTTTATCTTCGTGATCTCTTCTCAACGAGGAGTTAATTTATTCGTATATAAACACTGACGCAATTGTCTAGTCTATTCATACATATCAACCATAAAATTGTCATACTGGTGAAATTGCAAATGAACCACAATTGCAATCTATTTGCACTGCATCTGATAACACCTTCTCAAGGTTGGATTAACATAAAATGATTCTATTTAGGAGATTATAGAATCGTTCTCCGGCTCTGATTTACTCTTATTAACACTTTCAATGTTACATGTGATGCTTTGTTTGGAGAAAAATTTACATTTTTTTACCCTCTATGATTTATTTGATTTAGTTTAACTAATTGTTAAATTGTCCCCTTCATAATACTGTTAATCCAAAACCCCACGTTGATCTAAGTACGGAAGAAGATATTTCAGTGCAATCTGAGTCTTAGGATTGCGATAGAGATTCTTCTTGAACTGCACAGATGCATCTGAATCGGATATCATAGTGTCCATGTCGGCATTTGTGGTGTCTTCCACAAGCATAATAGGCTGCATCATAACACCGGCAAGGAAAGCTATGTAGATGGAAGGATTAATTAGATTTCTTTTACCAGTTGAAACTACGTTAAATCATACCCATAAATTCCTTTTCAAGCACCATCATGTGCATTTCGCGGAGTGTTGGAATTTTCTTCTTTGTGTTGAGCTTGCGCAGCAAAGTGGCAAATTGGGTGTGATAATACTGAATGAGTTCGGTAATTTTGGTCTGGCGTATGTCTTCCTTGAGAGAATTGTGGGCAAAATAGAGAATATCAACAACAGGCGATGTCCAGGATGAGAATTGGAGGTCAACAAAGAGCAAATCCTTTGCATTATTCTTCTCGTCAAAGGTAAACATGATATTGTTTGTCCACAAATCGCCGTGAATGAGGACATTCATGTAATCTTTCGATGGATCGTAGACTTGAGATGCGCGCTCATTGAGATCATCACGAATCATAATCATTTTCGGTTGATATTTCTTTAATTCTTCCCATGTGGACATTTCATCGATGAAAATGTTTAAATGTTGGACGAAGAAATCATGAAAAGCCGTGGTTTTTCTATTGAAGATGCCCTGATTGAAGTGTGAGAATGTTCCTGGCTTCCTTTCGTCCAGAATCACACTGGCTGCATGCATTTTCGCCAGTTTTTCCATTACCATTTTCGCCTGTGCAAAATCAAGTCTCAAACGTCGGTCAACATTTCTGAAGCCACGCAAGGCGAGATCTTCGAAAATAAGCACTTCATTCTTATAATCATGGTGAATGGCTTTGGGAAAGAGTTGAGTGTTATCACCAACCGATTTGAGGACCTTTTCAATTTCTACACTCACTTTCTCATACATTTCTATTTCTCTCTGGTATATTCCATACGAAGCAAACATTTGACTCTTCGCAGGATCCTCATAAACACTCTTGACGACGTAGGAGCGCTTTTCAGAGCTGGGAGACTTTGTGGTGATCACTTCCACTGCTGCTCTCCACATAACACTCGCATAGTGTTCTCCTTTGCCCGTAACATCGGCAGTTTTCAGAGATTTCACTTTCAAATTGGCATCCTTTTCATAGCGACGCAGGACATCCTCAAAATATTTCTCATTCAGCCACGCTGGAATGGCTTCAGATGCAGTATTTTCCGGCATTATGCTTTTATGGCGTCACAGAAACACTCAAGCTTTGTATAAGCTCTATTGGAACAACTCGGCAAATGAAAAAGAACTGAAAACACTCTCCAATGATCAATTATATTTATATCATTTTTCATATACATAGCGTGACAAAAAATAAGAAAATTAACAGTAGCGAATTAGGGTTGTGGGGCAAAAAGACTTCCCAGAAACCTGTTGATTATCCACAAGTTGATTGCGAAAATTGCCATAGTTGATGTTTTTTCACTACAATCAGAATGAGTGAATGCTGAGAAAAAAGCGTCTTGCCTAAGTAAGACTCTGTCACTCTTACTTGCATATTTTCTCGCGGGAAAAGATAATAAAATATATAAACACTGCGTGAAATATCTAAATAACACAGTGATATGCTTATCAGAATGACATGATATCAATCTTAACAGTGCTTTGCACTATATTATAGTGGAAAAACTTACAATTTTACCAGAAAAATTGAATAATCATTCTTGGGATAGGATTTCCGCGTTTTTTTTAATAAGAAATTCATGCTGTTGCAACACTAAGTTGTAGTTGAATCTACATAATCTTAATCTCATGACATTGACACATAAAAACGCAGCAGATCATAAATTAATCCAGAACACCCTGCTTCTCTAAAAGTGGGAGCAAATATTTGATTGCTCGTTCAACTTTAGAATTTTTATATATTGCAGACACTTTTCCTCTGTCACGGTCGATATCACGTGAAGGCTTCGTGGGAAGCTCCTTGGCCTCAACTATCATTGAAGGTTGCATAAGGAGACCAGCAAAAAAGGCTGCAAAAAGGGGGGTAAAAAAAGCATTTCGCATATTCTGATAAGATAAAAGATATTCACTCTGCTTACTTATAAACTGTCTCTCTTGAAGCATATTCTGCAATTCATGAAGTGATGGAATTTCCTGAATTGTGGGGAATTTGCTCAATATTTGGAATAATTCTGTGTGATAGAAGTAAACCAAATGATCTATTTTCGTCTGACGAATGTCCTCTTGAAGGGATGTGTGGAAAAAGTAGAGTAAATCCACGGCAGGTGAAGTCCAGCAGCAGAACTGGAGATCCACCAGCAGAACGTCTATTGGTTCGTTCTTGGAGTTGTACTTGAAAAGGACATTCTTTGTCCATAGATCACCGTGAATGAGGACATTTATGTGACGATCTGATGCCTTATATGCATCACTGCCTCTCTGGCAGAAGTTCTTCTGAATTTTCTTGAGCGATGATTTGTACTTTTCAAATTTCTCCCACTTTTCCACCACATCAATCAATGCCTCGAGATTTGATATGAGAATTTTATTGACTTCCGAATTTGCTCTACTCAGAAGTCCAACTGTAAAATTATCCACTATTTCCGGTTCTGAGTGACTGAAAACTACTGAAGCTGCGTGCATTCTAGCCAATTTAGTTAACACCATTTCGGCATGGACTAAATCCAATCTCTTGTCCTTGTCAATGATTTTATAGCCTCGTGGAACGAGATCTTGAAACACAATCGCCTCTCTTTCATGGTCACAAGCGATGGCCATTGGAAATAATTGGGAATTGTCACCAACATTTGAGAGAATTCTGGCCATTTCAGGTCGGATTTTCTCATTCATCTCCACTTCTCGCGGAAAAAGTCCATGTGAGGCGAAGAGTTTCACTTCAGGACATGTCTTCTCCATTGATGTCTTCACTATATACGATCCCTTGACCACTGTTTTAGTCTTTGCGATTTCATACTCCACAGAAACCCTCCACATTAAACTCGGGAACTGTTCACCCCTATTTCCACTGATTTGAACGCATTGAAAGGACTTTACAAGGAGAAAAGTATCATTTTTGTACTTCCGCAACACTTTCTGAATGTAATCCTTTGTGAGCCACTGAGGAACGGGGATATTTTTTAGATCCATTCTGGCGATGAAGAAAGTCACTGTACAACTGCTTGGAGTCCCGATGAAAGGAGTGCTTTTATAGAGTGACAATTCTTGAGAAAGTCATCCAGACGCTCTGTAATCAATACGTTCATGATTTATTCAAGATTCAGTCGATTGGTTGTTTGGAAACAATTACAGGCAGCACACGTCTTGGCTATTAATTTCAGTAGTAAAATTGAATTTTTAATCGCTTTTTAATTGCCAAGTGAATTAGAGGAGTTGTCAAAATATTGGTTGAGAATCAATAAGCTAACGAGCGTCGATATGTTTGTGTGCATTGAAATGAGTAGAAAAATGAGGAGAGTTGAAAATACATATATCTCATGGAATAAACTTGTGCCTTTGAGTACTGCGACGTGAGAATTGTACTATTGAAAAATTCATGAAACAATTGAAATTTATTGATTTCTTTTGTACAAGCATGCAGAGTTTGACTTTATTTTACTACAAAATTAATCCAGGATTCCCTTCGCATCCAAAATGGGAAGGAGATTTTTCACAGCTGTCACAACATGTGGATTTCGATACATGTTCTCTGTGAATTTTTGTCCCTTTTCATCCTTATCCATGAGAATGAAGAGGTCAGTTTCCACATTTTCATCCATGACGATGATTGGCTGAACGATGAACGCGGAAATGAAAACTGAAATGAAATACAAGTGTTTTAATACGTTAGGGCAATACTCAATAATTGCGCAGAAATTGATAATTACTTTGTAGACTCTTCTTGAGAATGTGTACTTGGAATTCGTGGAGAGTAGGGAATTTTCCACTATATTTGTAGCCATCAATTAGTGTCTTCTTCAAAATGTTGTAATAATATTGCACCAATTCGTCTTGCTTCTGCATTCGCAAATCCTCCTTCATTGACGTATGGATAAAGTAAAGAATATCAACTGCAGGCGTGGTCCAATTGGGCAGTTGAAAGTCAACGAAAATTACATCGATTGGATTTTTGGCACTGTCGTACTTGAACATCATGTTGTTGGACCAAAAGTCACCATGAAGGAGAACATTAATGTCCGATAGATCAGGATCGCACAAATCTATGCCTCTTTCGACAAAGTTGTCTCTGAACTTTGTCAACTTGTCCAAGTAATATTCATAACCTGACCAATCGGACATCACCTTCAACAGACTGTCGTAGTGTTTGAGACAGAAATCTCGAGCATCTATAGTGTTTCGCGATAAGAACGCCCTGTTGAATGTGGCATAAGCTTGAGGATTTTTTTCTCTGTAGATAATTGAAGTTGCATGGAATTTGGCCAATTTTCCCAAAGCCAATTTGGCATGATTCATATCGAGTCTCTCAATTCTATTCGGACAACTGTATCCGCGCTCTAGAAGATCCTCAAACACCATTGTGTTGGTGGAAATGTCTTCAGTGTATCTCTTGGCGCTGAAGACAGTGTTGTCGTTAATTGTGGCTAGAAGACTGTGAAAACCATCCAGGATATGTCTGTACATTGTCATTTCTCTACTGTGAACATCGAATTCCTTCATGAAATTAACAGTCTCTGCGTCATTGCTCTTCTCGTCGTACGTCGTCTTGAGAATGAGAGACACTCGCTTATGCTTAGTGGCTTCCACGACATAATTCACTATAATCCGCACCATGACACTGGCATAGTGATTTCCTTTCTTCGTCACTGGCTTCAACTCATACTTTTCCACTTTGACCCTCTCTGAGTTCTCCACCTTCTTCACGAGACCCTCAATGTAAGCCTCATTGAGAAATCTGGGCACTTCCTCGACTAGTTCACTCGTCATTTTTTTCGAGACTGAATTGAAATTTCGGCAACACTTATTAGGAAGCACAATATAGCACTGGTTCAGTGTTGAAACTCATGTGAGAGAGCAAAAGCGATATGGCCGTTTATATATATGCGATATGAGTATTTCCACCTCCTAATCAAGTGCCATATGCTATGTCATTGTGCTCATCACAAGTGACTCTGGGCGGAAAAGTAAATCACAACTTATCGCTTCTATTGCAATCTTTTTGCATGATTATTATAAATGTTGTTATTTAAACTGACAGACAAGTATCAGAAAAATTATCATTAAAATATGGGAACACAATCAACTGTGATGTATAATATAATATGTATTTATATAATTTGCATACCATACAATGATTTCTTTTGGTCCATTCAATCGAAGTATCCTTTTTGGTCGAATTCTTGGAGCAGAGGCTCCACGAATGCTCTGTATTCGGGATTGCCGTAAACGTGCTTTCGGAAAGCAACACCTTCTGCAGAGTCACTGAGGAAAGTCTCCATGTGCGTGTCTGCTCTGGGCGGCATTATTGCCATTGGTCTGAGACAAAGTGCTGCGTTAACACCTATAAATTAAAAAGTAAATCCATAGGATTTAGCATGTGTGCTAATCAAAACTTTCAGAAATGTTCATTCATACCATGAAAGGCAGTTCTCGCTACTTCACTGAGAATGTCTGCAAGTGTGGGAATTTTTCCACTGTACTCGAGTTTCGTGAGGATTTTCTGCACCACCGAGTGGTAGTGTTGAGCCAATTCGGGCCACCTGTTGCGACGCACATGATCTTGAACGGAGCCGAAGAGGAGGAAGTTCAAGTCGATGCCGGGCGAGCCCCAATTGCAGAGTTGGTAGTCAAGGAGGCGAGAGTCGCTGATTGCGCCGTCTTTATGCCGTTTGAATATCAAGTTGCTCGTCCATACATCATTATGGATGAGCACATTAAAGGTGTTTTTGTGCCATTTGTATATTTCCACACCTTTGTCCACAATTGTTGTTTGCAATTTGGCCAATTTTTTTGTCATCTCCTCGTGACCTTCCCACGTTGAGACTTCATCGTGAAGACCTTGGACGCCAACGCGGAAAAATATCACGAATTTCTCTTGGTCTGGATGGTGGGATATTGTAGGGTCGTGGAATGGTGTAAATAGTTCGGGATGCTGAAGAATAAGGAACACATAGAGCGTCTTCATTAATTGAATCAATAAAAGGGCTTTATTACCCTCTCATTGATGACAATGGAACACGCATGAAACGTGGCCAGTTTTCCCAAGATGCTCATCGTCTGTTGGAAATCCAATCCTTTTTGTCTATCAGTCGACTGATAAGCCATAGGGGGCATTGATAAGTTCTCCAGAGCCAATAGAGTGGCAGTGGCGTCATTTTGAGTCATTAAACATCGTGGTGAAATTTCTGTGCTGATACTGACTTCGGTGAGCAAAGCTGCAATCTTCGGCAACACATCCCGATAAATGATAATCTCTCGAGTGTACATTTTGTCGAGTACAATTCGCCTCATTTCACTTTCGGGCTTCACCTGTTGATTTACACCCATTCCACATTGATCATTACATAACCGATTTTACGGCACGTTATGAAATTCACCAACCTTTATGATGATGGAAAGAAGTTGACCTTGTGCCTCGACAGAGTCTTCTTTGTAGTGAATTTGACCAAAAAACATATCACTAGCATAGCCGGCGCTTTGTGAAGTTTTTACGTCGTACGATAGTAATTTGTGGGCAATTTTGCCCGAAGAATAGTTCTGTAGAATTCCCTCGAAAAAATCTCTTGTTGCCCACTTCGGGAGATCGTCGATGGATTTGTTGGCCATAATATTAAATAGGAAATTAAATTTTTTCTGTGCTCAACTCCCGGCTTCCCACTATCAGCATACACAGCAAAGCGCGCAATACAGATGACGCGAATACACTGAAACACTCACTGTGAATGAGGCTATTTAGAGAAATACGAAAAGCCCACGAAATAAAGTATATTCGGCGCAGACGCGTTTCATAATCGCCGCAGAGTCAATCTTTTATGCCCAATTTCATAAACTCCAGCTTTCGTCTGTTTAGTTTAGAAAGCATTTCAAGTAAAACTCTTCCTTTGTTGTTAGCCAAAAAATTGAAAACAACTTAATTGCAGACTATTTAAATTTTTTACTGTTTCTCAGAGGAAAATTACAACTTTTCATTCACAAAAATTCACATGACATTTCACACACTGAAAACGACCGGCACAGAAAAAGTGAAAATAAAATATAATGTTATTATGGTCTTTTACGGTGTTTATCGTGTTTTATACGTTCACTTAAATGCTATTATTTGCTTGACTTTAAGCTCTTGCATTGATAGTGAAGTATTTATACAAATATCATTAACATCTTAATCCAGAAATCCTAGCCAATAAAATTCTTTCAGGACGGGTTTGATGAATTCCACATATTTAGGATTGGAAAACATGAGTTTTCTGTAAGATGATCCTTCTGATGATTCGGCTAGTAAAAGGCCCAAATCAACAGTGTCAGGCGGCGCAAGGACAACTCCTGCTGTCAGAAGGCTTGCATAAACAGCTAAAATGTAACATGAAATTAGAATCTCTATTGATATTCAAAAAAGTATACACATATTCACCATGAGATCCTTTCTTGAACAATTCTATATGAATGTCAGCAACTTTGGGAATCGCACAGGTGACATTGAGGTCCTTCAATGTCTTGCTTAGAGTTTTATGATAGTGATGAATGAGAAAGTTCCAATAGGTCTTCCTCACATGGCTTTCGACAGATGTGAAGAGGAAGAAATTCAAGTCAATTGCAGGAGATCCCCAGTAAACGAACTGATAGTCGAGGATAACAGTGTCAAGCAACTTTCCGTCTGAATTGTATTTGAACATGAAATTGTTCGTCCAGAGATCATTATGATTGAGCACACAAAAAGTTGGTCTCTTGGCGTAATTTTCAAATGTTTTATCTATGAAATTGTCCGTGAGATTGTCTAGTTTCTCAGCGATATCGTGAAATCCATCCCACTGCGTGATTTCATCGTGAAGAGATTTCATGCCAACTTTGAAGAAGACACTGAAGGAATTTATGCAGTCAGCTATTGAAGTTCCAATCAACCTTTCAATTGATTCGGGATCATTTTCATAGATTTTCACAGAGGCTGCATGGAATTTTGCAATGTTAGTCAGAATGTCAATTGTGTGTTCCAAATTCAGCCCTTCTCTGCGATTTAGCATTTCATAGTGGGTGAAAGACAGATCTTCCAGCACAATAGCGCATGGCTCCGTGAGCACAGTTACACAATCTGGGGCTAATTTAGCCAAAGACCCTGTTTGAGATAACAAGAGAGTCGTCTGGGGCAATATCTTTTTGTAAACATGAATTTCATGATTGAAAATGTCGTGTTTCTCTATAAATTTTCCCCTTTCTCCGGACGGAAGGATCTAAAAGTGAAATTTGCATTTTTACTCTTGAGATCCCCTTTGGTGGAATTGAAACAAACCTTCACAATAAATCTTGCAATTGATTCATCACAGTTATTGTCCAAATATTTGACTTCAATCCGATGAATTATGCTTGAGTAATTGACGCCTTTTCCATTCGGTGCACAAATGCGACAAGATATAATTTTCTTAGCTGGTTCACCAACTAAATCTTTGGCAATACTTTTAAAATAACTTTCTGCACTCCACAAAGAACTGTTTTCTGATATTTCCAAACTCATTTTCTCTTGATCTTGCTCTGCTGGAGATTTCAGTCCGACTGATGATAATTTCGAAATTCCTTAAACCCGTCTATTTATGTTTACATGAAGATACGAATTTTTTGCTGAATGATTATCTCAACTGTGTCATTTAACAACCCATATAACTGGAGAACTTTAGACACCATTAACCAGTAAATATGCAAAATAACACATATAAATGAGACACTTCCAATTATTGTGATACAAAACTACATGCAAATATCCTCATTTATTTATTTTTTCATTTACATACCGCTTGGCATACGCAGTACATATTTAACTTATCACTCGGGAATGTCTAAAAAGTTTCTCTCATCCAAGAATGGAAGCAATCGTTTATATATTCTCTTCACAAGCTCAGATGAAAATATTTTTCTCTTCAAAATTTGTCCCTCTTCGTTGTGTTCATCCACAATGAGGTCCAAATTCACCTTCACATCAGGATCTGATCTCATAATTGGAATTGATTCAACTATAAACATTGCACCGAAGAAACCTTTGCGATGAATTGCACTATTTATCTCTTCAAATTTGGGGATTTTCTCGGGCTTTTGCAACAGCTCAAAATCCCTTTTGAGTTCTGAATAGTAGAATTGAATCAATTGATCAAAATGTGTGAAAAAGTCATCTGAATTGCATGCATTGAAGAGTAAATAGATAAGATCAATCGCTGGAGATGTCCAGGAACTGAGTTGAAAGTCGACTAAGAGAACTTCAGGCGTTCCATGTTGATGTCTAAACATGAGATTGTTTGTCCAAGAATCACCATGATTGAGGACATTGAATGAATTGTCTTCGGCTAAGGTCAAACGGTAGTTGGTTTCGAAGATTCTATTCTTCCATTTCCTCTGAAATTATATTTAAAGGAAAATTGATTGAATCACACACGAGATTTTATTTGGTAATGCAATTCGCTAGTATTCTCACCAATTTTGGCAAGTAAGGCAATGCAAAATCCGATGATTCGAGCATCTCCATGAGGCCAGCATACATTGAACCGTAATATTGTTCCATGCCTTCTCTAACGTCCATCCGGGCAATTCCCTCGTTGAATAAATTGTCGTATGGGCCATTCTGTGAAGTGGAATGATGAATTTAATGTGTGGAAATGCAATCATTCAATAAACATTCCTCACCTCATCATAGTGGATAACAGAGGCTGAATGAAATTTGGCTAATTTGGTGAGCAACGTTTTCGTCTCTTCTATAGTCAATCCTTTCTGTCGTGGCAACATTCCATATCCGATCGCCTTGAGATCATCCATAACAATCACCGATCTTGGTGTCTCTGAAGTGAACCAGCATTTTGGGCCGAACTGCACTGAATGTCCAGCTCTCTGCCAAATCTCTTCGAGAGCGGGAATAATTTCGGAATATATCTTGATCTCTTTGGGAAAGGCATTGTATTTCTCTATGATCTCCTCAATTGGGCCGGAGTCAGGCAACACCTTCACAACTAATGATAAGGTGTTCTTTTCATCAGTGTCACGATGAAGGGTGTATTCGATGATCACTCTGTAAATACCTTAAGCATGCAGAGCGATTGTGTAACATTGCAGTGACTCTGTACTTTTCTACGTACTTACTAGACATATAATTGTCTCCTATCGCTGTGGCGGGCTCAACATTGATGGATTTCACACAGAGAGAATCACTGGAGCTGGGAAGGTGTCTATTATTGCGCAATATTGAGTGAAAGAACTCTAAATTTAGCCAGGATGGGTGTGACTCAGTATTATCTGCATTTTCGGTTGACATGCTGTTGCCGTTAAGAACACGATAAGAGGAGTAGAAGATTTTAATTTGACGCCAACACTTTCACTGTTTACGTTTGACTGATGCCGGTTGATCGATATTCGGCGCTTTTGTACGCTCATTGTGTGAGCAAAATGTGTGCGTGAGAGAGAGAGAGAAAAACGGTTGAGAGAGATTGGTAGAACATACTGGGGGTTTTCTTGTCACACTTTTTCGCGATAACGCGAAATACTCCAGAGAATACACCTAAAAAAAACATGTTAATTCATAAAAAGAGCTGCTGCTTTTTGTATAATTGTATTTTTATCTCCTGTGCATGTGATTTTGGAATGAAACAAATTATCATGGTGCGATAACTCCGGTGCAATGTCCATGATTATCGACAATCAATTGCATATCTAAAAGTGTGTTTAATCAAGGAGTCCCTTGGCGTCAAAGAATGGCACTAGTTGCTTCAGAGCATCGACAAAGATGGGATTTGTGTACACCTTCCTCTTGAAATCCGTGGCCTTTTCGTCGGTTCTCGTGAAGGTTTCCATTTCAGATTCATCACTGCCATCAGCCACGCAGATGGCAAAGGTTCCGATTGTCGACGAGACGCCGTAGTGCATTTTCCTGAGCATCTCAATTTGGAGATCCAACAGAGTTGGAGGCGTGGTTGTGCTTTTCAAGAGCTTCATGGCGCTGACCAATTGCGTGTGGTAATATTGAACCAAGTGGTCCATCTTGGCCAATCTAATGTCCTTTTGCAGTGACGTGAAGATGAAGTAGTTCAGATCAATGGCCGGTGAAGCATAGTGGCACATTTGATAATCAACCTGATTTAAGAGAATATAAATTAGTAGTTATTCTCAGAGATTGGCGGAAATAATATTTACCAATATGCAATCCTTCACTTTGCCAGATGAATCGTACTTAAACATGGAATTGTTACACCATATATCTCCGTGATTGAGGCAATTGAAGAAGTTGGGATCTTCCTTGACAATTTCAAAGCATCGCTCCATGAGTCCAGACTCCCAGGTTGTCATGAGTTGGCGAAATTTGGGCGTTAAGCCCCATTCTTCGCTCACTTCCATAAACAATTTGGCATTCGCCTCGAAGAACTGCTTAAACATCGGTCGCATGTTCTCAGAATAGATGCCATTCTTGAAGCACTCCTTGTAGGGACCATTCTTCTCGCGATAGACCACAGAAGCGGCATGGAATTTGGCAAGTTTGTCCAGAAGAAGTTCGCAATGATCAAGATCTAGGCCAACCTTTCGGTTTGCCATCTTGTAGCTCTTCTCGCTCATGTCCTCCATGACAATTACATCGGTGGGTTCACTTCCAGCCATCAAGCAGCTATGAAGAAATTGAGATTAATTAATTATCTAATTGAGAGCATTGATTGCCAATTGTCCGCACTAACCTTGGACCAAATCGGATCTTAACTCCAACATCTTCGTACATCTTCTCAAAGGCCGGAAGAATGTTGTCATACATTTCGATTTCTTTGGGAAAAACATTGAATTGCTTAATCATATCCTGACTAACGCCAAGATCAGGAAGAGCTTTCACGATGTAGTTCCTCTGCACCACGTGTTTCTCCTTATTCTCCACTTGTAGTCTGAAGGCAAGAGTGAGGATTTAATGCCCTTATTCCCATCTATTAATCTTTGCATACTCACTTAACCCTGTACATGACCGATGCATAGTTCTCTCCTTTTCCCGTTGCTGGAGCAATGCCGACTCGGATGACTTTGAAGGACTCAAATTCCTTCCTGAGAATGTCGTTGAAGAAGAATTTGTTGAGCCACTTTGGATTGCCACTCTTTGGCTTTTCCTCCTTCTGCGATGTGTCATTAGGCGACATGATTTGACGAGCTTTTAAGGCCTGAGAAAACAATGCATAATTCAGCGAATAATAATAATAATAATAACAGTCGTATTTTTACTTAGTAATGCTAAATGTTGTATTAGAAAACCTTGAAGCAATTCACCAAATGATTTATAATTATTATGGATGCAACGAATGTTGAATAACAATTTCCGTAAAGTTTAAAACGTGAATGCAGAATGAGAGAAAAAAGAATTCACAAGAAGGATTCAAAGATAAAGTGTTAGTATGAAATTTGGAATTATGGAGCACTGATATGAATAAATATTCTCTGGATGATAAGGCAGTGCAAGATTACGGCTGACCTTCTTGTTACCTCAAAATGCTACTTCTATTGTTAGTAATTTGATCACACACGAAACTAAAAGAATGAATAATCAAGAGAAACTACTTTTGGTGCACTGTAAATTATTTTTTCGGGTATTAGTCCTTGACCTCTTACACACACAAGTGTGCTTTGTGACTCAATTTTACCTTGCGCGACGAACTTAGAGAAGCGTGTTGTGGACCGAACTGTTTTCCGATCACTGACTGACTGTTTTACGGGTCCAAAACCACAGTCACTTGAAGCTTCGAAGGTAGAAAAGTTTCGTCAAATGCTTTTGAGCCACGTGACACAAGATACAGATGACGGTATACAATTTCAACTTTGCAATTCACTCAAACGTTTGATCTGGCATTGTCTATATATATAAATGATGGGGGCTTTAGTGAACTGATAACTGGTTCCTGCTCTGTACTTAAACGCGCCAAAGTTCTCACAATTGATATAATTTTCAGAGGTATTTTTGATAAGTTATCAAGTTTTTCGTCTTGTCACCGTTAGAATTACACTCTTATTTCGTGAGTTGACAGTTTCCTTTGGAGCGATCTTTATTGTGTGAGGAATACAGATTGGTTCTTCAGACTGATTTTCCAGGGGAATAAAAAGCTCTACTATCTCCCAACCACTCTATAATAAATTATATGATTGTGTTTCTGTACGTTGAACGATAAGGAAAAAATTGCCAATAATATTTCAAATGGCACTTCATGTGTGGATGACTCTGCGAAAAAGTGCGCATTATCTAATTATTAAAATTACACTATATGAGACTTGGAGGTCAGTGTGGTTTTGTGGTTCTCCGCAAATTCGTTACGCATATATGTTTTGTAAATAACATTGTCGCGAGAAATAAAAACTATAGACATGCTATATAAAAAATCCAATCTGTCGCTTTATTCCTCAAATTACGATTTATTGACTCTCGTAGGAATCAGTGGTGGTGCTTATTAAAATTAAACATTTCGCTCGATATTTATAGTGAAGGGATGCTTGTTCTATAGGGCCGTTACCTCTACATCCTCAGACTCATTCTCGTCATTCTCCTTATCATTCGATGCGTTCACTTCTTTGACGTCTTTGGGAGTTTGCGCTATCTTATCGTCCGGAATGGCTTCGAGACCATTCGCGTGAACACCATTGGCAACAATTGTGTCTTCTTTCTGCTTGTCATCCTCCTTGATGGCCTTCTCCAGACTGTCTCTCGAGGGCTCCTCAGGAGCTGTGCCATTCTCTGATACTTCTGCTGATGCAGGCGCTGGCGCGTCCGGCTCAACAGCAATGATTTCGGATTCGGGAACGAAGTCTGCATCAAGCATTCCTCTTTTCTCCAAGAATGGCAAGATTAGTCGCAACTTGTGCTCATATCTTGGGTTGAAATACATCTTTTGACGCATAATATCTCCTCCTTCGCTTTCTCCCATGAAGTTCTCGATTGTGGCATTCTCATTCTTGTCCATGAGGACAATGGCAACGATCCCTGTGATGCACATGCACGCTGAAGGGAGAAATAAATACATATTTGTTTAGAAATTTGATATAAGAAAAGGCCTTTGAAAATGTGTTCTTACCGTAAAAACTGTTCTGGAGAACTTGAAGTTGAATATCTTTAAGCATCGGTGGTGTTTTTTGCGAGCCAAGGCGTTTCAATGCGTCCACCAAGTTGGTGTGATAATGCTGGATAAGAGCATCGAATTCCGCGACAAAGATCTCCGGTTGCACTGATGAAGTTAAGAAATACATCAAATCAACAGCTGGTCTGCCCCAGTGAGTCATTTGAAAGTCAATCTGCAAGATAAAAATGGGACTTTTACTCTCCATTGCATGAAGAAAGAGCAAAAATTTAAGAGTCATCTTACAAATAATACATCAACGGGGCAGTTGTTCTCATCATACTTGTACATATGATTGTTGATCCACATATCGGCATGATTGAGTGAGCAAAATTCATCGGTTTCCTTGGGCACAATGGAAACTTTGAGAATTCTCTCAAACATAAATTCCTTCCAGCCATCGATGATATGGTAATATTTCTTCAGATCCTCAGAAGACTCAATGAACTTGAGCAGTGTTGGGAAAGTTCCGTTGATGAATTGATCGAACATCTTTTTCATCTTAGGATCAAAGACATCACGACCAAGTCTAGGTCCAAATGCTCCATTCTACAGCAATAAAGGGTTAATTTTAGATATTTTGAGAGAATATTCTAGAGGGATTTTGTGCTCACTCTCTCTTTGAAGACCACTGAAGTGGCGTGAAACTTGGCCAACTTGGAGAGGAGAAGCTTAGCATGCTGAAGATCTAGACCTTCGAATCTATTTCCCATGACAAAGCCCTCATCCCTTAAGTCACTCAGCACGATTATCTCGTTGGGGTCTGAAATTGTATGCAAACATCTGGACAACTAATTAGTTTCCACTTCCTCATTAGCCACAATTGTGCTCCAACTCACTTCGGACCGAAGGTAATGTCCTCCCCAATTTCCCGCCAATAGCTCTCCATCACTGGCAAGACTTGCTCGTAAGCCTCAATCTCAATGGGGAAGACGCTGAACTCCTTTAGCATGGGCACAGTGTGGATCATCGCCTTGACGATGAAGTTGTTCGTCTCAGGCTCCTCACTTTCAGGCGTTGCCTCCACTTTAACACGATACATGGTGGAAGTGTAGTTATCGCCAATTTCGACTACAGAGGAGCACCCGAGAATTTTGAAAGTGATCTTCTTGCCCCCAAAACGTGCATCTTTGGCGTAGATTTCGGCAAAAAACTCCTCATTAAGCCAATCCGGACGCGTCACTTCACTATTAGTTGACTCAACCTTCGACATAATTGCGCCTTTACTTGAATGCCTCAAAGCCCTCAAAAAGAGACTGATTTCGGTTAACGTATTGCTCGTTGGGATTTTACGAGAGAACTGAATGTTAAGAAATATTTCATTTGGCTGGTGAAGAGTAAAATTCACACATTCACGCTTTGTACCATGGCGCACAAATACACGAATTTTTTTCCCACCACTTCACATGGCTGCGATCTTCTTTCGGCGATTTGCGATCGCGATTTGCCACATGTGCGCGTGCTGATTTATTCTCTCTCCACCCACACAGTGTTTTGATTACTAGCGTAAACAGTGGGACTACTATCTTATCTGTAAGGTCACAATTGATAGGAGATTATTTCAGATTGGATTTCTTCACGGAACTCTGATAAAAGGCACATTTTTCTCACCTTAAAAGGTAAGCCATGAAATCAATGGAATTTTGAGTCAGAATGACTTGAGAGAAAGGCAAGAATTTCATCAGTCACTTCTTCAATTGCAGCTAATTCTTCTATAAATTAGCGGCAATCATTCAAATGACACCGATTGACGTTGCTGCAGTTCAACTGTTCTGTGTTAATTAATCTCTTTATTAACAACTGAAACGATTTACAATGTGGAAGAAGAATGATTGAGCGCTTATGATGTTGAATGATGGTGGGAAATCGACCTGATTTGCATACTCAGAGGTGCCCTTCTTACCCGCTGTGACCGCCGTAGGTCGACAGGTAGTCCCTCTGCAGTGGCGGGTGGACGTGGGCGTGCGTGAGGTGCGGTGGATACATGTCCGGCGAGCGAGTCTCATGGCCGGCGGGACTTCCGTTCAGCAGTTCCGTCATGAAGCTGATGTAAGTGATGGCCAGTCGGAGAGTTTCAATGCGACTCAGGCGCTTCTCGTAAGCGAATGTTGGCACCTGGCCAGAAAGATCGTGGATTAGGCAAAGATTTTGGTAGGAATCTTATGTGAAAGGAGTACCAATTCTACCTTTCGTCTGAGCTTATCGAAAGCCTCATTGAGATTGAACATCCTTCGTCTCTCGCGAATGTTGGCGGCTCGACGCTGTGCCAGGGAAGCTACGCGCCGTCGGGTCTTTTTGGTGGAGCCATTGGGTGCTGGATGACCACTTCGTGGGGACAGACGCTGACCTACAAGTCCCGAGACTTGAGATCGTGGCCAAATTGCTTTTTTTTCGTGAGACACGCGATTGTAGAGAATTTATTGAAATTTTGCATGAAAAAAACAGTAGAAATTTGCTAGATGGAGAACACTTACGATACTTACCCAAATCTGAGCACGGAAATCCGGCTATCAGGTCTGGGTAAGAGACTATCGGTGGCGGAGCGTCCTGGTGTGGCCAGATTGGCGTGAAGGGCGACACTTCGGGCATGAATGGTGGCTCCGGATGCTGCTTCCAGTTCCATTTCGGGGCGGCCAAATCAAGTAAAGGAACAATTGGGCATAATAGAAGCCTTTCAGGGTATCAAAAAGCAATTTAGATCACATACTCCATTGACATTGTCCCAATTTTCACCGTGAAACACCGCCATTTTCCACAATATTTAGAGGCAATTACAAAAAAAAAATCACAGGACAAATCCTCAAGCACTGCAATCCTTTCAGATGTTGTGATTCTTCGGAAGGAACTTAAACTACTGCGGTTGAGATTCCGTCGGAGGGATTCTGCGAATGTCCTGAAGAGATGTGGCAGCTTCCGTGGCTGTGATTGGTGGAAATTGAGGCGGAGTTTTCCACCATTTTCACAGGAGTGTCTGGCACGGCAAGTGGACGAGGAAGATGAATGGTGTGAGGGTGAGTTGCACTTGTACAGTGATTTAAACTGAGGGGAGAAGAATGAAATATCCCCGGATTTTATTAAATTTCACCGGAAATGTCTGTAAAATTTTAATTCTCCCATTCAAAGGAGCATTTTGACAAATCTTCTGCAAAAACATTCCATCTTTGACATAAAACATGCGCCAATTATTGCCCAAATTCACAATTATTGAATTATAATTGGTGCCTTTTCCAACAGCAATCATGTGAAAATGCACACATGTTTAATAGAGGAGTCAAATTTATTAATAAAGATGACAAATATGACACAATATTAAAAGTTAAGCACACCCTCTTGCCTCCAGTCCGTCGGGATTCCTTTGTGTGCGGTGTGAAAAAGGGGCGCGCTTCGTCCCTCTCAATTTCGCAGTGGTGCATTTCGAATTAGTTCCGTTTAGTTAATATATGGCGAAGGGCATCGCAAAATTGAGAGCAATTAGGGATGAAATTTGTTGTGTTTTTCTCCAAAAGTTTTCTCCGTGAAATTTGTCGCCTCTTCATTCTGACTTTAATCCTGTAACAAGATAAGCGGATTGCGATGATTGTGAGGGTGAAATGACACTTTGTCAATGGGGAAGCATTTTCAAAACATATTTTGTTTGCAGATCAAAATATTTGCTAATATGTTAAATTCATCAATGCAAGCAAAGGAGAGATAATTCTGTGGTTTTTATTATTTAGAAATGTAGAAAGGATTAGATTTATTATTATTGAACTATTTAAAGATATTTGGATCATTTCTCAGTTACACAAGATATGTAAAAAATGTATTATATTGGTTCAACACACACCTTGGTTATTCTGAGTTACAAACGTAAGGATTAAAATGCAGAATGACAGATCGGAAACTGCAGAATAATGTGCAAAGATGGATCCATCTCCAATTGTGGCTCTGAGTTTGAAGTATGAACATGAATGATGTTTGCAGTAAATTCTTTTTATTACGGATTTACTAGTTATATTATTAAATTTAACTAATTTAGGTAAATTTCACAATTTTTTTGCTATGTTTCTTCTCTTACACATTGTGGTATCGTTTTAAAACTTTAAAACACTGTTTTAGCGAGAATAGAAAGGAATGTTCTTTCTTATTCATTTCGAATATTAAACTTTTATATATTTAAAGTTTAACATTTCTGTGTTTGATTGGGAATTTATGCTATTTTCTGCTAAAAATTCATCTGCAACTCCAATTGCAATTGTAGCGCGAAGCATAATTTGTTTATGATTTAATTTCTCCGTATGAAAACATAACAATTATGATAAAATGCTTCTATTGTAATCCGAAGCATTGATTGCAGTCGAGAGGCGAAAAGAGAACTTTTTTTATCATATCAAAAGTTTGAAAGAAAAGCATAAATTGGGGGGATCAAAACACACTAAAAGACTTAGAGAGTTTATCATTCATAGTACGCATTTTGAAAGTTGTGTAATTATGAGTATGTATTTGAGTGTTTTCAGGCAGTTCAAGGCGAATTATTGCATAAATTATACAAAGTGTTAAGAAATTGCGGCTGACTTGACGTCATGTCAGTTGTGGAATGGAAATGAGCATGCAAATCGCTGTTTAGCCACACGTTGTTCACTTCTTCAGTCTCCAATGCACTTGAGATGATTAACCGTCTAAGTTTTGTGAGAATTGCAATCACGAGTGATGTCTGTGGATTTTCCGCCAAAATATTTTCCGCGCTCGCGTGCGACAGAGCGAGACGTCGGGCTGGAGAGCGAGAGAGCAGAGATGGTGAATTAAGAGCGATATCGTGTCGTTTCGATTTGTACAAGAAGATAGACCACGGGAGTTTTTCAAGAGGCGGCGAAAGAAACGGCAATGAGTGGTGTCACGAAAATTTGGTTCTGCCGACCAGGCGTGCAGCATGGCAGGCGCGCCGGCAGCCGAGCGCTTTCCCGCTCAACCACCACGGAGGCGCCCTCGGTGTCGGTGACGCGAGTGCCGATGTATTGGCCGGGAAGCGTTCGTGAATAGTATTTCGCTTGAGAATGCAGAGACAGGCGCCCATAGCAGCGGCCGCATTCCTCGGCACTCCTGCCGCAGGACGCGAAACGAGGACGATGGGGAGGCTGCACTGCGACGACGCTGGACGCCGGAGCTAAAGTGAAATCGAAAGCGACACACTTTCGATTTGCTCGCTCACTTCTTCGGCAGTTTTGCTCGCAGATTCCCAGCTTCAGCGAAGGACGCAATGCTGCAATCCTTTTCTTTTTCCGATGATCCAATATTTTCGGTAGTCTTGAATTCTGCGAGAGCGCAGAAGAGTGTGAGATGAGAGTTCCTTCAACTTGAGGCTGAGTTTAGAGAAATATTGTCTCACATATCGACGTTTTATGATCTCTCAGAGAGTTTCATACACTTTGAAGTCTTTGTGTTACTTTTCATGGGATGGCGTGAGAAATTCCCCCAAAACCACACGCAAGGCTACATTGCACAACCTCGCAAAGTATCCACTTTACTATAAGAGAATTTCGTGATGTTTTGCCTCCTAAAAACCACACGATGCTTGGAATTATAGTTATTTACCATGTGTTTCACTCTTGAGGCTTTGGAAAAAAACCGAAAAATCCTTTCTCGGTCTAGAATAGCATTGAAAACTTACCTTTTTAGAAGTAGCATATTTCCGTGGGAAATACTTTTCCCGATGATATAAAAAGTCGATAATGCAGTGAAAAATCCAGTGTTGTTGTGAATTCAAAGAGAATTTTTTTCTTGATTTCTTAAGTTTCTTTATTTTACTAAAAATATTTTTTTTTACCTTTTTATATATTCATTATTATATTTCTTCAATATATAATAAACATTTCTGTTGATTTTAGAGGGTGTATTTCATTAATAGATTTTATCAACCGTTCATTCATGTTTTTTTTTTTTTGTTTGAAGTTTATTACAAGCGAAAAGTTTCATGTCAATTGATTTTTTCGTCCTTAAATTTCAGTGTTCAAATTCATATTGAAATCCTGTTTAGAAAAATTGATGTCTCGCCAAGCGCGGAATTTATTTAGGCAAAATAAAGAAACGTCTCGTGTGGCGTTTTCTTGGATATTCTTTGTTGCAGCAATTTTTTTCATTCGAAGCAAAATTAATCACGAGAGTTTTTTGTCGGTTGTTTTTTATATATCATTTAATAATCTCCCCAGAATTTCACACATTTTTTTCTCTCACTTCACACGTTTTTTTTTCTTCTTTATTCTCAAGATAAACTTAAAAATGAGACTTACAAACCTAAAAGTGTAACAAGTAATAAAATTAATTTCTTGGTAAATTTACGAATAGTTATTACATTAGCAGTTGCTAGAATCTTATTTACTTTACATCATCTTAAGTCCTATATTTTTCTCTGATTTTTTTTCTTCCTTATTTTTCACCTTTAATACATAGAAATATATATATACTCCTAAAATGATATTACATGAGGCTGAATGAAAAGCAATTTCTGATTTTTTTTTCTCCTGTTTCGAGAATGAAGTCAAAAAGAAAACCTATTAAATGTACATTATTACAAAAAACAAATGGAAGAAGAAAAAAAAGGGTGGCGCGATGATGGGAGCGTACAAAGCAACTAAAACCGTAGCATACAAAAATGAAAACATTATTATTTCCATCTCTAAGGTCTCTATCATCAAAGATACATTTTGAAAAAAAACCCTAATCTATTTACACGTGTATTTTTTTCGCAGAAAAAAAGACTTGTTCAACATTTACACATAAAAAAATCTTACAGCACTACATTTTTCTCTCTTTTTTTTGTATTTACTCGCAATAAATTCTACTATTTGGTGAAGATAATTTTTAATTATTTCTCTCTTTTATATACCTTTTCTTACAAAATAATAATATAAAAAAAGACGTGAAAAATAGACGATAAGCAAATCAAGGGATGAAAATTTGCCTTCAGCAGAACGGAGAGAGTGAGAGAGAGAGAGAGAAGTTGCCTGGAAGGGAATAAAATGTAGTCTTTTTTGCAGTTAATGGATAATCATGGAATTGAGGCGTTATTAGAAGCATTTTGTACTAAGCCACATTTCTTTTTTAAACTGAATTTCATCACTTATAAAAGTGAAAAAAGGAAGCCAGAGAAAGCTTATTAAATAAGTAGTATAAAATGAGTGTATTTCCACGAAGCAATTCTCTTCTCTCTCTCTCTTTCTCTCCTGTTAATTCACCAACTGCACGAAGGGACCCTTATTAATTGTGTTAATTACTTCTTTTCACAGAGTATAAGTTTTACATTAGTATGTTTTTCATCTTTTTTCTCATTTTTTTTGTGGGATAATCAATTTGTTTAAAATTCTCTCTTATTACACTCAGTTTTAATGCGAAGAATCTTCACGATATATTTTAGTGGAATACATTTTTTTTTGTTTGCATTAAATATCATTGTTCTAAGTTTGAGATAAATAGCGAAATGTCTTCTCACTACATACTTTTTTCTTTCTCTCTCGCTCTCATACTTCAGAGGATATTGAGAAGAACACAGTCTCCTCATCCACCTGAACAAAAGTGACATTAGAAAGTGTTTTACAATGCTTTTTGTTTTCTTGTTATTTAAGATTTAATACGAGAATCCATCACGGTTCCATTTTTATCAATCTTCTACTCTCTCTGATCATCGAATTTTCTCCAAATTTCCCAATCGTCTTCTCTCGTCAAACAGTCTCTATGTTGTGTACATTTTTCTTCCCATTTTTCAGTAATGCTTAAGTGCTTTCTCTCATCCTAATTACAATGCACTTTCACTGTATTTTCGTCCTATTTTCTATTATCTCAGCTATAAAACCTCTCAATAATTTTCAATCTTGCGCCTTTCCTTCACTCCTCTATTCTCCTCACGCACGCATGCACGCAGTGTCCTCTTCCACGTGAAAAAGTCCACACAAGTTTGGGGAAGGTGTTCAAAGCCAAAGACAGAAGTGAAACGAAAATTTGGGGTACTGGTATGGTTTTTTCCTCTCACATGCACTTCTTCTCTCCTCAATAAAAAGATCATTTTTCCTTCACTTGAATTCTATGCATCTCTCTTCTCTTCACTCTCTCTTACATCATAAATCTATTTACAGTGTATGTTTTTTCATGTGTTTCTCTTTCTCCATTATAAAAAGTTTTTATTCTCCCCAATCTAAAGACAAGTAATTCCAACAATAGTTACATTTTTTTCTTCTTCTCTTTTTATACTTCAGAATATAATTTCTACATTTAAAAAAAAAGAACGAAAAGATTTTTTTTATTGAATGGTATTCTCTATTAATTTTTTTTCCTATATATTTCGCATTCATTTAGAGACCTTTTTATATATATTTAATTCGGGGTTTGGCAGTGTATTCCAACATGTTTTTATTTTATTTTTGTTATACTTTAATTAATTCCACTGAAAGTTCACCAAAAATGGCAATTTCTGTGTCTTTATCATTGTTTTGAAAAAAATCCATCATAATCGTCAACTAAGCGATAAATCAAGTTATATCATAGTTCAGTTTTGTCGTCATTTTTGCTGTGAAAAATTCTGCAATAATTCAAGGGTTTTTCTGTGTTATATATTTGCCTATCAAGAACTCAATGCAACTGTGTGAAGAAACTCAGGTGGAAAACTACACACTACACGTCCCCATTCAAAGCTAAATGTTAACCCACTCTCTCTCTGGAAAACTTACAGACTGTCTTGCATTATCAGACATCCTATAATCGTGAGATTACACGTAACAAGAGTACCGAAAGAAGAAAAGAAGCTCTTTCTCCCTCTCTCTCATACAGAAAAAATACAACTCCTCTCCATGTTATTATAACTTTCATCAAAAGTGGGTTTCCTCTCTATCACCTTAAATTAAATGGCTCTTCTCTCCTCCTTTCTCTGGGTTTGCCTTAGTATCGCGCGTCACAAAATCAACCACACCCCGCATTCCTACAGCCGCTCGTGCGCCTCGACAAACCACTCAGGATCATTTGGATCCTCCTCCGCTGTGGCCGAGATGACAGAATCCGTTTCGGCATCAGAATCAATATCAAGTATATTGTCCATCAGCGTATTCGATTCACTCTCATTGAGAATTGCGCCCATTGACGATGTGTGACCAGCAGCAGCAGTAGTAGCTTTGCACGTCAGCCTCTTTGCACCCACACACTCTTTCACTAAGTGATCTGTCGGCATTGCCTGAAGCATCGCCTCGTATATGTCATCCGGCAGTGGGAACACCAGCGACTCATACGGAGGAATTGTCTAAAATGATGCAATATGATTTTAGCTCACTTAAAGACAACCTCCTCACAAGGACACTAACTTCCTTCAGATCCGGCGTATTGCTGCGCCGCGCATCCTTGTCCAGCGATCCACCACCGCCACCATCGCGATCTCTCGTCAGCAATCTCAGCGATGTCGTGCGACGCCTCTCAGAGCGCAGCAGCGTCGAATTGGACAGTGGATTTGGGATGGGCGCTGCAAATGCAATACAGAAAACAGTGATTTTATTAGCAAAAATTCATTAAAGATATGAAAAAAAGAAGCTATCAATTTAAATACAATTTCCCTGAGAGCTTTGTGAGTAAGACAATTTGTCATGGTGTGAAGAAAACTATTTTTTAGTATCTATTTGTGATAATGAGCGTAAATTATCCATTTGTTATTCTCTCGCTTTAGTTGATTGAAATTAACTTTTGTCCATTTTCACACTCAGAATTTACTATTTTGTTGGGAAACTCTGTGAAGATTTCAACTGTAAGCTACTTAACAAATTCCTTATCTTCTTCTTGTTGTGTGAGTTCTTCAAAGCATTATTGCAAACACACTTCTCAGATACTTGCATAATTTATACTATCGCTTAGGATATAAACATTCTCCTTGTTCCCATTAACAATGTGATATCATGTCACAAATTCTCATTGTATCACACAATTTTCCCCACGCCCACAAAAAAAAACCAGATAAAATTCTCATCTGACCCTGTGAAATTTCTTCACTCATCAAAGATCAAATTGCAAAACAAATAAACTAGAAATAAATATGACTGATTCGCTAAACCACTTCTTTTCATTACCTGTTGGGGTGGAAATGGTGTCAGTTGCTCCTTCGCCATGCTCCAGTGGTGTTAGCGGAGTGGATGGACAGGCAGGAGATGGTATGGACTGTGCGAAAGAAAAGAAAAATCCATTAGCAACCACTCAAGAATGCATACATCTTCTTTTCATGGCAATATAAAATAAAATCATTCAGCATTCTCACCTCTTGATCTACAGCAACACTCGGTGAGGTCGGGTCTGGGGTATTTGCACCGCTCGACTCAGCTCGACTGTCGATTCGTCGATTGGCACGTGATCTAGTACTGTATGGAAATTTCAAGAATGTCGAGAACTTCTTCCTCTCATCGAGCAGAGAGCGCTCATGCTTCGACGAGATTGCATCATTCAGTGTCTCTTCACTTTCAATCTGCAAATCCGTTTGACTAGATTCATTCTCAACCTCAACCACAAAGTCCTTCTCCTGTACAACTTTCCATCTGCAGAGAAAGAAAAAACGAAAATGTATTTATAACCACTGAAACATTGATATGATTTTAATGATTAAAACTCACTTTGGCGTTGGAATTTCTTTATACGGCAGAATCTCAACTCTTGTCGCCGCTGCAACACTGTATGGTATTACAATGTTATCAATGTCGTAGGAATTTCGATTCCGGCGTAGATCTGAATATCCCGATCTGGATTGAGAGAAAGTAATTAAAGTGTCAGTGTTTTGTTGCTCCTCAACAATAAAAAGGAAAATCAATACAATCTACTCTACCTCTCATGTTTGTATGATGAATTCAGTGTGGGTGATGAATTTTTACTGCGTGGCAGTCCATTTTCGATATCATGATGCAAACCAGCCGTATCTGAGCCCGATGTTGATGATGGTTTCGTTCCAGCCACCTTACGATTCTTATGATGCTTCAGCAACTGCGAATATTTCCCATGAAGAGCACGTCGCGCCTTTGCCTTCTTAATTCCTATAACAATAACAACAACAAGTATGATTTAGTGAATGAAATACACACATTTCTCTCTCTCTCTCTCGCTGTCTATATATCATCAAATATAAAGAATTTGTTGTGCGCAACTTGGCAACACACGTACTATTTGTGACGAGTCCCTGAGAAAACTTTCTTCCGAGCTTCCGTGCCGGCTCATCATACAGTCGATGTTGCTTCTGCTTCACACGATCCTCACGCAAAATTGACGCCTTTGGCGTGGTCGTCGCACTCTTCAATGGCGCTTTGGTCGTGCATCTCACCACCTTCACTTGCCACTCCGGTATTCGCAGTACAGATTCAAAGTGGATATTTTGAGAGACGTCTGCAAATACAAGAAAACACAAAAAAGGCAGCTTTAGTTAACAACATTCTCTTCAATTCTCACATGTTTAGAGGGGAAAAAAAAGTACAAATCTCTTCTCATTTCTACCCCTTTATACACACAACTCTTTTTCTGCTAACATCATCAACATGTTCACGTTGGATTTGTGTATAGAGTAAATCAATTTTTTCCTTACACATTTTCCCATAGTCAACACTTTCACACGATGTAATATGTATTCACGGGAAAAAGAGAGCAGAAAAAAGGTGAAATCAATTATCTAGTGAAATTGCTCTTAACATTCTGCCATTTTACACACTCAATCATTTCCTCCTCGTCCCATTTATGTATATACATATTTCCTCAACAGAATATCTGGAGAGAAAAAAAAATGTATTGATGCAAATTCTCATCTCTCATCCACACACGTCGTTACGTTACACAGAATTGATTGGAGACTAATTCAACATAATAACGCAGCATCTTTCTTTCGCGTCTCTCTGTCTCACCATCTCTTTCACGCTCTCCAGGCGAAACAACAGGGTAGGAAAATTATATTGTTGCAAAAACTAGTTTAGAAGAACAACCTCGTGGCTTCACGCTTGTCAATCTAGTTTACACACATGTATTATTATTGTCATATTTGCTGCTGCTGTTGAGCACGCAATATTTCTCCCCTTTCCATCTCATTAGCAGCGCAAAGAGAGTAATTGATGGATAAATCATTGCACTGTCGCTGCAATATCTTTTAGCGACACATTTCAGAAACACACGCATCATATCAACACTCAATTCAACTCACCTTCTGGGAAACTGAGAACTGGATGATAGCATGGATCCAGAAGTGCCACTCTATCCGACACTGGCATCATGTCGGGCAGGTCTCTGGGTGCTGTTGGATCTTGGCGTCCTGTACAGAGCGCACAAGGATGAACTGGCCACTGACAACCACATTTGACAGTGCTAAAAGAAATATGACCAAAAACATGAAACCATTCGTTAGCATCTCTCCATCAATCTCTCTCTCTTTCTCTGTCTCTCACAATTAAGCCTATATATAATGCTGTAAAAGTCTCACCTTGATCTTGCGGCCTTCTTTGAGATCGTGTGCAAATTTGCTGTTTGTAGGAGTTTTCGCTTCTTAAAGCCACTCCTCTGAAAAGGTCTTGTGCGACTCGAACTGCCAGACTGTTGATCGTAGGCACCATTCGGTGTGCTACCATCTTCAGCGTCCGTCGTCGCCTTGGAATTGCCCGGCAAAACACCTCGATAGCCATTGACTGAGTGTTGCGGCGGTGGCTCCTCGAATGTCACTGCGCCCTTGCTCTTGCGTATCTGATTCTGCAGATCATTGTGCTGCCTTATGCGATACTCCAGATCCGAGATTTGAGCAAGAAGCCAACTCCAGCGCGTCGCAATCGCGGCACGATCCTTCGACCATCTCCACGCTGCCCGCTTTGCTCTGTAATGTGAGAAGAAGACATAATATGCATCACAAGTCTTGATAATGTGCATTTCCATGATGTGTCAATTCACTGTGGTTTTGTGCACTCTCATTAAATATTGTTGCGACTTCGTCTCTTTGAAGAAAACCACTGTCATTGACATTATTTCATCGTCAGAGTCAATTGCATGAAAAAATAAATGGTTTCTTGTGAGAATTCATTGAAAATATAACTACAATTGCAGTGGAAAATCCTTTTGAGAAATATGTAAGTTATTACATCATTTTCTTTAAACACTTCTTCGAAAAAGAAGCCAAAATGATCACACTTCAAGCATTCGTCAACATTTGATGTTAAAGCTCAAATAACAGTTTTGCTTTATTACTTTACAATGCAACAGTATTCTCAAATGTGGCTTTGAGCCAAAAATTTCACTCTTTGATTTCTTTTTGGTAGAAAAATATGCTTTCTCAAAGCATTTTTACATCTTTTCAGCACACAAGTTTTATCATGAGAAATTGCCAATGCCTTCCACACTCACACGCGTACTCAATCTTGATGTAACACTACTCTATCATAAGCATTATCATTTCGCATCATAAAAACAATCTCTTCATCATATGAACACATCAATCAGTCACTTCATATTTACTTAAATCACCGCTATATATTTGCTATTTGTGCCTTTCGTGAACGTGTGTATCAAAGCAAAAGGCACAAGAACAACACAAAAAAACATTCACGACCAATTCTTCAGCAAACGCTTTTTTTCCCCTGTTGGATAATATTATTCAACAGTGTGCAAATCACTGCTCCACAGAGCACTCCTGCCCAACCTTGAAATACCAATAGCGCCCATAGAATTAATATGAGAATACCATTAAATTCTGCCACAATTCATCTTCGACACTTTCTGCCACTGCTTTTTTTCCCTCCCAAATGCGCTCAAATCCCATTTTCACGGGGGAAAATCAACACTGTGAGCGAGCAGCAATGTGTGGTGAATGACGGAAATTTTAGTCTATTTTCAGCAGAATATCTCACATACATAAACACTTGAATATTACCACTTTTTTTTTCTTCTTCTCTTATCGCCTCCTCTTCTATCGCCCCCTGAACTTTTAACCAGGTGAGGTCAATATGTCCATTTAGTAATTCAAAGCTCACACTTCTCCATACACAACTCCTCTCTCTCTGTTTCTCTCTCTCCCTATAGAATTGAGTATATATTATCATGACACACGCACATAATCGTGGTTTTCTCATGCTTAGCCTACAACAACTTAATTCCACAAGCCATGAACAGGCCGCTTTTTGTTGCTGTTTATAAAAAAAAGAAGAAAACTTACTCCTCACATCCTTCAGTGATGGTGTCATTGGCTTATGAAATACCTTTCTGAATGACTCCATATTCTCAAGATAAGCTTTTTCTCCCCACTTTTCTTCTCCCTTTGTGACTCTCCTCTCCTTAATGGGATTAACAAGGGAAGTCGTACTGCATGATTCCACTTAATATGTGTTTTTGCTAAAATGCTCTTCCATTCAAACTATTCAAAGCTCTTTTAATTAAATTTGCGTGAAATGTGCCATATCGAGGAAGCATTTGTATAATAGTCAGACATGCCAAATACAATGTTATCACAACGTACTTCGCGACTCTTTAAATACAGTAAAAAAAAGAATGTGTGCAAAAAGAAAGACAAAAAGAGAACATAGAAATAGCTTTCGCCCATTCAATCTAATCAATGAATTCGACAAACATTTGCGTGCCCTCGTTTGCCCCCCTTCTTAAAAGTCTCTCGCAAGTCTTCTTATATCGTGTCAAAGTCACAATCGTTCGATTTATGGACTATATTTTCACCTACACGTACTCCAAAAACTTACGTACAATAGATTTGTCATCACACCGAGAATGTAATAATTAAAGAAACACTCACAAAACCATAAACATCCCGTGGAAAGCAATGATTCATCTTTCTCATACTGCTTCAGCGTTTTTTTTTCTTGCTTTATCAATTAAGCTTTAACCACGAATGATTTTTTTCATCGTTCAGCAAGTCTGTCAACTTTGCTGTTCAACTAAAATTGTTTAGCGAAAAATTTTCCATTTGTAAATAATAAACTCTCTTTTTTCCATAAAAAACCATTAGATTTTTGTGTGATCAAACCTGTAAATCTGGTGATACATCAAAAATATAATAAATAATTTTGCACAACACAAATGCACATATGGAATTGTACTGTGACGATAATAAAATTTACAAACATTTTTTTTTCTATGCATTGATTTTACTGCTAAGCTGTGCACTTTCCAGAGAAAAATTCCTCTCATGCTAAGCAATTAGACTCTGTGAAAATTATACGACACAGTGTTGCATTTTCCACCTTATATTTACCCTACATTGCAAACATTAAACCCTTCATTTCAATGACTCTCGCGAATCTTCAACTGTGCCACGAAACCATTGTTCGGCTTGTGTTTACAATTTTCACGTTTTTTTTCCATTTGTCATCTCACATTTTGCAAGAGCTTTTATAAAATATCAAATTTTCATTGCATCATTAAAAAATGCATCCCAAACAAAATAAAATGAATGAAAAAAAAAATATTTTTACTGCACTTTTATCAAATTCCATGTAGTAATTATTTTTTCATGGAAAGGATATAAATTTTCACTGGATAAAACGATAAAGCTTCACAATGAATAACCATAAATTCCGATATTACATCTCAGCGTTGGCGTAAAAGCAAAATCCCTCAACGTTATTGTGCTAGAAATAGGATGAAAAAAAACGTCACCATCATCGTATTGAACGCATTCCAAAGACAGAGGGTCATTCAATGGCATTTTGCAAGGATTCTCTGGAGGAGAAAAACTCAGTGTGAAATGCAATTAAACTTCTTCAAATAAATCATGAATTATTTTTAGACATTTTCCAAAGATTATAGAATACTTTTCATCATAGTGAAAATATTCTGTTATCAAGCAACGCTATCTTCCACTTGATAAAACCCTTATCACGATTATCGAATGTTTATGAAACAATTTGCATTTCTATTACGCATTTGTGGCATTGCAATATAAATTTCCCACTGCATTTTCACCAAGCACCAGTTGCTAATGAAAGTGCAAGGAGAAAGAGAGAGAGAGAAAGAGAAAAAGGAAATAAACACTGTGCAAATGTAGGTTAAAGTCCTTTCAAGTCACCAACTTCTATCATTCATCACACGCAATTACCGTGTTTCACACGTCACAATATTTGTCAAATGGCAAGGAAAAAAACCACCCATTTTTTCATCACCCCCTCTCTTTCGCACAACATTCTTTTCCGAGAGCTGTTATAGCCAAAATCCCATAGCAAAATCGTGATTTCTTTGTGTGTTATTCCCATCTCCATTTTAGCACAAATAATCTTCTCTCTGTCACGCTGCTTCCATTGCAGTTACACACGAGAAAATAATCAATACTTGTAGTCACACACTACACATGTACACCCACAATTCCTCCCATTGATATAAACATGCATAGAAAAGCGAGGGAGAGAGAGAAAAATGAATTGTATGTAGTTCAAAAACTACTTCTTATTCTTCATCCATTCTCTCTCTATCTCTCTCTTTCTCTCATGTGGGTCCACACACAATTTAATCAAATGTGAAAAATAGCGCAATAAATGACGTCGGGTCACCTCATAGTTAATTTGTTGAATGTACACATATTTCATATACATACAGCAAAATAATGAGAAGGACAATAGTGAAAATTATGTGAAACACGCAATATTCAGCATAAACTCACACTCTCTATTTAGACAGCATCATTTGGTTAACTAATTGAAATTGCAGATTCCAACTCAAACCACATTCATATCATTAAACCTTAGAGCTTCTGAACAGCAGCTAAGCTTTTAGAGTGAAGACCAAGTTTCATTCTCTGCAGTGTAATCATAATAATATCTCAAGTGGCACAAATCTTCTTTAGATATTCAATTACAAATTTTGAATACCATCAAGAATACCAGAATGAAATTATGCTGGAATTCGTCAATTGACTGTTATATCCAACAAATATAATACAATTTTTAAAGCCAATCGATACTGAGATGGAAAATCTAAAGCGACTGACAAAGAACCGATGAGGGAAAATTGCCTTTTATCTCACACGCACTTTCCATCCGAATTGCCTCACATAAAATTCTTTATCTTCACAAATCATTTGACGCCAATTGAGCACACAGAATTTCAGTGTTTTTTTTCGGATGAAAATTATCTGCATCACAAAACATCATTCACAATTCTTCTTTTCTTCAATTGCAAGTGCACTTTTTCCTCTCAATCATCAACTCTTTTGAGATACCATTTTTGCGTCATCCTTTTCCTCACCGCATTCCCGTTTTTCTTTCTTTCTTTCCCCCTTTTCACATACATCTCTATATGCAATATATCTCTGTGTGCAACTCAACTTACGAGAAATCCCATAGGGATTCATATGTAGTATCAGAGCACAAAGCGCGTCAAGAAACAAACACTAATGAAGCACACTCTCTTTAAACTTTCTTCGCGCGAGAACTCTCCACAATGTCAGTAAGTTTACACTGATATTGCGAAATACCACTTCTCTCTCACCGTGAAGCGCACAAAGTGTCGAAGTGAAGGGAGAGAAACTGTAAGTTTTTGATCTTTTTCAATTAAGACGAGAAAAACAATTCAATTTTCAAAGGATTAAGTGAGAAATTGTTTACACTTCTGGAGATAAAAGAAAGGAGTGAAAAACCAATGCAGAGCTCTTTTAGGGGTGATGACCGAACACTAAATTCGTATGCGCAATTTCGTTGCACCTTATCTGACTCTTGATAACGACATTGTCCTAAATTAAATCTAGTTACAGGCAGAAATATCTAACTTTTCACTAGATTCTTAAGTAAACACAAAATTTTTATTTTATCCTCAAATATTTAAATTAATTTTTGACTCATGGCGTCGTTTTCGTGATAAAACACACATTTATCTAGACTGTTAGAGGCCAAAAGTTTCCAATTAATTTCCACTTAAAAATAAAGAATTAACTGTCTTTGCAAAAAGTATTGGTTAGCGTTTCACGAAACTTGAAATCCTTGTACGAGAAAGCCCCATTATTAAAGAACCAAAACCACTCCCTGTTGTTATTTTTGCACGAAAACACTTAAAAGACGCAACTTTTCGCCAAAAAAAAACATCAATTTCATCGTCATACAATTTTTCATTTATATTGATTCTCTCTTCTTATAAGTCCTCAAAAACTCATCTTCACTTCACTTTGAGTGATTGTCTTCGACTTTTGGGCTCTTCAAACTTAACAACCAAGCACAGATTCTTGCAAACTTAATATTGATTGTGACCTTTCTTGACATACTTCGAATGTTCTTTTTCTTCTTCTACTTCAGAAATAAGCTATTTTTCTTAACAAAGAGCGAGATCTCATATTGCGTCAATTCTCACTGTTATTCAACAATATATTGTACATGAATAACCGGTCTAGATGTGTAGTAAAAAGGTAATCCTTTATCAAATATTAACACATTTGATGGCCACTGTGCGAAAAACTATGCATCATAAGCATAAAGAGACTTTCAAGCCATCTGGAACGACCGTGAGTGTAACTTGGGAAGTTGTGGGGCGTTTTTTTCTCTGTTCATGCATTGCGTCTGTCTTTTGCCACAGTCGCGCTTGTACGCAATCACCCTCTCACAATGTGACAATTGGCAAAGAGGAAGTCAATTGGATGGCCAAAGAGAGGTACAAAAAAAGAGAATAGAAGAGGAGAACTTACATCGACAGTGTCTGCTGTGTGGGATTGGTGTAGTTGACCAGCTCATCAGCTGACTCCCCACCGGAACTCGTGGCGGTGGCATCGGAGTCCATGGCGGACTCCACAGCGCGCAGTTCAGTCCGCAGCAGTCCCGATGTGTGCTCCAATTGACCCCTGGACACTTCCTCCAAGTTGGGCAGCAGACTCCCAATTGCCGGCGAACCCTTGCCACCGGGCAGCATCACGACAGCTGCACTCCTCTTCTGCGCCATGGAGTTCTGCGTGAGCGCCACATTCTCAATGCGCTTGAGATAGGACCTGAGAACGACCTGATTGAGTGGCTTCGGGCTCTCCTGCGGCACCGGCTGCTGCTGCTGACTCTGCACCACACCACTGCCCGCCGGTGGGATGAATTGCCCCGTGGACACAACATCAATTATCACTTGTCCCGGATTCACAACACTCTTGGGGCCCCCATCGCGCTCCTTTCGCTTCAGCAGGCGACATGTGTGCTCAAACAGGCCGGCAATCTCCTCACTCACGTGCGCCCCCATAAATCGCACCTGCAGCTTCCTCAGGCGACGCAGGAGGAAGTCACACTTTCGCTGCATCTGATACTGTCGCTTCTCGATCTCCTGGCGTAACTGCACGGTGTCGCTGTCCTTCAGCTGCGACGCCGTCACCTCCTCCACACTCATCACATCATCGCCGAAGATGTTAAAGGGGGCGACCAGATCGCAGAGGCCATCGCCCGCCTGGGCGGCATTCTCGAAGCTCTTGAAGACTTGAAAGAGATCAATGTCACTGGACGACGCCAATTCACCCATGAATTGCTCAATCTCAGCACTCTCCTTCATGTAGTCGCCACTCTTGGTCGCCCCCGCTGTCTGTGGGGCCGCAGATGAGGACGCGGCCGCCTTCCCAGCCGCCTTCTCCGGCTTGGTGTCACCTAGTGCGCCCCTATCATCCACTGTCTGATCCATGTGCGTTGAATCATCCACTGGACCGGACTCCGCCAGCCCATTCGACGCCTCAATGCCGACAGACTCCACAAATGCCAATTGGAAGGACCCTTTGGTGGCGGCGCCGCTGCTCACTTCCACCCCGGACGACTTTTGACGCACTGAATAGTAGCTCTGATGGTCATCCACGAGGGTGGAATTGGTGGACGAATGGATGTCAGGATGGGGAGAGGCGGCTGTTGCCGGTGATGATAATTTACTCTGTGTCACGGGCTCCGTTAGAGCGGGTGCCATTGCGGCCACATCGGATGACGACGTTGTGACGCTCACCAAAACCGATGCAGCTGTTCGACGAAGGCCCATTCATTTAATATCCACCCATTCGACTTTTCTTATATTCTTCAGCTCTGTAACACTTAAAACCTACAAATCCTAGGGGGACACTTACGAGATCCACGAGCCTGTCTCTCTTTCAGTCCCTTCACACAAAACACTGGCAGATTGGCACGATGCGCTCCAAAACTGCACTCGCTTCACTCTTCACGCACTCTCTCTCTCTCTCTTGTTCGGAATAGCACGAGGGTTTTGGGGCCCAATTCAGGGGGCACTTCTTAGCCCTCCATAAATGAATGAGCCTTCACAGACCACTTCACTACACTCATTCCATATTTACCGCGCTTTTGGACCTCCGCGAAGTGGTATCTGGAAGCAAAGAGGACAGCAATTAGCACCTCACTTTAGCATTTCTCTACCTGAAATCATTCTGGCATCATATTTGGTACATTTTTTGCCTCTTTCTCTCTCACTACATATGTATGGACTTCGGGGGAAAGTTCTTGCAGGGCGGCTTGCTTGCCGGCAGACTTATCTTATCCGGACATGACAAAAAAAAGAGCCACCGCACGCACACACTCCACCGTGTGAACACGCACACACACACACGCGCGAGAGGCGGTTTTTGGGAGAAGGAGACGCGCGAGAGCTTCCCGGACGCTGTAATTTCACCACTGAGCCGCTGAATTGCCTCGCGGGCCCGGAGAATCACCCCACAATGCGCGAGATGGGGGCAGACGTGATCATCTCTCTCTCTTCGGTGAACTATTGCCCTCCGCGGGGGCCGCTGGGAGCCAACACACGGAGAGGGAGAGAAAAAGCGCGCGGAGTAGCGTTTTGTGACGAAATAATTGATTGGCGTCTCACACATTTGCATTATTTCCTCATCCATGTCGTCACACAATTTAATACTTATATAACGGCCCTCTGATGTCTCTCCGACTGTGCTCCCGTTCTCTCTCTCTCGCTCTCGCGAGCGCTCCTATGTACAACATCATCCGTCGCGCTCTCACTCACGCCACAAGCAATGCTGCGTCATTCTCTCTCGCTCTCTCTCGGCAAAACCATTTACTGTGCAATATGTATGCAGTCGAGACGAAATCCACCCCTTTCGCTCCACCGGGAACACCTCTAATGGGCCAGAAGGTCGCCCGCGATGTGACAAATTGCGCGAAAAACACCGCCAAAGGGCGTTTATGAGTGCAAAAATGATTTTCATCACATTTCTCTGGATTTACACGATATTCCCACGCACACACGCGCACTTCGGGGCTCTTCAACACTCCCTACACGACTCACACTTATTCACCACGTTCCTCTCCCAGCCCAATGAAAATCCACCCAGCGCTCACGAGAGTCCCTCCTGCCGGTCAAGCATGCCATCAACTGCAGCCCCAGCCGTCCAGGGATGATTTTCCGCAAGAAATCAACGCCAGAACAGCGGCGAACAGAGCGAAAACATGACTAAACGTTGTCTATTCGTGTCTCAAACACACACTCACCACTCTTTTCCCCCATAAACGGCGCACTTCACGCACACACGCGCACACCACCCAGCTTTATTCACAGCGGAACCTCTCCGCGATGTGAAAAAAGAGGTATTTTTCTCGAATGGAAAAACTCACGGGAAAATGCAGCAATGCCCAACACTCGATGAAATGTACACTGTGGATCACAAATAGCACCCACTGATGCACTCGAAAAAGGCTCTTTCAGCCCCACACAATCATCGGAAATGAGGAATTTTTCGTCTGAAAACCACAAATTCTAACAATGGCGGAAACTGTGATGGCGTCGAGTGGTGAATCTGCGAGTAGCAAAATGTGGGGACTAATTGCGAGACAGCCATACACCACCACCACGCCTGTCGTCTCGCTCTATCTTCGAATTTTTATGGCACTTTATGGGATCGTCTTCGAAAAGAGAGGTTGTACGTGTTTTGGTTGGAGTATCTCGTGATTTTCCTCAATTTTCACACAGAAATCAAGTGAGAATGCTATAAAATCATCTCGAAATGGAATTAACATGTGTTTCTGCTGGTGTTGTTTGTCATTTCAGACGACTACACGCGATGGGAGGCTGGCAATTGGAAGTGGCCAAGATGACCATGTACATCTTCTTCCCGGTGGCTCTCTTCCACTATTTCAACCAGCCAGAGTACTTTGAGAAGTGGGTGACAAGCACAAGGAGAGAACTCTACCCTCCCGAAGATCCAAAGCAAATTGAAGAGATTAGGAAGACCATCAAGAGCATCCGGGCGAAGCACGAGAAGGAACAGATTCAAAAAGCTCTCGAGGAGATTGAGAAGAAGGAGAAAAATGCTGCTTAGTGTCCTCAATTGCTGCACTTGTGATGATTTCTAGTGTTTTAGGGTACCTTTTTTGAATAATAATAGTTCTCTATATTGAAAGAAAAAATTCCTTAAAGTGTCATCATATTCGAAAGACGGAAAGGGAGAATTTCGAACTTCATGGGAACTGTCACTCCACGTGTTTTGTGTTACTCTATTTTGGGTTGAATTTCGCTCAGGATTTGAGGCTGAAAAACGTGATAAAGAATGGCGAAAGGGAAGCACAAAAAGGCTTTGAGATCGGAGAAAGCCAAAGTGAAGTTGAAAGGAGCCAAACTCCCCAAAGGACTCAATATCACGAAGACAGACTTTAAGGTGAAGAAGATCCTCATCCGGGAGCAACTGAAAGACACTGAAACGCCGGAAGGCATTCAAAGAGTGAACATTAAGGATCTCGTGAGCAAATTGCGACACAACAACTCATCCATAAAGCAGGACACTCTGAAGCACGTTAAGGAGATTCTCGCCTCATCGCCGGAAGATCTCTTTCCGCGACACTTGGGCGATGTTGTGCAGACAGTGGGACAAATGTCCTTGGATGTGGATAGAGAAGTGCGCCGGGAAAGTTTCAGATGTCTTCAAACACTGCTAGAATCCATAGACACATCTTTGATGGAACCATTCTTCGACATGCTATCATCTTACTTGCGATGCGCCATGACTCATCTTCAGAACAACATTCAGGAAGATTCACTGCTCTTGCTGGACGTCCTGCTCCAGAATGTTCCTCATCTCGTGGCGAAAGACAGTGATAAAATCTTCACAAACTTCCTCGACATGGTGTCAAAGCTAAGGTCAGAATCCCAGCCGGGAAGGACGTTGTCGTTGAACTTAGGGAAGAAGATCACGGCTGTAAAGTGGAGAATCCGCGTTCTGGAGAGACTTCTCAAGCTTTTGCAAGGATTAAATGCCTCCCTGAGAATTGCAGACACGGAAACAGCTGTGAAACCCATGCAATTCAATGCCGAGGGAACTTTCTACGCTCCAATAGTGCAAAAGCCACAAGAATTGTGGTTCGAAGAGGTTTCTGGATTGTTCATCAGGCAAATGAGCTCCCTTAAGCAGAAGACAGCAGCCAAAGGGACAGATTTTAGTGAATCCCAGAAGATTATCTACTATGTGGAGCAAATGGTGCCTCTCTTGGTGGAGACTTGGCTGGAGATAAGACCGCAAAACACAGAGGAAGGTGATGTGGCCCTTGGTCAGGAGGCAGCAAGCACAATTTCACTAATTGTTGGCATCCTGGAGGAGCTCTGGAATATGGTTGTGCGATGCGATCAGAAGAGTCAAACCACAGAAATGCAAACTTGGCTGAGAAAGTCCTACAATAGAGACTTCTGCCAAGCCTTCATGACGGGATTTCCGTACAATTTCACAGGAAAAGCTCGTTCTGTGTCTGCTCAAGAAGAGAATCTGCGTTTATGCTATCTTTTCTGCTGTCTCAGCGACTCATCTGGCGGGACAAATGCAAAGCTGAGTGGAAAGATAATTGATTTCACGAGCGGTGAGTTGAGAAATTGATTATTCCCAGTGATTGTGTGCATTAGAGAAACTGTTTGTCTTTCATCTTTGTAGCCTCCCTGACGACATGGCGGAGCCAGACTCCATCGAGTTGGGCATGTTTGCACAAAGTATTGCGGATTGTTTTGGTGGAAAATGGGAAAAGTTGGTCCACGCGGAGTGTGGCGCATTTGAGGAAACTTTCTCAGAAATTACTCGACGTCCACACAAAGGCAAAGCTCAGCAGTGAATTGAGTGGGGCAATTCTTGTGCTCATTTCTCATGCTCTTTCTTCGGAGGAGAAGTGCCTGGTGGTCAAGGAAACCACTGAGCAGTGGTTTCAACAATTGCGCTCTGTGCTTGCAAATGCTGAGAAGATGCCACAAAGTCTTGTGGACGCTCTGGCCAAATTGTACACAATTAGCAGGGAGTTTGTGAACTTCTTGAGTGATCAACTTCCTGATATACTCAGCAATATATCGAGGATGGAAATTACTGAGAGTAAAGATGACGGAATGGCAAAGAGACAATTAGTGAATTTCATCTACTGGCTTCCCGGGAGAATTACAGAAGATCACTTAAATCTAATAGCGGATGAAGACCTGAGACGATATGCAACGAGCCTGAATTCTTTGAAGAAATGCTAGTGTTTTATATGGACAATAAATATTGTAAAATAACTCACCAAAATGATGAATTTAGAATGCTTGTGAGATGACATCGCTGCCAGAGACGATGGTATTTGATGCCAGGATGATTTTGGATCCAGTGAGCTTCTCCACGAGATGACACGCTGCTATTTCTGCATAAGTTACTCCTCCCACGATGAAAATAAACACTGTTCGCGGTCTGAGCGGGAAAGGATCACTCACTTCACCTCTCTTCACTGCACTCTGAACCTCCTTGACACTCATCACTTGGTCACTCTTCCCCACAGATACTCCCATTCCCTCGCACTGACCTAACTTCAGAGCCACATCTTCGAAGGAATCTGCCTTGAGCAGGAAAGACGCGATTTGCGCCACAAGTGGAATGTACGATCCGTTGAAGACGTAGCTTGGGCACGTGGGAGAGTCCCTGGAGGTGCCTGAAGAGGCTTCCAACTCCGGCAGGAGCTTCAGTCTGGCTGCATCCGCGAAGAGAGTGCTTTGGGACTTCCTGGGCAGTGGAATGTTGGACAGAATCTTACTCCGCGCAGAGACAGAACCACTTTCTGGTGAGATCTCCGGATACAGTCCACATTGGGTGAGATTGTGGAAGACTGTGAGATGTCTGTGGCCAAAGACATTGCAGTAATTCGTTATGAATTGGCAGGTTTCCTCTGTCGTCAGACTGCCAGTGAGATGAAGGAGACAAATGAGTCGCAGAGTGTTGAATTTGTGCGGATCCGTTGTCAGAATGTCCTCAATCTGTGACACAGTTTGTCTCCTGTTCCTCCCATAAATCATGCAATCCTGCAGATCCTGGAGTTGTTCGAAATCTGACCCGAGTTCCTTGATAATCGCTTCGCAGAGTGTCAAATGTCTCAGCAATTCCTTCTTCGCTGCAGCCACTTTGGGCAGCTTCTCAGTCACATATTCCTTCATCTCGTGGATCTTCATGTCTCGGGAGAATTGTCCCTGCAGCCCGAGAGCCTTTGCCTGAGCGCTCAAGAGGGAAATTACGTCGGAAAAGTGGCGATATTTATTCTCACAGAAGATAGCATCCATCGAAGAGTTCATCCTGATGTTTGTCGATGAGGATTTCGTGTCTGCAGATGAGTTTTCCTCCAAGAGGGTGAACTTCCCACTCTGAATTCTACTGTTCTTGGAATCCACAACTAAACTTCCGGACTTGGCTTGGTGAATTTCCAGCAGAAGACCAGAGTAAGTCACTGGAGTTAAAAGACACGAGGCGAAATCCTTTGATCTATCCAGGAACAGAGCGGCTGCAAAGTCTGTGGTTTTATCCTCTCTATTGGACGGTCTGTGCTCCTCGATTCTCCTCACCATTTGGAGGATTTTCTCAGAATTGCTGCCGTACGTGAAGAGAATTCTCTGCTGGCCACAAACCATCCGGAATAGTCGCAAACTCTGTGAAATGCTGAGCAGGGAAGATGTGTCGTGCCTGACAAAGACATCCCGGAAGACGTCGAGCATCTCAAGGCTCAACACTCCACTGTCCAGACAGATAAAGTCCCAGTTGAAGCGATGAAGCTGCACTAAGCCACTGAGTCCTTCCTGCTCCAGCAATTCCTCCTGGCTGTGCAGGAGATTTGGCACTACAATCACATGATACTTGATCTCTCCATCCCGCGGAGCATCTGCGCCGACCAGAGAGCCAAAGCTGTGTATCTGATCGAGAACTTGCTTGAAGATGAGCAAATTGGCGGAGATGAAGTAGATGAAAACTTTCCCCACTGGTGGCGAAATTGTCTGCTCAAACTTGAATATCTTCTCAACACCCTTCGCTCTGAGCCATGAAACGCCACAAATATGCTCCAGAGGCTTTATCAAGCTCGCCTCAATCACCAGATCCTGAAAGAAGCCACAGAATGTTGATTAACACAGTGTGAAAAGAGAACATTGCACACTCACTTTGCGACTTCCCGGAATTTGACAGAGAATGTGTTGCAACTTCTCAATGGCAATCTGGCGAAAGCCCAGCAGTTTCTTGTCCACCGACGCATTCATGGTGCACTCGCAGACCCTTTTGATCTAATTACACACTGCAAAGGTAAATAAACACAGAATAATAACTACAAACACTGCCACTTTTATTTCTTCCGTGAACAGCTGGTTTTCGGACATGGACATATACTGCTTTTCGAGGTGAAAACCCGCGGCGCTTCGATCGAAATTCTCAATTCAAACTCTGGATCTCATCGCAAACTGTTGATTCGCGTGAAAAGCGAGGGAAAGTGTCGAAGTTAGGTTATGGACAGGAAAATCATTTTTCTTCGTGCTTTTAATTAAAGTTTCCAACATTCTAAAGTGAAGTTGGAGAAAGTTTTAAGCATAATTGCTTAAAAATATTTCCAAGCACTGCTGTGGAAATATTAAAGTAGATTTTGACGAGACAACAATGAGATTCTGTAATTAACACCCAGTGTTATTAAAGCAATCAATTTATTACGCACGAAAAGATGGGTAACCTCATATATTTCCCAAAACACTCTCACAATTTTCAGCCAATAATTTTTGCTATTTCTATTTCTGCTGCGCACAAATTGGGTCTGAATTTTGGCATTGAGTGTTTATGTATTCAAGGAAAATGCTCAGTATCCACAATAGGATCTTATACGCAATATTCATAAAGAGTCTCAGATAATCTTCCAAAAAAAAAAATTGAGGAGGAAAAGAAATGTGGACGAGAGTGCTGAAAGCATTATACGATGGAAATGTTTTCCTTTCTTTTCTCTCTCTCAAAACAAACAAAACCAGCGGACAGATGGAAGGAAAAGAGGCGCACAGTGCAGAAAGGAAAATTTTCCATTTATTCACACCACGGCTTTTCTTTTGCTTCGCCGGCAAAAGGGAGGAAGAAATTAAAATTTTGTTGATAGCACTTGCCAAGAAAAGCCACTATAAATTGCATGGGAATTTCTGCCAGTATTTGCATAAAATGAAGGAATTCCCCCACAATTGAGTGGTAGTTTATTGTAAGGCGAGAGAGAGAAATATTATTGCGGAAAATAGATAGAAAATGGGCCACAGTGAGAGTTCAATCTTGTGCATCAGTGCATTTTTTGTGGATTATTCCTGGCCAGCGAATGCAATCTTTCCACTCAATGGCAGCAAGTGTTAAATTTTGTATTTGCCAACACGAATCTCGTGAAATTTATGTTGTCTGTGAGAAATCGCCACTGAAAGCTCCTCCAATGGTCATAAAATTCATTTCTTTATTGTTCGGCTGTTGGTGAGCGAAAAGGAAAGGCTTGTCGACACTCACGCTGGAGGAGGAAGTTAAAATATGGAGAATGTTATGAAGTTTGAAGAAAAAAAAGTTTCCCCTCACGTTTCGATGCAGAGATTATGCAAATCTTGGTAAAGACCTTTCCTTGTAAGGACTGTGTTCCGCCACTCGACTCAATCCATATCCGAAATCCCTTTTTCTGCGAAGCACATGCAAAATCTTAGCAAAGCTAGGCTCTGGTGATTAAGTTGGAATTTGGTGTGAATTATAATAATTTCTCCTTGTCGCGCAGTTTCGCACTCGCTTCCTGCTGAGAAAATTGCATAAACATCTTTGAAGGTGAATAATTTAGTGGCAAAGCTCCCGCCGTGACAACGCTCCACATGAAATTATTGTCATCAGGAAATGCAATTAAAGCACAACCTTTCGTCTTGTGATGCAAATACAATTTAGTGCATACTATATAGGGTTCATTAGGTGGGCTACACTTGTTAATTTTGCAGGGTTCTTGTTTATGTTGATGTTACAGTCTCCCCAATACTTTGCAATGTATATACTTTCATCTTGCGACATCGTTCTATACTTCTGATGGTTTTCTCTCACACCGCAAAAGCTCGTGTGTGCATCATGAAGCACACACTCCTTTGCATTTAGAAGAGCCATACGAGACTGTGGGGAAACTTCTTAATATACAAATACCAATTGTGGGGAGCAGTGAAAACTGATGAAGTTTTGTTATGCAGAAATACACTTCATATCTTTTATGGTGAAAGTTCTGTAATTATTTGCTTGTGTTGCGGACGCAAAATGGAATTTTCACGATTTGTTGTGGTGAAATGTGTGAAATATGAATTTAATTGTTCTATGTGGGAGAGAAATTCTCTACTACTTCGCGGTTAATTCCATTAGGAAGCTCGCATTCTTTTCACTTTGGCTTTCCCGAGGAGCTCATGCTTTGTGTCCAAGAAAAGTATGGAATTCTGCACCTTTACAAAATTCACTCAGTGCTCTCTATCCGCCCTTGTCTGCGATGTTTCAATAGATTCCATTTACGTCTGAGATAAATAATTATACTCTTAGTAAGTTACGATTATATAGAAACTTGTTTGGAAATTTCTATGTCACATTTTATCTTATAAAACCGGACGAAAAAGTTGATGGTCATCAAAACTAAATTTACACATTTACTTCAGCTCTTTTTGGCTTAATTTCATTTAAAGGATTGGCATTATGGTATAGCCATTCAATTCTATACACATACACGTGACATGGTTAAGAGGAACAATAGAGCTTCTCGAATGGAATGACTCAATATTCTCTTAATTAATGAACGAGAATACCTGTTTAATTGCTCAATTGACGAGAACATTCAATAAATTCATTGTGCACCACTGCATGGGATGTGATGTACTATGTCTGTGGTCCACAACATGACTAAAAATCCTGGAATATGTGCAGAAGACAGCTCAACTTACACCGCATAACTTCGCTCAATGGTTTTCGGGGGAAATTCCGGAGCATCTTTGAAATTCTGTCCATGAAGGCATTCGAATGGAGAGCTTTAAGACTGTGTGAGAGTGAATCTGACTTGAGATGGAGCCTGAGCGATAAAAGTCAAAAGTTCCACCCTGAGACAAGTGGACAATGATGGGGCCAAGAAGATAAATAGTGCCACCCCTCGTTGTACGTATATCAATTCCGTGTAAACCCTCTCGAATGTTATAAATGGCTTCGAGGCACCAAGTATGCGAGAACGCGGTGGAAAATTGGTAGTCGTGGGGCGTGTGCATAAAATAGAGCATAAAAAAGGCACATTCATTCTCCTTTTCCGAATGCAATAAATTTCACATTCGT